AGATCCTATACAGTTTACCAGCAACGATTTTACTGACCATTTTGGATGAAGCCAATTTTCCAAGGATCTACTCTACCGATTTTTTGCACGGAAGGATTTTTTCAATCCTTACCATGTCTCCTACCATAATCCAAGGAGTTTTTGGCGCGACACTCGCTAGATCCTATATAGTTCACCAGCAACGATTTTACTGACCATTTTGGATGAAGCCAATTTTCCAAGGATCTACTCTACCGATTTTTTGCACGGAAGGATTTTTTCAATCCTTACCATGTCTCCTACCATAATCCAAGGAGTTTTTGGCGCGACACTCGCTAGATCCTACATAGTTTACCAGCAACGATTTTACTGACCATTTTGGAGGAGGCCAATTTTCCAAGGATCTGCTCTACCGATTTTTTGCACGGAAGGATTTTTTCAATCCTTACCATGTCTCCTACCATATTCCAAAGAGTTTTTGGCGTGACACTCGCTAGATCCTATATAGTTTACCAGCAACGATTTTACTGACCATTTTGGAGGAAGCCAATTTTCCAAGGATCTGCTCTACCGATTTTTTGCACGGAAGGATTTTTTCAATCCTTACCATGTCTCCTAACATAATCCAAGGAGTTTTTGGCGCGACACTCGCTAGATCCTATACAGTTCACCAGCAACGATTTTACTGACCATTTTGGAGGAAGCCAATTTTCCAAGGATTTGCTCTACCGATTTTTTGCACGGAAGATTTTTTCAATCCTTACCATGTCTCCTACCATAATCCAAGGAGTTTTTGGCGCGACACTCGCTAGATCCTACATAGTTTACCAGCAACGATTTTACTGACCATTTTGGAGGAGGCCAATTTTCCAAGGATCTGCTCTACCGATTTTTTGCACGGAAGGATTTTTTCAATCCTTACCATGTCTCCTAACATAATCCAAGGAGTTTTTGGCGCGACACTCGCTAGATCCTATACAGTTTACCAGCAACGATTTTACTGACCATTTTGGAGGAAGCCAATTTTCCAAGGATCTACTCTACCGATTTTTTGCACGGAAGGATTTTTTCAATCCTTACCATGTCTCCTACCATATTCCATGGAGTTTTTGGCGCGACACTCGCTAGATCCTACATAGTTTACCAGCAACGATTTTACTGACCATTTTGGAGGAGGCCAATTTTCCAAGGATCTGCTCTACCGATTTTTTGCACGGAAGGATTTTTTCAATCCTTACCATGTCTCCTACCATAATCCAAGGAGTTTTTGGCGCGACACTCGCTAGATCCTATACAGTTTACCAGCAACGATTTTACTGACCATTTTGGAGGAGGCCAATTTTCCAAGGATCTGCTCTACCGATTTTTTGCACGGAAGGATTTTTTCAATCCTTACCATGTCTCCTACCATAATCCAAGGAGTTTTTGGCGCGACACTCGCTAGATCCTACATAGTTTACCAGCAACGATTTTACTGACCATTTTGGAGGAGGCCAATTTTCCAAGGATCTGCTCTACCGATTTTTTGCACGGAAGGATTTTTTCAATCCTTACCATGTCTCCTAACATAATCCAAGGAGTTTTTGGCGCGACACTCGCTAGATCCTATACAGTTTACCAGCAACGATTTTACTGACCATTTTGGAGGAAGCCAATTTTCCAAGGATCTACTCTACCGATTTTTTGCACGGAAGGATTTTTTCAATCCTTACCATGTCTCCTAACATAATCCAAGGAGTTTTTGGCGCGGCACTCGCTAGATCCTATACAGTTTACCAGCAACGATTTTACTGACCATTTTGGAGGAAGCCAATTTTCCAAGGATTTGCTCTACCGATTTTTTGCACGGAAGGATTTTTTCAATCCTTACCATGTCTCCTAACATAATCCAAGGAGTTTTTGGCGCGACACTCGCTAGATCCTATACAGTTTACCAGCAACGATTTTACTGACCATTTTGGATGAAGCCAATTTTCCAAGGATCTGCTCTACCGATTTTTTGCACGGAAGGATTTTTTCAATCCTTACCATGTCTCCTAACATAATCCAAGGAGTTTTTGGCGCGACACTCGCTAGATCCTATACAGTTTACCAGCAACGATTTTACTGACCATTTTGGAGGAGGCCAATTTTCCAAGGATCTGCTCTACCGATTTTTTGCACGGAAGGATTTTTTCAATCCTTACCATGTCTCCTACCATATTCCAAAGAGTTTTTTGCGCGACACTCGCTAGATCCTATACAGTTTACCAGCAACGATTTTACTGACCATTTTGGAGGAAGCCAATTTTCCAAGGATTTGCTCTACCGATTTTTTGCACGGAAGGATTTTTTCAATCCTTACCATGTCTCCTACCATAATCCAAGGAGTTTTTGGCGTGACACTCGCTAGATCCTATATAGTTTACCAGCAACGATTTTACTGACCATTTTGGATGAAGCCAATTTTCCAAGGATCTGCTCTACCGATTTTTTGCACGGAAGGATTTTTTCAATCCTTACCATATCTCCTACCATAATCCAAGGAGTTTTTGGCGCGACACTCGCTAGATCCTATACAGTTTACCAGCAACGATTTTACTGACCATTTTGGAGGCCAATTTTCCAAGGATCTGCTCTACCGATTTTTTGCACGGAAGGATTTTTTCAATCCTTACCATGTCTCCTACCATATTCCAAAGAGTTTTTTGCGCGACACTCGCTAGATCCTATACAGTTTACCAGCAACGATTTTACTGACCATTTTGGATGAAGCCAATTTTCCAAGGATCTACTCTACCGATTTTTTTGCACGGAAGGATTTTTTCAATCCTTACCATGTCTCCTACCATATTCCAAAGAGTTTTTGGCGCGACACTCGCTAGATCCTATATAGTTCACCAGCAACGATTTTACTGACCATTTTGGATGAAGCCAATTTTCCAAGGATCTACTCTACCGATTTTTTGCACGGAAGGATTTTTTCAATCCTTACCATGTCTCCTACCATAATCCAAGGAGTTTTTGGCGCGACACTCGCTAGATCCTACATAGTTTACCAGCAACGATTTTACTGACCATTTTGGAGGAGGCCAATTTTCCAAGGATCTGCTCTACCGATTTTTTGCACGGAACTATTTTTTCAATCCTTACCATGTCTCCTACCATAATCCAAGGAGTTTTTGGCGCGACACTCGCTAGATCCTACATAGTTTACCAGCAACGATTTTACTGACCATTTTGGATGAAGCCAATTTTCCAAGGATCTGCTCTACCGATTTTTTGCACGGAAGGATTTTTTCAATCCTTACCATGTCTCCTACCATATTCCAAAGAGTTTTTGGCGCGACACTCGCTAGATCCTATATAGTTCACCAGCAACGATTTTACTGACCATTTTGGAGGAAGCCAATTTTCCAAGGATCTGCTCTACCGATTTTTTGCACGGAAGGATTTTTTCAATCCTTACCATGTCTCCTAACATAAGCCAAGGAGTTTTTGGCGCGACACTCGCTAGATCCTATACAGTTTACCAGCAACGATTTTACTGACCATTTTGGAGGAGGCCAATTTTCCAAGGATCTGCTCTACCGATTTTTTGCACGGAAGGATTTTTTCAATCCTTACCATGTCTCCTACCATATTCCAAAGAGTTTTTGGCGCGACACTCGCTAGATCCTATATAGTTCACCAGCAACGATTTTACTGACCATTTTGGATGAAGCCAATTTTCCAAGGATCTGCTCTACCGATTTTTTGCACGGAAGGATTTTTTCAATCCTTACCATGTCTCCTACCATATTCCAAAGAGTTTTTGGCGCGACACTCGCTAGATCCTATACAGTTTACCAGCAACGATTTTACTGACCATTTTGGAGAAAGCCAATTTTCCAAGGATTTGCTCTACCGATTTTTTGCACGGAAGGATTTTTTCAATCCTTACCATGTCTCCTACCATAATCCAAGGAGTTTTTGGCGTGACACTCGCTAGATCCTATATAGTTTACCAGCAACGATTTTACTGACCATTTTGGATGAAGCCAATTTTCCAAGGATCTGCTCTACCGATTTTTTGCACGGAAGGATTTTTTCAATCCTTACCATGTCTCCTACCATAATCCAAGGAGTTTTTGGCGCGGCACTCGCTAGATCCTATATAGTTCACCAGCAACGATTTTACTGACCATTTTGGAGGAAGCCAATTTTCCAAGGATCTGCTCTACCGATTTTTTGCACGGAAGGATTTTTTCAATCCTTACCATGTCTCCTACCATAATCCAAGGAGTTTTTGGCGCGACACTCGCTAGATCCTATACAGTTCACCAGCAACGATTTTACTGACCATTTTGGAAGAAGCCAATTTTCCAAGGATCTGCTCTACCGATTTTTTGCACGGAAGGATTTTTTCAATCCTTACCATGTCTCCTAACATATTCCAAAGAGTTTTTGGCGCGACACTCGCTAGATCCTATACAGTTCACCAGCAACGATTTTACTGACCATTTTGGAAGAAGCCAATTTTCCAAGGATCTGCTCTACCGATTTTTTGCACGGAAGGATTTTTTCAATCCTTACCATGTCTCCTAACATATTCCAAAGAGTTTTTGGCGCGACACTCGCTAGATCCTATACAGTTTACCAGCAACGATTTTACTGACCATTTTGGAGAAAGCCAATTTTCCAAGGATTTGCTCTACCGATTTTTTGCACGGAAGGATTTTTTCAATCCTTACCATGTCTCCTACCATAATCCAAGGAGTTTTTGGCGCGACACTCGCTAGATCCTATACAGTTCACCAGCAACGATTACAGTTCACCAGCAACGATTTTTAGAGGAATCTAATTTTACAAGGAACTATAGTTCCAAGACTATATATAGTCTCGATTCCATTTTGTGTTTCCCATCTCTTTCTATGAGTTTTCCATGGTATTTTTTATTAGCTAAGCAATTTATTTTTCCCCTGTGGTGTTGCCACTTAATTCCCAAAATTTTCTCTGCCGTTGCTATCTTTCGTTGCTAACTGGACGGACGTCAAAAATTACAGACGATTTATATTTTCTACAGAATCTTTGTTTGTTTGTATAATCAGCTGGTTGGATTATTCATCTCTGAAACCCTTTTACACAAGTCTTTTTTCGTTAGAGAACAGCTGTTGCATCTTAATGATTTTTTTTATAATCGATTTATTAAAAAAAGTCGAGGTCGCTTTTTCTGATAAAACATTCAAATAATCGACTTAATTATCGGCTAATTAAACCATTGAATTATTTTTAATACAAAAGACGAAAAATTAGTACAGACTTTTTTTGATAAAATATTTAATTAATCGACTGGCTGCGAAAAAGATTAGTTGGAAAAAGTCGACTTCAAAGAATAAATAAGAAATGAAACTGTTGTCAAAAGTACCTAAGTCTACTGTCATCCGGTACCTAACTCTAAGAATGTATTAGTAGAATTCTCAAGTCAACATAGTTGCAAAAAATCGTATTGAAAAATATTGAAAAAAAATATTACATTTCAATTTATACTTTGAAAGGTTTCTTAAGATATTTTCCACATATTTTATCTACAAACATTTTATAAACACGTCTATTTGTTTTTTAATCTATAATATCGAAAAAATAAATTATTTATTTGAAATATCTTTTTCGTTTACCATACGAAAATTTACAACATTGTTTTTTTTAGTTTTAATTTCAACCAACAAAAATTCAATGTCAAAAAATAAAAAATATTTTTTTTTCGTTTGTAAAAAATATATTATTTTCGGGCTATTAAATGTGTTTAAATTGTGCAAAAAAATTATAAAATATAATGTTAAGTGATAAAAAATATTTCAAAGTGCTATTATCCTCAAATTTTCGCGAAAAATTTTTGAAGTTTGGAGAGAGAATACAATTTTTACATATGTGTTGGATTTACACAGCACTCGTCTGTGAGAAGAGCGTAATGTTATTGTTGTAAAAAAATGACAGCGTTTCACTTCTTGTTTATTCTTTGGTCGACTTTTTAAGTAATAATGTTACCAGACTGCTATTATTTGATGTAAGTAATAAGGTTCTATAGTTGAAACGAAAAGTCGACTTTTTTCATTTAGTTAAAAGTCGACTTTTTGCATTTTATGAAAAGTCGATTTTTCGACTTTTTTCATTTAATTAAAAGTCGACTTTTAGACTATAAGTATTTTATAAATAGTCGACTTTTTCCGACTTTTCGATTTTTTTCGACTATTTTTTTTACTTTTTTCGAGTTTTTCCGACTATTTTAGAGTTTTTGACTTTTTTTCCACTTTTTAAAAATTTTTGATTTTTTTCTACAATTTTCGAGTTTTCGATTTTTTCACTCTCGCATTGGTTTAATGTGTGGCGTCGCATATCTGTACCGCGTTACGGTTCTTCGAATTTTCATGCATTAACCATATGCATTCTTTTTGATAACCTAGAAATTTCTTTGATACATGGTGGAGTACCAAACAAAACTCGTTTAAGATTTTGGTGGGGACCAGTCAACTCAGGAGCGGAGTTCGGGAGTTCCAGCTTCCTATACGAAGGTATAGGTCGGATTGGCAGTTCTTGGACTAGGCTCTTTTAGGCGAAAGCCGTAATTGGTGATGGCGTTATGAATTTTTCGAGGCCAAATAACCCCTTCTTAGTGGTATCATACTGTTAAGGGGACAACTTAAAACAAACAAATTCGAATATTTTGTCCAAACAAATCGATAAATTCTAATTATAGGAAAACACCCTATAAAATGAGTCGTTATGTTTGAATACGATTTAGTAATTTCGATCCATAGTTTTGTTTAAAATACAATAAGACATAAATTGTGAGAGCTTAATGCTCTGCTAATAAGAATTACTTGGATTGAGAATGAGTTATAATAAAATTGAAATGAAATGGAATTGCTAATTTTTCTTACGTTTCTGTTTTTTGTTGGAAGACCTTTTATCGATCGTTGCGTATTAGAATGCGGAAACGTAATAGAAATGTGAAATAGAGGGAATATCACTTAATATTTCATTAAAAATCAATTAGTTTGAAGTAACAGTCATATTTGCTTTTTAAAGATTTCCTAATAATAACCAATTTTTTAAAGTAGAATTAGGGTGAATTTCAGTTTCACTTTGTTAAATTTAATTTTTAAAAATTTTAATTATTATTTATAATATTTATTAACAATTTAATTTATATTTTATATGTAAATTATTCTGAAGTATCAATTTTTAGCCGATGAAAAAAAAAAAATATAGATTTCATTAATGATCTATTACAATTTCTCACTATATTCTCTTTTCATACCTTTTAAAATTATTTGATTTTAATTTTCATCGCCAAATTGATACTATAAATAACGTATGTATGTATGTATATATTAAAGGATATAATAACCTTGTATTAATTAATATATCGTCACCAGAAATGCAAAAGGGCGTAAAAATTTTACAGAAGAGACAAACAACTAAATAAAATAAATGAAAGCTATTGTTGTTCTTACAAGTATTGTATCCCAACATCGATAAACACGTTTGAATTCAATTGTACCGTCAGATATTGTCTATTATGTTGCTTTTAAGGACTTTCTAACTTGTGGAAATTACTAATTTGTTGTTACGCCCTTTTGAAATTAATTTCAATAGAGTGTGTTTTTGAAAACAGATTTCTAAAAATTTGCAACGACATGTATTTTGATGTAGTGGACCATTTTCAATCAAAGTCGATTTAAAATTTTTTGGTTGTTACGTTTTTTTGCATTTTAGGTGACGATATTAAAAATATCTTTATAAATCGTTATTTGTAAGGCGTATTGTAATATATTATAATGGACTATGCTTGTCTCCTTTAAAGAACATTAACCTTGCAATTTTTTTCGTTTTACTTTGGATTTTCCCAACAATTTTTTCAATTCTTTTGACATAAAAAATGGATTTTCAGCTGAGCCATCGTTTTCCGTTGAGTCTTGTAAGAAACAAAAGAATAAAGTATCTACGGCCATTGAATATGTGCTAAATATGAAATGAGCCATAACATAGGATAGTATGGCTACCAGTGCAACTGGAACCTCAGGATAATGTATAAATATTATATCTGGATATGCCTTCAAAGCGATAAAAGTTGTAAATGACGTACAACCTGTTACCAAAAGTTTTGACAAGAAAAAAAGAAAATCCGATACCTTGTCTACCGCATAAACACGTAAAAGATTTTGAGTAATTAGACTAAAAGCTTTTCGAGAACTTTCACAGAAACTGGTACTATGGATGGCACATGTTATGTAAGCATTTCGGTTAAGAAAACGAAGGAAATTCTCAAGCAGCCAAAAGAAAAATTTCATGCAACATAAGATGGCGCGTGTTATTGTATTATTGTATGCTTTCGCCTTCTTTTCAATGAGTTCCAACATATACCTTATCATGCGACAAATGGACAAAATTAGGGCTCCAAAAGCTAAGGTACCTAGATGATAAACTGTTGTTATCCACATAGCCTTTAGTAGCGGCAATTTAGGTATATTATTCTTGTTGAAAGTCCAATACCACAATGAGAATGTACAAGCCAAAACCATGTCTTCATAAGCCGATATAAAAAACGTTACCCATAGGAAACCAAAAATATTTAGTAACATAAACCAATTGGTTTTTCGATCTCTTATAATCTCATTGAAACTACAGGAAGTTTGCATGCATAGTTCATCATTTTCGTTGCGACAGTATTTTTCGAACAAAGCTGGATCACATGCATCACCAAGTTTATACGGTTTCTGCAATTCAGGTCCTGTACAATTACATTGTTCAGCAGTTTCAGTAATGTTGCGACGCGCCATTATAAAAGAGTAATCGCCAATGGAACTGAGATGTAGCAAAATTATTATTGACATTGTGGCCACAAGAATATTAAGGATTGCAGGAAATATTGGGAAAAATATTGATGATTTTATATTCGTTATTGCCCTACTTGCTTCCTTAATAATAGCCACAGCAATTTTTATACGCTTCCGGATCACAATTACTATTAATACAATAATTGTTAGGATCGCTCCTAGAATCATTGTTACATATAGCCAAACATCGCCATTTTCCAATATGTTTTGAACTTTTGCCTGCAGATTCGTTGCATGTTTTGGTACATGGGCTTCTGTGCTCCACAGTCTATATTGACGAAAACTATAAAAGAATGAATAACCCAGACCAAAAATAACACCACATATCGAAACCCACACCAGGGGTGCGGCTAGCCAGCGTAAGAGTGTTATAAATACTAAAACCGCAAAAAGATGTATAAAAAAAGCAAACACTATAACTTTCCATGAATTTTTTAAGTCATCTGCTATATGCTCAGCTAAAATTTCTTTACCGCTATAATTGAATTTTGAGATAATTGCAGCTATAATTCTGTTAAAGTTGGAATTTGTTTTTTTAATTTTTTCTTTGAAAGCGATCATGTTCGATGTCGTATTATGATGTTGTTTACTACACACCGATTTGATGCTTTTACCGAATTCGGCTAATTTAGTTGCGACAGGTTTAAAATCAATGAAATTCGCTGGTGCTAAATCCGACCTACGGTTTCGTCCTGTCAACTTCTTGGGCAATATTTCACACAATTCATCGGAAAGATCCCATACACAATGATTAAATATAGGTTTACTTTCTAAGTACCAGCCACTACAAAGATCATTCTCTATTGCATTTTTAACATCTAACAAGCTCTTCAACTTTTGTTTGTTCACTGTGGAATCACAAATAAGTTTTTCCCTTAAGATGTTTAAATTAGTCAGATCCTGCATCGTGTTTTCTTGCCATATAAAAGATTTTTTGGGGCACTCTTTTACACATATTTGTTTGGTATTGCATCCTGTAATGGGTGTCAATGGATCAAGACACTTATCCAAATTGTAGAAAAATAACATTTTCTTGTCACGAACTCCAGAATCCAAACCGCATTTTGCATTTTTTGAATCTGTTGGAATTAATAATTTATTTAAGTTTCCTTGGGACAAGGCATATGTTGCTATATAAATCCATCCGATTATAAAACATATAAATATTAGCAGACAGTGCACGTCTGTACAACTATGTTTTTTATGATTTATTGGCCGAAATTTAGCACTGGGTTGTCTTTTTAAAGGAGCAATTTCTTCCTCCTGCAGCGGTTTAGGTATTTCATCTTTTGCAGATATTTGCGCATGATACGAAAAACTTCTGGATATTGGTGGAGTCACAGGAGTGTTATTAACAGAGTATCTCACCGATGTCCTAGGATCAATCATACTGTGACAATTTCTCATAAATACCCTGGGATCTACGTTATCATTATCCATAATTAATGAGAAAATATTCCGCGTACCGTTACCGTGAGTCTCAAGGGATCTACTAAGACTTGAGTATTTTTTTCTATAATGCCTGACTATATGGAAAATGTACATATAAATATTATTTTTACAATAAATATTTAAATCTGTGGTTTTAAATTTGTTCATAATTATTGAGGTTATAGTTACTTATCTTTAGAAATGTAATCAGATTTATTATAAGATTCCTAAGAATATATCGTCACCTAAAACGCAAAGGGCCCTATCTAACATTTTTCAAATTTTACAGAAGCATAAAACTATTAAATTGAAAAGTTTGTTTCTATCAACGCGATTTATTTGTAGTAAATAAACAAATTGTTTAATAGTGAAACCTATCATTTGTTATGATAGTTAACAGTGGATTATATAAAAATGGATAAATTTGACTTTTTACCTTTAATATTTTAGTGGTTTTGTAGATAGGGCATTTTGTTTTTTGTCAATAAAATCGATAATTATGTTAGGAGGGGTCCAATTTTTGGTGTAGACATTTATTTTGATGCAATACATTAGAATCAACAATAATATCGATTTTGGGGTTTTGGTTAGTTAGGGCCGTTTGCGTTTCAGGTGACGATATGTAGACTATATAGAAAATATACTTAACAATCGACTAGTTTTTAACTATGAAAATCTTTATTAGAATGAATATGTAGTAAATTTAAAAACGCATAATCCTAACAAAACAAACCATATTTTGAAACAAATATTTCCAGAAACAATAATTTTCTGCTTACGCCAAATGCGGTTCGCTTTCGGCAGTTTAATAAAATAAACACAGAAAAATTTTTATTTTACGATTTTTATTAGGGTATTGTTAAAAATATTCTATTATGTTAAAAATATTCTATTATGTATTACATATAATGTATAGAAGCCTGAAAAGAGATCAAAATCTAAAAATTATAAATTAAAAAAAAACACTTACCAAACTGATGTATAGTCGAAGCATTGAGAGTAATTTTTCAAATCCAAGACAGAGAGTACTACTCATTGGGATAGATGTAAACACAGGAGGATAGATTACATTTTCAGTCTTGCAACAAAACAAACCAAAGATATGGAAATTATTAGTACTGCTCTCTTGATAAAATAATAAAAAGTGATTTTTTCCCTTAATCAATTTTTGAAGATCCTCTTCTGATGTACTTTTATATGTTGGAAATTATGCTAAAAACCGTCTATTATATGTCAGTTATCTTATATTATACACGTTTGTTCATAAAGATATTTAAATAAATAAATTTTTGCTAATTCTATATAAAATAATCTTGTCTGTTCAGTAAATCGATTTGGTTTCAAAACCGAGAAGCTTTTAAAACCGAATTTGGTGTTTTGCAAATTGAATTTTCATTTGAACTTAAAATTCAGAAAAAATAATCCTATTTTAAATGAAAAAGAGTTTAAAATGCCCATAGCATTTATATTAAGTTACAATTATATTAAAAAGCGCAAAAAATAATTTTTTAATTTATTCAAATAAAATTAAAATCGATTTACTTTCGACTAGATTTGTACTCGGTTTTAAAACGAGAAAAAAATATAAGAATTCGTTTTTAAACGAGAAATTTACTCAGATTCGGTTTACAGAACAGACGGGAATAATCAGTATTACAAATATTTTTATATACAAATACTTGAAACGGATGTTTAAATCCTTGTTATTTAATTAAACATTATTATAATGCAACTTTAAACAATTTATATTTTCCGACTTCGAAACACATACATAGATATATTTACAAAATAAAAATAGACATTTACCCCTATAAACAAAATTTCATTTAATATTGAAATGTTCTCTGTCTGCATTCGTTTACAATTTTATTCAAGTTATTTTTCCAACTATACAGTTGTTTTAACAAAAAGTTATCGGCCGATAACCGTTAACGGTTTTGCATAACATGAGGTTCCAGCTTCCTATTTGAAGAAATAGTGCCTATTCGGAAATGCATCACAGCACTGCATTTGATGATTAGTTTGCGATGCTGATGCAAAGTAATCTGATGCGCATTTTATGCATAAGCTAATCTTTCTTTTGTCAAAGTAATAACAAACTTTATAAAATCAGTTCAAATATGTACATATTCACCGCATCAGCTATTTTTGTGGTTCCTGTTTGCATTTATACTGCGCATTGATGCATTTCCAAACACGCCAATGCAGAATACACACAATTATGTAATGAAATGAGAAACACCTCTATTCTGCATTCCATTTTGAATCGAATAGTAGGATTTAGCAGGATAAAGCTACATTTTTTCAACAAATATTCTTTGAAGCTGGTATGACGATACCAGATTTACTTTATTTTATTTTTTAATTTTATATGATATACATATGTACATGTACATATCCGTCACCTGAAACGCAAACGGCCCTAACTAACCAAAAATTCAAAATCGATTTTATTGTTGATTCTAATGTAGGATGTAACACTTTTAAAAATTTTATAGGAGAGGCTAAAAACTAAATAAAATTAAAACTATTGTTGTTATAAAAATGTCTCCTTCTTCCATGTATTATATCCAAACATGAATAAACATGTTTAAATATAAATGTAACTCCAGACATTGTCTATTATGATGCTTTTTAGAACATTCTGATTTGTGAAAATGACTAATTTGTTATTACACACTTTTGAATTTCATGTTAATAAAATTGGTTTTTTTGACAATAAAGTTCTAAAAATTTGCGACAACTTGTATTTCGATGTGGTGGACCATTTTCAATCAAAAAGTCGATTTTCAAATTTTTTGTTGTTACGCCTTTTTGCATTTCAGGTGACGATACGCCATTGTCAACTATCATAACAAATTATTCCCCAGCAAAAAATAATTGATGTCATACTTTACAAACGGCATCTTAATCACATCTAAAAATGCGATTGCATACTTTTATAAACCAAACATATCCTTACAAATGAAAACATAGTTAAAAATGAGGAAAGAGATGTAGAAAAGTCACTACAAACAACATATTCGAAGTACTTCAAATTTTGATGAAAAACCAATTAAATTTACATAAGCGTTTCGTTGAAAGAATGTGGTTTATTTTTGACATACAAATATCGGATTTTTACAGCTTCTAAAGATAAGATTAGATGTATGTAGTTCAAAGTGGTCAAAAATGAACAAAATCCCTCCAATGATATGCTGATGGAAAATCCATAGGTTTTTCACCAGAATTTGAAGCACTTTGGGTTTTTTGCTGGAAGGTTTCACTATTAAACAATTTGTTTAATTACTACAAATAAATCGCGTTGATAAAAACAAACGTTTCAATTTAAATAGTTTTTTGCTTCTCCTGTAAAATATTCAAAATGTTAGATAGGGCCGTTTGCGTTCTAGGTGACGATATATATTTATTGCTTTTTTCCGAATTGAAATACGGAATAACACAGGCGTTGCATTTACGAACGTAGTATAAAAGTTTAGCATATCAAAGTTTAGCGTTCGAAAAAACATTCGTCCCTTATCGTGAATAAAATTTCACCGGAAATATTTTTACGCAAAACATATAAAAGGAGGAAGGGAGTGTTCGTAATTTATTTTAAATAAAAACTGGTCGCAACTGCCATAAATTTTTGCAATATCTGCCACATTTAAATTTTTCTGTGGGATGTTCCAAACACATCCAAATACATATGGACAATTCGTGCAAGTGACTCAACTTTTAAAATCAATGTCTTCCGATTTGGATGAAATTTGCACCAAGTGAGTATTGGATAGTAGGCCAGACAAAGTTTGAGATCTATTGGTCAAGAACTGCCGGACTTAGAGGGGGTCAAAGTTGGACATTTTGGTCATAAAGGAGTTCAGATAGCTATTTCATCATTGTTTCCATTTTTTTTTAATTAAAAAAAATTGTTTTTATTTTTTCAAAAAACTTTTTTTTTTTTTGCTCAAATGAAAAGCTTATACAATTTCCTTAAAGGGCTTTATAGTCCCATAATGGGATGCGAGTAAGATATCTACCAAAAAATTGTTTTTAACTCAAGAATAAGATTTTTTAAATATTTGGCACTTAATTTCCGTTTTTTTTTTTTTTTTTTTTTTTTTGCTCAAAAGAAGAGAAAAAACTCCATGAAAAAATGTTATTCTTGAGTTAATTTTTTTTATAGATATCCCATTATAAGACTAAAGCCCTTAAAGGAAATTGTATAAAATTAAAATTTTTTTTAGGAAACAATGAAGAATTAGCTATTCCTTTGGACAATTTTTGCTAGGACCAATACGTGAAAAGTTCCACTCATTTGAATAAAACCCTATGACTAAAAAGTCCAACTTTGACCTCGTCTAATTCCTGCACTTCTTGAACGATAGAAATGAAAATTTATGTCTGGCCTACTAGTAGTAACCATGGTGCAAACTTCATCCATATCGATTTTTTGAGTTGGGTCACTTGACACGAAATTGCCCATATACATAATAAAATACAAGTATGTTCAGTTGTGGGACACTTGAAAGGATAATCGCTTAAATGATTTCATAATTATGTTTACTAAAAAAATATTTTATACACTACATAAAAAACGCTTATTTGTTTTTTGTAAATTTTTCTTTTACGCTTCCTTTTTCTTTAATTAAATATATAAAATGTCTTAAAATTAAATATTATGGTATATTTTTTTAAATCATTTTTAATATATTAATATAAATACACTGACAAAAAGACTGATCATATATAGCTTGTAAAAACAAATTAGGAAATTAAATTATATATAAAAAAAAGAAATTTATTGGAAATAGAAAATAAAACCATCATGTCTATTCGTTTGCTGCTTGCTAGCGTTGTTACTATTTCCGAATATATGTATATTTTGATACCAGAAAAAATAATAAACACCAGTAGGCAATCGAACATACTACATATGGTTATAATTATATACTGGGTACACAAAAAATAGGTACTTTTCTTACATACAAAACAATTAAATTTTTGCTGTTAGTTGAAAATCGTTTCTTGTCCAATTGTAAAAGATTTCTCTTATTATTTAAATACCTTTTTAAATACATATTTGTATAAAACCGGCTATCTCATTTTGTATATTAAAATGAGTAGTTAGTTTTATAATTGATTGGTGGTTTTGTTTGCGGTTTTAACATTGGATCAAATGAAAGAATTATACATACTACTACATATTTTGTTTATATTAATTATAATTCAAGTATTTCTTTTTTTTTTTTGTATTCTATATCCGAAGGGTATTTTTGATGATATCTGTTTATAAATAAAAGCTTATTTACTCTACTAAAAATATAAGATGCTTAAGAGCCTAAAAAGCAGGGTTCATAAAAAACAAAGTTACACTTGCTCATGTTTGTAATAGCTAAAATGTAGAGTTACATCAATTTGTGTTTGTGTATTCTACACACAGGCTGTGTTCAAATCGTTTGCTGTATTTATTTCCTTGTACCTCTTTATAAAGACGATAGACAGAAGATACTCTTCAAAAAATTAAGCTTTTTAGATATTTTTTTCTGAATAAAATTTTATTTTATTGCCTGATAAGCCTGCCTGCCTGAGCCTAGCGTATTTCTCTTCCTTGCTTTGTTTTTCCTTTTCCTGCCTGCCTCTCTCTTTTTGTCTGATAGTTTTTGTATTTTGCTCTATTTTTACCTATTTGCGAAGGAGGAAAAAATTTGTAAATTTTTGATTAGAATTAACAATTAGAACATGATTTGTTATCGTTATATTTCAGCGATTTGAAGGCATATAAATATGGTACAACAGAGCGCTGATACTTAAAATGTTCATACATATCTATAAAATAAACACAAAATATGGCTATTTGGAATGACGCTTTTGTAATATTTACAAGATCAATTACATGGTACACAAAAATAAAATGTACTTCGTATAATTATCATTTTATAGCTGTATTAGAATAGCTGTATTCATAAAATTATCAATGGTTAATTTTCTCGCATCTTGCATTCGGGATACAAATTTTAAAGATAAAAATGTTTTATACCATTTTGTTATTCGAACACAAATCCGTCAAAATGGTTAAAATCGGCTTTGGTATTCGAGATACAGGTTATTTTGGAGCAAAACATATTCGACTGTTTTTTCAACAATTTACAAATATAATATTTATTGACATTAAATAAAAATAAAATTATTTACAAATTTTAACTTGAAATTCTAATAAGGTTTAAGAGATATGGTCGTAGAAAAATATGAAGAAAAAATTTAACAATTTTCACGAATTAGCGAAATAAACAGTTTTTTGCTCTTTTTGGTGTTACTTAAGATACTATTGAATACAGTCCCTAGATAGCTATAAAGCTTAATAAATAATTTATAATGTACCATGTAATTTTACTTGTTCATAGTGGGTCTTGATAAAGATTAAACATGTATTTCATCAAACTTACCTTATACTTAATATCTTCTGTTACCACCGCCGCCGCCTCCAACATTACCACCACCAGGTCCTCCACCACTATTGTAATTATTACCACCGAAACTACCACCTTGTGGTCCACTACTACCACCACTAGCAGCTTGATTACCACCTGAAAATATTGTTTATTAAAAAAATAAGAACATTTTTTTTTTTTTGTAAAACTCACCCTTATTGAAGCCATATGGTGCAGGACGGTTGTTGCCGAAACTACTGCGTTGAGGTCCGCCACCATAACTTTGTTGATAGTCATTGCCGAAATTGCCGCCACCACCGCCGCTGCTATTACCACCCCAACCTCCACCGCCACCACTATTGCTACCATTGGCTTGAGAACCACCAAAGCCACCACCATTATTCCAACCACCGTCATTACCACCACCACTGTTCCAGGGACCGCCAGCTGGTTGATTGTTCCAACCACCTGGTCCACCACCTTGTCCGCCACCAAAGTTTCCATTGTTACCGAAATTATTGCCTCCCCAATTTCCACCATTTTGACGATTGCCACCCCAACCGCCACCACCTTGGTTACCACGATCATTACGGCCACCACCGCGACCACCTTGGCCACCACCACCGCGTCCACCGCCACCACGACCGCCATCCATATCCTGTTTGGCAATAGCTTTTTTCACATCCAAAGTTTTATTTTTGATGGTGTGGCTTTTTTGCAAGATGATCTTGTCAACGGGATCATAATCATCGAATTCAACAAAAGCAAAGCCACGCTTCTTGCCAGTTTCTTTGTCGGAGACAATGTTAATTCCCAAAATATTACCAAAGTCCTTGAAATATTCGCGTATACATTCTTCATCGTGATCGTCACGAAGTCCACCAACAAACAATTTTTTAACTGTGGCCCCAGCATTGGGATTATCAATTTCTTGGCGTGGCACAGCGCGTTTAGGCTCCACAGTGCGACCATCAATCTTGTGAGGACGTGCATTCTGAGCATTATCAATCATATACGACTGTGAATATGTGATAAAGCCAAAACCACGAGAGCGTTTTGTCTTGGGATCTTTCATGACGACGACATCAACAATATTACCCCATTTTTCGAAATGGGCTTTCAAACCCTCATCGGTAGTACGGTAATCTAAGCCGCCAATAAACAGTTTACGCAATTGCTCTGGCTCGTTAATGGGCTGTAAAGGACAATTTTTTTATTTAATTTTTCAGTGTCATTTGTATGCATCTTAATTGAAGTACAGTTAACAATGATGAAAAAAACTATATTAACGCTAAAAATTATTTGAGCTGTATAAATGAAAAATTCATTGCATTGAACAAAACAGCCTTTTTGATAAAAACGTTTTTATAGTATGTAAAATTTATTAACAAAAATGGGTAAGTAACCTCATTTTAAGTTTGTTATATACAAACGCACAAATTATCAAGCCGCCATTTTGTTTTTTTTTTCTTTCACCAAATTTCTTTTATTATACATAAATTTTCAACGAAAAAATTGCAATATGGAAAGAAAACCATAAATACATTTTTAATTCATAGAATTTAAAAATGAAATACTTAGATCAATGCCTCTAATTATTTATAATTCAAAAGGGTAATAATATAAAAAAAAAAAACAATAAAAAAGTTTATTTACCTCATCATTGTAATCGCTGTTGTTTCCATTTTCGTTTTTTACAGACATTTTAATACTCTTTATTCGAGAATTGTCAATTCAAAATGAATTTTATTCACTTAAATTAAAAATTTCTTTTTAAACAACTTTTATTTTTCTGAGAAAATTTGAAGGCCGAGCAATCAAAAAATACACAATCAATTCGGGCAGACTTCCACAACGAATTGAAACAACGCGGCCGGTTTTTTGTAGTATGTTTTTTTGCAAAGGCTTCTTTGGTCGTTCAGCTCTATTTGCAAGAAAAAGACAATTCTCAGCAGGAAAAGGGTGTTGTAAATGAAAAAAAGAGATAGATATATTTACAAACAATGCTGCCATAATTCGCCTTGAACGCGGTCGTGTTTTTAGTACTATTTTACAGTGATGACAATTAGCTATTTTTTCGTTTAATTTAGCGATTTTCATTTCCATTTTTTATCTCCTTTGAAATTATGATACCAAATTTAATTCTGTTAAGGAATAAAGCTGTTGTTGCATACAACAAGAAATAATATTATTCTAAAAAAGTTCAAAAAGCTAATCAATGTAATTTGGCTTGAAATTGCCATTTTTGTATTAATTTCGTTGTAACTATTTTTTTTATGAAATCTAGCGATAAACCAAATTTTAGTGATATTTTCCAGTGATGATAAAGGGCCCTTTACACGATCACACTTTACGTACGTAAAGTCTAATGAAAATTTATCCATATGACGAAAAAGAGAATAAAAATCGTATAATTTATATTTTTTGTGTTTACACGATTGGTATAAAACAATATCAAAGATTTAACAGCTGTTTCACTTTTTTTGTGTGTGTTTGCATAAAAATACATACCTGATGTAATGCGACTTGGGCGCAATTTACATGAAGACTTTTCAGACGTCTGTTTTTTCCAATTCTCTTTTGAGAATCTTCCAAAAATCATGAACATTTATACAGTGATTTTTTACATGCAACTTAGGGTTCTATAAATCGACTTTCGAATTATCGAAAAATTCGAAGTCGACTATTTAGTTCGAAAAAAGTTGATAACTCGACTATCGTCTGTGAAAAAAGTCGAAAAGTCGACTTTGTAAATAAAAGTCGAAAAGTCGAATTTGTAAATAAAAAAAGTCGAAAAATCGACTTTTCATAAAATGCAAAAAGTCGAAAAGTCGACTTTTAACTAATTAAAAAAGTCGAAAAATCGACTTTTCGTTTCAACTATAGAACCCTAATGCAACTATTCATGTCGTTTTTGCTGTTTAGTTGTATAATCCTTTTAAATTACTTATTCGTAATAAAAGTAAAATTAAATTTTTACATAAAAACAATAGTTTGATTAAAAATAATAAATAGTATTTTTTAATGCAAATTTTAATGTTTTTATTAAAAATACACGTACTTATTTTTTTACATGAGTATAATATCAACTGTACGAATAAGTGTATAGAGGAATCTGAAAAAAAAAAAATCATGAAAATCCCAAATCATGTTTGTTTTCTTTCCCCCCATTCTTCTCTACCCCGCTCACCAACCAATCATCGGCAAACATGAAAACAGACGTCTGGGCAAACATGAAAAAAAACTCATCGTGTAAATTGGGTGTTGCTTGTTTTTTGAATCATTTTAAAAAATGAAGAGAGCCATACGACTGTCAAACTTTACATCCGCATTTTCTCTCAATGTGTGATGGTTTCATTACATATTGCGTTTAGACAATCTCATCTGTACTCCTCTACACAAAATTTTTACAGATCATATTATTTTGTGCTCGTGTAAAAGGGGCTTATCGGGTATTTTCATTCTATTCCGAAAAACTGATTGAGGCAGAATAATTTATATATGTATGTATATAATGTATGTACAAAACACATTCCTGTTGAATTTTGTCCCGATTCGATTATTTGGTAATGAATTATAGTGATTTTTAGACGTGGACATTATATGGGTGCTGTGGTCAATTATGTACTGATCGAGGTTTCAGTTGGTAATTCTATTGATATTTGGAAAAAATTGGGGGAATAGAAATATTCCAGAGGGAATCATTTGCAATTAATTCATTTTCCAGGAAAGTGTACGGGGGCTACAAATGAAATTATTGAAGATTTGGATCCCGATGAAAAAAGAAAACAGCAAAACAATGCGCAATGCTTTTAAAATCGCCAGAAACCATTCAAATAACGCTAAATGATTTAGTACATGAAAAATACTATTTCCGAACACTTCCATGGCAGCAAAATTAATGCCGCCAAAGCGAATTTACGTGAATTCGCCTTATTTGACGCCATTTCTACTTTTTGATTACGAATGAAAATTCACTCTTCGTTCGTTTTCGGAACACGCGCTTGATACGTCGTGAGTTTTTAATCATTGTTTTTATGTGTGCTGTGAAAAAAGTGAAAATTTTCCGAAATAATTAAGATAAAAAGTATAATTGAAATCAATAAATTGTTAAGCTAAATTTATTTAGCAAAGGTGAGAATTAGCAAAATAAATTTTGCTTAAAAAACAAATATTTTGTGAAAAAAATTTAATTATATTATAAACAGTATGTATATGATAAAAATTCTGTACCCGGTGACGCCATATTGCAAAAATTTTACAATTACCCTAATCATATAAAAAAAATGTGTTTTGCGCAGACTGTATTGAAAGTGATATTGATTTAAAATTTTAATAAAATTATTTATTTTCTAGCTTAAAAACACAGATTAAATAAATAAAACAATGGTGGGTTCACGAGTGTATGTTGGAGGTTTACCATATGGTGTAAGAGAACGAGATTTAGAGCGTTTCTTTAAAGGCTATGGACGAACACGCGACATTTTAATTAAAAATGGCTACGGTTTTGTGGTAAGTAGATACAGAAATAAAATGCAAAAATCAATAAAGATTTGACAACACATTAAATACACAAAAATTATTTTACAGGAATTTGAAGATTACCGTGATGCAGATGACGCGGTCTATGAATTAAATGGGAAAGAGCTATTGGGCGAAAGGTAATAATAAAACTTAAGTTTCAAATACAATTTCTTAATATATGTTTTATCTTTTTACATACTGTTTGCAGAGTTGTGGTTGAACCTGCTCGTGGCACAGCTCGTGGTAGCCATAGGGATCGTTATGACCGCTATGATGGTGGTCGTCGTGGTGGTGGACGTTACAATGACAAGTGAGTTGTAATCGTAATTATCTTTCTATAATTGTTTAATTTCAAGGGTTGAGTAATGAGAATTTCAATTTACTTTAAATTTGTTTATGAAATATTTTCGGCCAATCGCCAATCTACTTGATATTTGAGTATACATATTTTTTAATAGTCTGAAATACTTTTCTGTCTTTCCGAGTTTGGGACTTTAAATCAAAGTTCCAAAGCGACAAACCAAAAAACCTAACAATAAAAAAATTCAAATAAATTTGTTACACATTTTTGCAACCATTTTTCTATAACTTAAGCTTACTAAACGAACAAATGTAATATGTTCCTTATTTACAACTAAAGGGCAACTAAAAACATTCTTGGATTGTCGCTTAGGTTTTATTTTGAAGTGTCTACTCCCTAGATTACTTGAGAAAGGTAATGTTGTGATGACTGTCTTCAATGTTATTTACAAAGAATACATTCGTGACGAAAGACGAGTTAATGACAACCAGGTGGTTGACTAAACTTTATTATTTACTTCTACAATAATTTATCCACTCGGTTTCATTGTTAATTATATTTAATGTTTATCCCAGATGTGACACTCTATTCTCATATTCAATTCATAATCATCTGACAATGATCCCGTAATGAATGACAATAATAGCATTCTTGTCTGCACTCTACAAAAGCTCTGACAAATGGGGTTTTATTGAACCATCTAAGTTGGACTCTTTCATATTAGGGATGTAACGAATGCTCCCTTATGAATTATTCCCTACCGTTTTTATATTCGCTTTTGCATTCGCAAAATCTTAGCGAATGCTATTTCTAAGAAAACTAAATGAATAACACTCTAACCATCATTTTCACCATATATTATGTAATTCTATAATTTTCAATTTTCTTTGCAAATTAACTTGAATTATACTATTTGCATTCGCAAAAAATAAAGTTCGCTTTCGCTAAACTGGCATTCGCAACAACCCTATTTCATGTACATATTTCATTTTGAACTAGAGTAAGAGAGATACCTGCTGCGTATTACATATTAGGCCTATTTTACTTTAATCACAATTTTTGGCATATTAAAAATTTTTATCAAAAAAATATTGTAAAATTCCTTTATTTAAAAAAAATAATTCCACCATAAATATGACTTCTTTCAGAAATAAAAACAACAGATCAAACTCCCGCTATGGTCCACCATTGCGCACTGAATATCGTCTAATTGTAGAGAATTTGTCCAGTCGTGTTAGCTGGCAGGTATGTAAAACGTTTTTTTACTCACATATCTATTTCAATAGCTCGATATTTTAACCCGTAGAATAAAGTAGTTTCAAAGGTTTTAAAAGATTCAACAAATGTATTATATTCCTCCTTTATAAAACGAATGATAAATCCAATTACATATAATGCATTTAAAGTATTCTTCGAATATTCAAGAGGAGGGTATAAGACATTAATATAATTTATCTAAATGGTTAATTTCAGTTTGTTTATTTTTTTACATTAAAATTACATACATGAAAATTATTAATAAGGCATAACTCGAATTTTCGCTTGTAAATAAAAAACGTGAAATTATTAAAAACAGAATAGCTGTTTGTTATTTTGAATAATTTTAAAACTTAAAGATTTTTGTATTAGTAAAGTATTAAAGAAAAATAAAAAAGTTCGGATCATGCTTTAATTATAATCAATAAATCAATAATAATTTAAATGAATGTCAAGTTTGTGTGTATTCCTTTAAAAATGCATACATTGTTATTTTTCTTTTTTTATACATATAAAGATATATTTTATTCTGTACAATGGTATATACTATAAATATATACTTACATATCTTTCCTGCATGATGCAACAAAAAATCCTTTTGTCCTAACTGAACTCCATTTGATTTTTTTTTTAATCTTTATTATTTTTTTATTTTAACTAACTTTTGCTTAACTATTTTTTTAATTAATAAACAAAAACATATATATTTTTGAAATATTTCCTTGAAAATCCTCTCTTTCAATATTTTGTATATAAACTCAATGTATGTGAATTAAAAAGAAACTGACTTATCATTTCCCCCTAAAATTATTTCTATTTTTGAAATGTTAACGACCAAAACACTACCAAATGCACATCAAATAAACTGGGTACATCATCAATCACCCTGCCAATACAGTGCGTGTCCTAAACTAAAATACATACAAGTGGTGTTTCAAAAATTAGGTGAACAAAATACAAATGGGTCAAATACGAATATGCACTTCAGAACGGAAACTATCCAATAATAATCAGTTGTATTGTGGGTCCTAATCATATGTGCTATCTTCCACAAATTCTCAATTAGATGTGCGACTATCGTTATCATGCTAATATAAAGAAAGGTGTTGGCAAATGATAATACAAATAAAAACCATTATGATATTGATAAAGTTGGTCAAGTTAGTCAACAAAACCATGTATTCCAATTGATGATTGAACATTTTCAACACTAATCGTCGTTCAACGTGCAAAAAATGATGATCGATTGATGCGTACTTGCTTTATACTAAGGAAGAACCGAAAAAAGAACTATTTCATTTAAATAGATAATATAGAAGACGTATTTGTTTTGTCAGAGATGCCATTCAAGTTCAGGTTTCTTAACGTACATAAATTGTTTAATTACCTTCAGCGCAGAAGATGCTTACGAATGACATCGCAAACTGATCGCTTTTAAAAATGCTATGCGTATACGAACGAGTGTAAAGTCTCATAACTCAAAACATACACAACAATCTGTAGCCACTAGCTTATAAAAAAGACAATTTCATCATTGTGATGCGAGGCCGCGCGGAAGAGTAAAAAAAACAATGAGATAAATCCATACATCTCTTTCGTTCTATCTATAGACTGCCTACCCTGTCAACCGACAACTTACATCGAAATATGGTGGTCATCCAAAAATGTTGAAGTTGTTTTATTTATACGTTTGTGTTTGTGTTTAAGATTGAGAATTAATGAATGATACCATCAATTTAGGTATTTCAAAAATTAATTTCATTAAGTTTTAAAACAAATTTTTAATATTTTTGAAATATAAAAATTTAATTCTAGAATTCTGAAAGTATATTTCGATTTTGTCTTTTCCGAACACAAGATTTCGGAGTACTCGATAGATGCAGAGGTCCGACCAATTGTGCGATTGTGAAATAAACTAAATGCGTAACATATAATTACATGTTTGGAATAAACTAGCGAAATATAAATAAAGATCGTGCGGGAATATTAATCCAATCTGAACCGAAAATCCAGCCTGTCGAGCCTATGTACAACAACCGGGACAGATACAAAAAAAGTTAAATGAAGCCTTTCTGACTGGCATATAAAACAGGCAGGCAAACAATCTTCCAAGAAGACAATTTTTGTACATTGAGAGGGAGCGAGAAAGGAGAGGGAATATTTTGGTTAAATCTCGATGACTGGGATGACATGATTCATTTCTTCCAACTTTTTTGGGCATAATCATTCTTAGACAGTTGATGATGCGACGACTACGTAGTGAAGCGAGGAAAGCTTAAGCTCTACGTCCTAGTTGAGCAGATGCTTTCAAGATGTTTGACCACGCGAATAGACCGGCTTAATACTCTTACATAAACTTGTCTCCTTTTTAACTTTGAGACATGTCACAATTTCTCTCTTTTTCAGTAGTTGCAGTACGTTTTTAAAGCGAACTGATACATGACTCTGTCTTCCAGTGAGGTTGGCAATCTAAACTCATACATACATCCGTCCATAGGTTCAGGCTTATATCATTCCTCTGGCAAACAATTTTGGCAGATGTCATTGGCTAATAACTAATGTCGCCTACTACTACCACCACCAGCACCACTGTGTTCCCCTTTTTCCAAAAACAAAGACTACTGGAAGTTGGCAATAATATGTATTCAGACAGTTCAGATTTGACATGGTCTGTGTCGGTTAAATCGTACATTCTCCGATGTTTTACATTCCTCCAGCTCTTGATTTTTAGTATTGGTTATAATAAAATGTACATTTTCTAAATGTGTGCCCCCCCTTATGATGATAATGATGATGATGAAGTGTGCCCTAATTGCGATTGTGTAGTACAGTCAGTTCCTATGAAAAACACGTGTGCATCGTTCTTGTGAAGTGTGAAGAGTATGCGTTACTACAGCTTGATAAGATGTGCAACTTTTTTGAGAAATGGCCGTCTACTTCTAACAACTACCCTTCCACATCACCTATACATACATAACACGTGCCACAATGTCAAAATTGGTCAGTTGATCGATCTCCTTCTGGTTCTGGTAGATTGGTTGGTCCATAAAAAAAAAACGTTCCAAAAACAGACGTCTCGTCTTCTATGTAAGAACTGTTCAATTCAACCATGTCAAAAAGTTGTAATTTTAAGTTTTCTTTTATATATATTATTGATTATTATTCTTCTAACTTTTTTTTCTTTTATGAAAAGAGTTGAAAACACCACGAAAATGATTGAATATTTAAGCAAATGTTGTACGTTACATGCTTAGGCGAGAGTGTAAGGGACACAGAAATAACGCGATACGCGCACAGAAAGGCAGGCAGACTAAGGATGAGGAAATTTTTATAAGGATTACTTGCAACTTTGTGTGGTCAGTCAGTGAATTGATGGTCGATTCCTATATTATCAGTCTAATGTTCAAAAGTGGGGACAAGACATTGATCGGACGCACGCATGTTTCTATAACAATAGGCTGAATATGTTTATTCATTTTCGAATGTGTTACTCTTTCAGTTTCTATTACATCAAATGTTTACTAATGTAAAATTATCTTTTGTTTACTCTTTCTATGATGCTTTAACGTGGTGTTATTTAAATAATAGGACCTTAAAGACTATATGCGCCAGGCCGGTGAAGTCACCTATGCTGATGCTCATAAGCAAAGACGAAATGAGGGGTAAGTGTTTTATTTCTCTCTCTATTTCAAGAACAAGTAGACTAGGAATAATTTGTTGATTATTAAATTCTTTATTTCTTTTTTTTTATAGAGTTGTGGAGTTTGCTTCATTGTCTGATATGAAGACTGCTATTGAAAAATTGGATGATACTGACTTAAATGGTCGTCGTATACGTTTGGTTGAAGACCGTCGTAGTGGCCGCAGTGGTCGTGGAGGACGTGGAGCATCTGGTTCATCTAGCTCCCGATCACGTTCTCGTTCACGCAGACGTTCTCGCTCTCGTTCTCGTCGTTCCTCACGTTCACGTTCCAAGTCTCGCAGTCGTTCCAAGTCCCGCGGAGCACGTTCAAAGTCTAAGTCACCAGTTAAATCACGATCCCGCTCACGTTCAAAGTAAGTTCATGAAAAATGCATCCAGCAAAAAAACAATTTTCATGAAGGCTAGTTCTACTATTAAAGAAGGATGTAATTAGCTATGATGTCTTTGTTGGTTGCACATTTTTTAACATATACAATTGTTTTAACGTATTACATATAAATAATCGTATAATATTTCTAATCTCAACAGCAAATCACGTGAATTGTCAAAGTCGAAATCTAAGTCTCGTTCCCGCTCACGTTCTCGTTCGATCAAACGTGATTCCCGTTCTCGCTCCCGTTCACGTTCCAATTCTAAACGTGAATCCAGATCACGTTCCCGTTCTAAATCTCGCAGAGACTCTCGTTCACGGTAAGTTGTGTTTTTAGTTAATGTTTGAATTTGTGCACTCACTGTAAATTAAATCTTTTCCGTTTTTTGTTTTATTTTCTTTTGTGTTGCAACAATCGATTGATTTCAACAATAAACATACATATAACCAATGATTTGAATGATTGCAATGCATCACATACATAATTATAATTTTTAATTATTAATTATTGGATGGATATACACTACATGTATTGTCGTCTGTCGCCTTTGCAATGATGCCGTCTCTCACAATTCGTGTTGAGTACGTTATTCTCATTACTTTTACTTACCTTAACTATTACCCCTTCTCTTCATATGTTTTATTTCCATTCTCTTTTTTTATTTTCAAAAAATTCCAAATTTTTTCTCGTATTCAAAACTGTTTTTCTGAACTTTCGAAAGCAGAAGTTAAAAATATGATCAATGTAAATAAATATTAGTCTTTTGGTTTGTCTTTATTTTAAATGCTATTTACTGTATAAAAGAAATATTTCACCCCATTTTACTAAAAAAATATGATATTTATTTAATAAATTATATCTGACGTTTAAGTATATTAAGACGTTTTATCTCAAAAACCAAACGGAAAAAATGGGGTGTAACATTTGAAAAAAAAAAAAATTTGCGTCTTGCTTCTGTTCCTCATCATAATATGAAAATATTTTTCATTCTTATTACTAATATGTTACGTGTTTTTCTTTCTTCTTTCTCGTTTTCTATTTTACAGCGATCGTTCTGTTTCTAATGACAACAAATCACGTTCCAGATCAAGATCAGCATCACCGAAAAATGGTAACGCATCTCCTGATCGAAACAATGAGAGTATGGATGATTAGATTTTAGAGACTTTTTAAATACAAAAACAAAAAACAAAATACTACGTTACTTTTTTCTTTCCTTCGTCTTTTTATAATCATTATATATCATTTCTTCTTTTGCTTTGAGTTCTCCTTAGGCTCGTCGCCCTTTACTACTATTATTAATGTTTATGTAATTTTTATTTTAAAAAACTACGTAAATTTGTATTAATATGAAACATGAAAAACAAAACAATACCAACCAATAATCTATAATTATCTTTTGAGATATTAAATGTAAACACAGCAAGAATGTATAACTTTTTAGTTAGAATAAGTGTGTATTTTTATGGGATTTCTGTGCTTTCATTACTTGCTACTCTACTCCCATATGAATATTGCGCAAAATACATGTATTTTGTATATCTACAATCACTATTTAAACACGTTTACATCTCATTGCATAAACATGTTTGTTTTTTTTTTAATTTTGAAATTTTTAAAACTTAATTTTCTCTTATTGTTTTATGTCTTTTGAAAAATAAAAATAAAGTAAAAAGCACTTTTCCCGCCCTACCAAATATATACCACATAATAGCAATACATAAAGGCAGCATTTCAAAGAAAGATGCTCTTAAAGTATGTATTGGAGAATAAAAAAAAGTAAAATTTGACGTTTTTATAATATTTTTTATTTTTATTAAATTATGCATTAATTATTGCGGTATATAATAATATAAATACAACAAAAACATTATTATTTAATCTTAAAATTCTACATTATTGTAGTACATTCATAAGAATAGAAAAAAAATAAAGAATCAAATATAGATATTCAACACATGTCTGGTTTTATAATTTTCAAAAAGGTTGCCTCAAATGTGTTTTTGTCCCACTGTCTAGAGCTAGTTAGCTGCAAGCAAGAAGCATCAAACGTATTTCACAAATTTAACAAAAATACCAGGCGAACAGAATTTGTAACTAGTTTATTTTAACATTTTTTTAAATTTTATTCCATAAAAACTTCACATATCTTAAGGCGTTAACATTAATATACATGTAAAATTATTGATATGGTAACATTGTATATTTATTGTGTGAATCCTTAAAGTATGTGAAAAAAAAAATTATAAATTTAACGTGTGAGGTGATTTTTTTTTAGTACATAATTTAATAATTTTTATATATTTTTTACATACATATTACAAATTGAAATTGAATTATTATTTATATAATATTCGTGAAAAGATGAGTTAGTTTGAAAGGAGGGTGGAATTTTTATATATTTTTTTACATACATATTACATATTCTTTCAATTATTATGATTCGATTTTATATATATATATGTATGTACATATTTATGTCGCCCATTTACAGCAAGACTAGCATAATCCAAAAAAAGTCGTTTCGAGAATAGTGGCTTTGAATGTTTCATAACATTTTTCTATTTTTTAAATAGAAAAAACCTACCGGTGGCCAATGAGTTAGTTTTTAAATTTACAACAAAAAAACGATCTTACACCGAAAATAACAGTTGCATTACTCGAAAACTCGAACTATTGTTGAAAAAAATTAATTTCCAAAGAATAATAATTTTTGCAGGGTAAATCTTACTTATGTAATATTTTAATCAAATCGGATTAAGGGAACCCGTGCCGGAAATGGATAGAAATGATTAAATTGGTTATTTTCTGATATCATTCAAATTATTTTTTTGATCTTCTAGAGAAAATTATATTTCCAACAAGGTACTATATCGGTGAACAAATAACAAAGTTATAGATATTTTTCCACCTCATATTTTACTCATTCACTCCTTTTTCAAGGTTTTTCATGTTTCATGCAAAAGAATGATATGTAATTTTAATATCATGTGAAAGGCCTTTGAGAGGCGCTTTCAATAGCGTATCATCAATTTTTGTGATACATTGTTCAAAAATATTGAAAATTTTATAATTTTTCGAAAAAAAATCTACATACGATTTACTGAACTGAAATTCATATTTCATAATCCTTCTTAATTCTTCTTTAAAATGAAATTCTTTTCATTTTCGGTGGGAACATCATTAGCAATTTCCATTTTGGGCGGCCCTAATATAAATCGCTAAATCGGTTTTAGAATATGTGTATAAGAGTCGCGCAAAAATTTTCATACATATATACTCCAAAAAAATTGTGTATTCTATAAAAAAAGTAAATAAATTCTTAAACCATTTTGTGTTCAATTCTTTATTAAATAATTATCATATTTGATTCTTTGCCCATTAACCCCAATGATGCTGATCAATTTGGTGATTATGTTTATAAAAATAAAAAGAGAATTTAAAGATAATTTCTTATGTTTATTTGTATTTCAATGAAAATAAGCTCTTTCATTTCAATACGTGATTTTCATGGCAAAAGTGTGCAGTTTAGAACAAGATCTTGGTCAAGAGAGAAGGTTTAACGCAATGTTAAATAGTTTACATAAAAAAATAATTTCTCATATTCAATTACTTTTGTTATTACTAAGTCTTGGCCTACTGGTAGGTAGAAGTGAAGCCGTAATAGATGTGCCTAAACAAATTAGTGGTTTTGTGGATAATTTTCTTGGATTATCGAAAATATTTAAAATAAACAATGGAGATAATGATGGCTCATCTGCAAAAAGTACTCTTACTCATACATTTGGTCCGATTTCTGTAAACTTAAATATGTACGATGCACAACAATATCAAAATGGAAATCTTGAAATATACCATCATTATGTTCCACCACCACCACCAGCTACAAATTTTGTACAACCAGATATATATGGTCAATATTATGGACCAGTGCCACCGTTGGGTTATTACCCGCCACCACCATTTCCACATCAATATCCTGCCCAACATCCTCAACCTTATTGGCTGCCAATGCCACCAATGGCTCCATTTAAGAACGCCAATTTAATCCAACCAGACCAACCATCAGACAAAGGACAATTAAAAAGTATTATAACACCAGACTCACCACATTATGTAAAAATACCGGAAGAGCCAACAATGTATGGCATCGAACCCAGGCGTTAAATCTAGCATATGTATGTTTAATTTGAATTATTTTCCTTAAATAAATGATCATATGTATGTACATATTCTGTAAGTTCTAATTTGTTATGAAATGTTTTTTTTTTATGTTAGTTTTAAATAAACTATATATCTAAACATTCTAATTATACTTATTTCAGAAATTTTCAATACAATTTGCACGAATTAATAACTTTAAAAATTGTGATGACCCTCGCATATATATTTATTTTTAGAAATTTTCTTAATAAACTATTTTAAATACATACATACATAAATATGTACATGTGTGTACCTCCTGATGATAACCCCAAACTTGTGGATTACGTTATGATTTTATATATTTAAATAGTTTAAATAGTCTCGGTTAAATTTTCATTCAAGAAAATTTAGTTTTATTTATATTGTTCTAATCTTAACATCGTATTAAGAGAGCCAATTAATACTAAAAAATTACAAACTAAGAATAATGCATAGAATAATCGTTGCAATAATAGCGTTTTTAATTATAATTCAAACCGCAAATGCTGGTTACACCAGCGAGGAAACGGATGAAAAATCAAAATCATTATATAGCGCAGTGACTTCTATATTGGGTACTACAGATAGTAGTAAACATCACCATAAACATACTTATGATAGTCCGGCCTGTGCTAGTGGTGGATGTTCTGCCACTTTAAGCCCATGTTACAGTTCGACTGGTTGTACACAACCAACAGGTCAGAAGGGCTATAGCAGCGGTATTGGTTATATGGCCAACCCACATACAAATGTTGCTTCTTTTGGACATGTAACTCCTCAATCATTTCAAACAGGGTCTCATGGCTCTCAACTACCATATCAAACGACTTCGGACTCATATATACCTACCGGTTATATTCAACCAGGTTCATCAAATGGATCACCAGTTTCACATCAGGGAGGCTACCCTTCTAATGGATCGCCATTTTCACATCAGGCTAGCTATCCTTCTGCCGGTTATCCTCAACCTACTTCAGTTGGGCCATATCCCTATTGGAATAATAATCCTAATCCTAGTCATTATGGTTATCAAGGACCACGCGGATATAGTGTTTATGATCATTCGCTCAAAACAAATTCCGAATATACAGAGACTGGCACTCATACAGGACCTTTACAGCATGGCAATAATGGTTATGGCACTGGTTATGGGGGCAGTTACAATGGACTTTTTAATAGACCAGGATTTTAAAGGATTGCAAATATAAGTTGGTCAAAAATAAATTATAAATAAATAACTATACAACATAAATATACAAGCGCCCATATAAATGTCCTCCTCGAATACATGAATATGTCAATTTGTGACAAGCACGATAAATTTTTGCAAACGTTTCTTTAAATTACTAGGTGAAGTATGGGAAATATACTCAAAATACTTTAAAATAATAAAAATTAATAAAACATTTAATAATTAAAAATTTTTTATTTATTAATTTAATTAAAAATATCATAATTTTCAAGTATTTTTTGTTTAAAATCGTATAAAATTACAGAATAGGAAGAATACATTTCAATATAATGAATTCATTTATTAAATTGCAAAAAAAAAATTAAGACTAATTTAAACATGGACAACAAAAAGGACGTATATCCATACTTATAGAAATATATGTATGTACATATGTATTATGAATACAATTTTCGAGTTTTCTTAATAATTCAAAATTTAAGAAGTTTTTGGTCCATTAATTGTAATACTTAGTTGATAGTTTTCAGACCTATAACTCAAAAATATGGCAAATTTTATGTATAAAAAGAGCATAAAAGTGCCACTTGAATAGCACATATATAAATTTTTTTTTAAAGCTTATATTTTTGGATCAGGAATTTCTGGAAACTTGTTTTGAGCTCCAGACTTCTTAAATTGCATAGATTAGTTCAGGAACTGTTGAATACTGTTTTCCAGACTCATAAACTTTCCGGGCAACCCATTCCCACAAGTTTTCTATAATGTTTAAGTCTGGTGAATATGGAGGGCAACTCAACAATTCAACATTTTGGAACTCTATATAAGATTTTACGAACCGGGCAGTGTGGATCGGGGCGTTATCTTTTTGTAGGATCCAAGGGCTAGGTCCATTTAGGTCATTGAAACCCGAAAAAAGCCTTTTTTATTAATCCAAAGTAGTTCTTAGCATTTATTCTTGAGCTTAAAAACTAAAGCTCGAAGGTAGCATAATAGGAAACTGCTCCCCAAATCATGACACCACCCATTCGGGACCGGTCTACATTTGCTCATATCCCCCATGTAAAACCTCTCTTAGAAAATTACTTTTACGTTAACAAATTGCTTAAATAAATCGGAATTAAGGTAATATTCAAGATAAATCAATTCAAATGGTCGGCCACGCCCGACTAAACTTTCTTAGTTGTTTTTTCTTGTATTGTTGTTTCCAGTGGTTTACTGTTTGTTCGTGAGAAGGTATAAAAATCATTAATATCTAAACATATTCAAAAAAAATATATGGATATTAGACCCACTCACAAAAAATGGTGCTTGAGTTATCCCCCTCAAAATATTCGCTGTTATGTAATACTAGCTATACCCAGTGTGCTTCGCTACCCTCATCATCATGGAATAAAATAAATATCATTATTGTAAATGTATATATATCTGCAATATCAAAAATTCCCCTTTTAGAGAACTCTTTAAGTTTGATTTTATGATTCTAGTCTCAATATTACAGAAAATTAAAAAAAAAAAACAGTTGAAGAACTAAAAAGTACCAGACAGTGCCTTTTTATATATTTTCATTAAATCAGGATGACGCATGTTAAATTTTCAACCAGAAACCAAAAAAATCGCATAAAGATTTTTATACAATCAGGAAGCTACATGTCCAATTTTATGTTTTTAGGTTCAATATTATAGAAAATTCGAAAAGTATTAGTAAAAGAATAAAAAAGTACCAGAGTATCCTTTTTAAATTTTCGTTCAATTGGGATACTGCGTGTTTAATTTTATGTTTATATATTAAATATTTTAGAAAGCTCTAAAAGTACCAGTACCAGTGAAGTACGAAAAAGTACCAAAAAAACCTATTTTATTTAATTTCATGTTCCTAAGTTCAATATTATAGAAAATTCAAAAAGTACCAGAAAATATTCCAGTTTAAATTTTCATTCACTCAAGTCCCTGATTGCTTTTATAGATTCTAATTAACTCCGGCTCCACATGCTTAATTTCATGTTTCTAGGATCAATATTATAAAAAACACAAAATGTACCTTTTAAAGAACGAAAAAGTACCCTTTTATAGGTCCTCACTTAATCCGGGCTCTACATGCTTAATTTCACGTTTCTAGGTTCAATATTATACAAAAATCCAAAAAGTACCTTTTGAAGAACGAAAAAGTTCCAAAAAGTCCCCTTTTATATGTTCTCACTTAATCCAGGCTCTACATGTTTAATTTCATTTTTCTAGGTTAAGTCTTATAGAAAACTCAAAAAGTACCTTTTGTAGAACGAAAAAGTACCAAAAAGTCCGCTTTTATAGATTCTCATTTACTACGGGCTCTACATGCTTAATTTCATTTTTTTAGGTTCAATATTATAGAAAATTCAAAAAGTACAAGTCGAAGGACGAAAAAGTCCGCTTTAATAGATTCTCATTTACTCCGGGCTCTACATGCTTAATTTCACGTTTCTAGGTTCCATATTATACAAAAATCCAAAAAGTACCTTTTAAAGAACGAAAAAGTACCAAAAGGTCCCTTTTTATAGGTTCTCACTTAATCCAGGCTCTACATAGTTATTTTCATGTTTCTAGGTTCAATATTATAGGAAATTCAAAAAGTACCTTTTGAAGAACGAAACAGTACCAAAAAGACCCGTTTTATAGATTCTCATTTACTCCGGGCTCTACATGCTTAATTTCATGTTTCTAGGTTAAATTTTATAGAAAACTCAAAAAGTACCATTCGAAGGACGAAAAAGTACCAAAAAGTCCCCTTTTATAGATTCTCATTTACGCCGGGCTCTACATGCTTAATTTCATGTTTCTAGGTTAAATTTTATAGAAAACTCAAAAAGTACCTTTTGTAGAACGAAACAGTACCAAAAAGTCTCCTTTTATAGATTCTCATTTACTCCGGGCTCTACATGCTTAATTTCATGTTTCTAGGTTCAATATTATACAAAAATCCAAAAAATACCTTTTGAAGAACGAAAAAGTACCAAAAGTCCCCTTTTATAGGTTCTCACTTAATCCATCCTCTACATACTTAATTTCATGTTTCTAGGTTCAATATTATAGGAAATTCAAAAAGTACCTTTTGAAGAACGAAAAAGTGCCCTTTTATAGATTCTCATTTACTCCGGTCTCTACATGCTTAATTTCATTTTTCTATGTTAATTTTTATAGAAAACTCAAAAAGTACCTTTTGTAGAACGAAAAAGTACCAAAAAGTCCGCTTTTATAGATTCTCAATTACTACGGGCTCTACATGCTTAATTTCATTTTTCTAGGTTAAATTTTATAGAAAACTCAAAAAGTACCTTTTGTAGAACGAAAAAGTACCAAAAAGTCCGCTTTTATAGATTCTAATTTACTCCGGGCTCTACATGCTTAATTTCATGTTTCTAGGTTAAATTTTATAGAAAACTCAAAAAGTACCAGTCGAAGGACGAAAAAGTACCAAAAAGTTCCCTTTTATAGATTCTCATTTGTTCCGGGCTCTACATGCTTAATTTCACGTTTCTAGGTTCCATACTATACAAAAATCCAAAAAGTACCTTTTGAAGAACGAAAATGTACCAAAAGGTCCCCTTTTATAGGTTCTCACTTAATCCAGACTCTACATAGTTAATTTCATGTTTCTAGGTTCAATATTATAGGAAATTCAAAAAGTACCTTTTGAAGAACGAAACAGTACCAAAAAGTCCCCTTTTATAGATTCTCATTTACTCCGGGCTCTACATGCTTAATTTCATGTTTCTAGGTTAAATTTTATAAAAAACTCAAAAAGTACCAGTCGAAGGACGAAAAAGTACCAAAAAGTCCCCTTTTATAGATTCTCATTTACTCTGGGCTCTACATGCTTAATTTCACGTTTCTAGGTTCCATATTATACAAAAATCCAAAAAGTACCTTTTGAAGAACGAAAAAGTACCAAAAGTTCCCTTTTATAGGTTCTCACTTAATACATCCTCTACATACTTAATTTCATGTTTCTAGGTTCAATATTATAGGAAATTCAAAAAGTACCTTTTGAAGAACGAAACAGTACCAAAAAGTCCCCTTTTATAGATTCTCATTTACTCCGGGCTATACATGCTTAATTTCATTTTTCTAGGTTAAATCTTATAGAAAACTCAAAAAGTACCTTTTGTAGAACGAAAAAGTACCAAAAAATCCGCTTTTATAGATTCTCATTTACTACGGGCTCTACATGCTTAATTTCATTTTTCTAGGTTCAATATTATAGAAAATTCAAAAAGTACCAGTCGAAATACGAAAAAGTACCAAAAAGTCCCCTTTTATAGATTCTCACTTACTCCGGGCTCTACATGCTTAATTTCATGCTTCTAGGTTTAATTTTAAAGAAAACTCAAAAAAATACCTGTGTAGAACGAAAAAGTACGAATTATTTATTATTAATTTCATGTTTCGATTTCAATATCAAAGAAAACTCAAAAAGCACCAGATGGAGAATAAAAAAGTACCAAAAAATATCACTTGGTACCGGGGTTCCAAGTAACACCTCATTAGCATATTTAGTGTTTCTAAATCTAAAAATTTTATCTAAAATGGATCATTGTGTTTGAATAAAATCAAATTTCCCGTTTTTACCCCTTTTGGTACATTTTTTCTACCCATTAACGAAATAAAAATTCTATTCCAAAATGTTGCAGCATCGTAGTGGGAGCCTGTTATTATGTATTTATATGTATAAGTTAATAAACCAAAATCAATGTTTTATGAAAAAAGTACCAAAAATAGGTACAATTTTCACCCCTTAAACATCCGAATATCCAAAAAGTACTAAATTTATATTTTTTCGTCAAGTTATGAAGGAGTCAAAAATATTGTTTGAATGTTCACTGGTTTAAAAGATACATGGGGTGCAAAAAAAGTACCAAAATACAGTTTTTACCCGTTTATTCCCTAAAGGGGCCGTAATTGAAAAAAGTACCAGACACCTGTCCGCTTATTTTTTAAATGAACGACGATAAGCTTTAAACTATTTTTGTATCTTTTCTAGTTTAGGAGATATGAGGTTACCGATTTTACCCGTTTTTTCTCCTTTTTTACCCCCTAAACATTCGAATTTCCAAAAATCCCGTCTTAGTGGATCTATTTGGTGGGAGACCAACCCCCTGTCCAAATTTCAGCTCTTTAGCTTTTACCGTTTAGGCTGTGCGATGATGAATCAGTCAATCAGTCAGTCAGTCAGTAACGTTAGAATTTTATATATATAGATGATGTTTCCCAAATTTATTGGGTTCAGTATTGTCCGTTCGTGAGCTGGACAGTTTTCAAAAAAAATATCCTATGGGGAACACGATTTTTCATGTTCAATTCAATATTTTACCCATCTTCAAAAAAAATGGCCGTTCGTGAGCTGGACCGGTTACAAAAAGGTGCCTTTTTAGTTATTTTTTTTTTAAATTTTACAGTTTTTTTCTAAAACAAAATTTACAATACGTGGTATCATTTGAAAAGTTTTTTGAAGCCACGTCTAGTAGTGTGCAAAATTGTGCATTAATTTTATTTATATTAGTGAAAAACCTAAAAATTTTACATTTTTTGGAATATGAAAATTATGAGCAGACGGTAATTTGTGATTAATATATCAATGCACGCGGCTTTAAAACCCCTTTCAAACGATACCCCATATTGGATATATTGTTTCAAAACAAAACTAAAATTAAAAAAAAATTAAAAATTAAAAAATAATTAAAAAATACTTGTTTTAAATTTGGTCCACCTCACGAACGGTCATCGCTAGACTTAAAATATTTTGGGAATCATCATAAAACAAATCAAGGTAAAATCACGTTTTTGCTTTCCCTACAAAGTGAGTCGGTCTAATGGATATACATACAGTGAATCAACTAAGTTTTTTGCCTACCCTTTTTTAAGAGAATTTTGGTTTTGTATAGAATGGGAAAACCAAGGAAAAAATATTAATAATTTTGGTGCATTTGTTGTTGCATTTTATTATTTTTCATCAGAATTTGCACGTCAATAAAGTATTTTGCATATTGAAAATTCCAGTTAATTTCGTTAGGGTTTTCAAATTATTTTTTAATTGCTTTTTGGAATTTATTGTTTTATTGTTAAAAGGACACGTGTTAAGTATTTTTCAATTGTAATTTTCAAAAATCATATCCTCATTGTGTGAAAATGTGTAGTTATTTGCGTTAAAAATGTTTAAAGGGAAATAATGAGGCAATTCCAATATAAAAAAATTAGTTTAGATTTTTAGAACAAGTGTAAATCAATGAAATTCAATTATGAGAGGTTTAATCAATCATTAAAAAATATAAAATATAGAAATTAATGAAATAACACAAAGAATTATTTAAAAAAAACGCACTGAGTTGTCTTTCAAAATCTTTAACTGCCAAAGGAGAACGACTTGTATCTAAGCGAAAACCATTGAAGTCCTCATTTATCTTCTCCAAAGTCCATATACGAACTTAAAAGAACACTATGTTTAAATTTAGACCTCTAAACAGACCTTAGGTTGCTTGGAAACAATATAAAGTGAACTATCGTGTGGTACAGGAAAAATACTTAATTTAGATATTTACAAATAGAGGCGGTTCTCATCACCTAAGGTCCACAAAAGCAATATTTTTCAGCTAATACATAGACTTATATATAGTTAGAGCCCAAATCAAAAATAACTATCCAGATCCAACTACGCCTACGGCATTTTATTCATAAAATAAAGCATTCAAAATATGAGGTAGAAAATCAAGATTTTAGCTTGTAATAGTTCTATAGTGGGATACGGTGATATCCCCATACATAGAGTGGCTAGGATGATACTTAGTGTTAGATTTATTGAATAAGAATCAATATTATACAATTCTAAATAAAATTCACATTCCTACTCCCCAAATAGATGGGGTTTTCGTAATGTAGTTTTTATTTATCAATACAAAATGACCAAAAACCCAGATTATTTTGTTATAATATGTAGTTTTATACTCCACTAAACATTTTTTTCTATGTCCAAATCCATTGATTTTCTAGTATATAATGTATCCTTTTCAAAATTACTTATTATTTTCGAAATAAAATCAAAGAAACGATAGATTTCATCTTAAGTCAAATATTGATAGATTCTTATAGGTATATAGGATAATAAATCGGTTAAAGAAATGTCCAAATTTAGTCGTACCACTACTTAAATATCTAAAAAATTTTATTTTAATATACAGGAGTAATAAAAATGTAAAATTGTATAAAAATACACAGCAATATTAAAAAAATAAACAAAAAACCTAAAAAAGCAAAATACTTTATTGACCTAAAAAATTAACAATACGTTTACATTTTATAAGAAATCTCGTTAGTTAATATCACGATTTTACTTTTTTTTGGTAGAAAATTAAAATATAAGATATTCTTTAAAAAACACAACAAAGAAATTGCTTAACTTTGAAAAAAAAATTGTTCAGACAAAGTTTTTTCTTAAAATTTATAAAATTTTACATAGGCAAATTACTTAATTGATTCACTGTACATATCAATTTTGGCAAATTGTGAACGGATTTTTTACTGAAATAGCTATAAATTATATCTATATATTTAGAAAAATTATGAAAATATACAATTGGAAAGTATTGTGATGTTTTTATCGTTTCCTGTACAATTTCCCAAGTGGTTTATACGACCTTATTCGGCTACATGCTTCAGATACATAAATAAATTCATTTTTGTTTATATCCTTTTAAAGAGCCCTTATAATCGGCTCTTAAATATAATATTCATATCGGAAGAGCTAAAATTATCTACTAGATATTTTACACGATATGTTTGTTGAAATTACGGGCACAATAAGTTTTATTATTATTCGCTCTAATAAATTTTGTTAGGAATGGACCATTATATAACCAGATCTCAGGTAATTATATGTATGAATTCTAACTTGTACTACATTATAGTAAAACAATTTTAAATGACACTTAAAGATGTACATTTACAATAATAATAATATTTAACTAAAGAATAATACATTTTTAAAAATTAGAAGTCAAAAAAACATCAGTGCCATTTTCATCAGCATGGCTGTAAATATAAATTATATTTCGGATTTTATAACATTTATACTTGATCATTAAACTTATTACGACTGAATTAAATTAAAAATACATTTTAAAATACGGAAATAATTTTAAAAATTTTAAGACAACAATTTTAATGTTTTGACATTGACCGAATTTCAAAGTTGAGTTCAAATACCTCATCACTAGTTTAAAGAAAAAATTGTGTTGAAATGGGATTGATATTGAATTTTGTCTTTTAATCAAAGCCGTCTTATATCGATCAATAACGTTGGATCCTCGGTTTCTTTAGCAACATAGTATGGTGAGTCAGGATTTATAATAGTGCCTGGTTGTAGTTTTTCGGGTAAAGACGTGAGAGGACGACTAGTTGTAGAAGGTACTTGAGGTACGGGTGAGAATGTTGGTGGCGGCAATTGTATGGGTTGAGACGATGGGTTGTTGTTATTAGGAAACTGAGGTACTGGTCTAAAAAGTGGATTTTCTACTATCTCACTGATAAGATCTCCTTGGTCTGATGGTAGTGGTTGTGGTAAAGGTATAGGTTGTGGATAAGCTGTGTTATGACCGTTATTTGTTGCTGGGAAATTAGGATTTGGAGTTTGAATATTCCAATTGGGAGTCTGGGGATTATTATTGCCTTGAAGATCAGTATTAGGGGTTTGTATATTCCAATTGGGATTTTGAGGATAATTTGGTTGTAAATTACCATTTTCTGGATAACTTGGACTAGGTATTTGTGTATTCCAGTTAGGATTTTGAGGATTGTTTTGTTGTAAATCATTGTTTACAGGAGGATTTTGATTCGGATTAGTAACTGTTGGATTATTAGGATGTGGTAAATCATTGGAAGGTGGGATTGGACTTATTACTTTAGGAGGGTTGGTGACCGGTGGTTTGGTTGTAATCGGTGGTTTTTTTGTGGTATTTGGTTTTGCATTGTTTTGTGGCCTGGTTGTAGTAACAATTGGTTTAGGTTTGGTTGGTTGAGGTTTTGGTTTCACAGTAGTTGTAGGACGAGATTGTGCATTGGAGTTACCAGCTTGATTGGGTTTTTTATTGTTATTATTATTTGGTTTGTTTCCAGGATTTTGATGATTAGGTTTTTTTCCTTGAGAATTGCCATTAAAATTAGCTTGTGGTTTATTATTTCCTTGATTAGGTCTTTGACTTTGATTTGAATTATTTGCGACCGGTTTCTTTATTACATTATTAGGTCTTTGTCCTTGATTTGAATTATTTGCGTTTGGTTTCTTATTATTATTGTTATTATTATTTTTATTGCCGTTGTTATTATTAGGTCTGTTTCCATTGTTGTTGGGACGTTGATTTGGTCTATTGCCATTGTTGTTAGGATGTTGATTTGGTCCATTTGGTTTATTTTTATTACCATTATTACCCCGATTAAATCCCTGTTGACCTTGCTGGTTACCCACTTTATTTCCTTGACCATTATTAAAATTTGGTTTTGGCCTTAAGTTTCCGGGAAAATATGGTTGCGGCAATATTGGTGCGGCAAAATTTGGTTGTCCGAATGCATTAAATCCCCCACCAAATGGTTGATAGAAATTATTTGCGGCTTGTGGAAAACCAACACCAAATCCAGCGGAGGAACTGGACGAAGCGGAAGCTGTAGCTCCATTGGCACTTGCAAATGATACAGCTACAGCCTGTCCAGCAACTTTTTGATTTTGCAAATAAATCCCCGATAACAGAAATTTAAGAAATAAATTTTTCAAAGCGTTCATTTTGAATTTCTTTAATAATTCGACATAATACTAAAGCGACTAAATGATTTCAAATTCACAAAAGTACTAAATTAAAGATTATTCTCAAGAAATAACTTAAAAGAATTTTTGTAGTAAAAAAAAAAACAAAAAAAGAATATATTAATTAATATTAAATAGATTTGATTATCTACAAAATTTAATGATATGGGTCACTCAACCAAGTATTTAAAAAAATAATATATAATAAAATTAAGCAAATCAATAACTTTATAAGTGTTAGTATGAGTAATAGATAAGACTGGTTTGACTTAAGTATATTGAACATTGATTTATATCGCTTTTTTTAATACAATTGAAGCTTTACTTGAGATTTTAAACTTATTTGAATTTTTTCACAGGTTTTAAAATGAAACAAGTTACAGTGCTTAATTCAGCTTTGCTGAATCTTATATGTATATAACGAACTCGGTTATGACGAATCCTCAGATAAAACGAACTACTTTTTCAGTACCTCAAGTATAACCTCATAAAATTTTCCTTTCCGAACTTCAATAATTATGTTTTGAAATCATAAGAAAATATTAAGTTTTTTTTTTTGAAAAAAAAAACTTACATTTTTTGATCAACAAAAACTTCACCCGTCTATTTATGAACAAATCTGACTGGTCCCCAGGAGATCGTTATAAACGGGTTTGATTATATATAAGTTTTTCATTCCGTTTGTAATTTCTATAATACACAGAGAAAACAGATTCGTTGTGGTAACCGAATTTGTTTCCAATCGAATTTAGTCGGTTCCCACAACTATCCCATAATTCTATTGGGATGACTGAAAAATTTGATTGGCAATATAGAATATATGGAAATCATAATAGTTTCAAAATGAAATTCGGTAATATAAATAGAAACTAACAGTATTACTACTTGAAATATTATTTATTATACACATATTTGTGGATTCTATTTGTATACAATAAAATTTTATAAAATATAAATGTTTACAGATAAAAATAATTATAAAACACTTCTTGCATCAGATTTTGGGATACATTACATGCCTGACCTTTATTTTTGTCGTAAAAAAAGATTTTCCTTTAGTTTTTGCAAAACATTCCTTTGGATGATTTGAATTTCAGTGGAGATTTGGATTCCTTGCTTTTATTCCTGCAAACGCATTAAAAATCTTAAAAGCAACTAAGTACAAACTTTATTTTATGTTGAACATTACCTTTTCACCTAAATCCTTTAAAATTAAGCCGCAATTCCGTTTATTTCTTAAAATATTTTTACGTAATTCACCATTCTTTTATTTTCTTTAATAATTATTTTTGTGAATGTCAACAATCGGTTGGAAACATCGAATTTATTTATGTTCTTTAACCACAATCGAATTTTTAAGTATTTATAATTGATATTTAGTTGCAATGATGGTATGTAGTTTATTTGACTCAAAATTTTCGCTTTAACAAATTTTTCGGTTACAACTACTAATATTTAGAATTCTTAAGTTTGAATGCTAAATAAAATTCTGCTGTATTTACTGAATTAATAAAAACCATTTCACAAAAGATACAATTCGGTTGAAATTACCAATTCGGAAATTTTTATAGCCATAATTTGATTACAATCATGATTTTTCGGTTCTTAACATAGAAAATCACTCATATTTATAGTTTTTTAATATGAGCGATAGAATTTTAATTAACTTTACCAAATATTTATAATGGAAACCGATTTCCTATCGATCTGTTTTCTGTGTGTATCCAAAGCTTCAATAATTCTTCCAGGCATGCTTTCGAGAAGTTTTCTTTTAAAAATCAGCAAAATCGGTTCATAAATAGCGGAGATATGAGCAACAATTCGAGACAACTTCTGAAAATTTCATAAAAAATAGAGAATTTTTGTGCATGCAGGCGCAAGAAAATAGCAACAAACAGCTTTATATGGTATATGTTGTACTAAGTACAATTAGTTTGCTTGTTTATATATTTAGAACAAAACGTAATGTATAAAGCTATTGTCAAAGTCAGGGATGGGATTGTGTACGATCATATTTAATAAATTTTAAGAGTATAATTTTAAATGTTTACTTCATATATGCAGAACATATTTTTGGTTTCAATTACACTCAAAACTAACAATTTTAAAATATTTAATTTACGTTGAATTTTTATTTCGAGTGTATATAATGGAATGATCCATAAGATTAAAAAAAAAAACAAGTTTTGAACATAATTAAAATTCTCCAAAAAAGACCAGTTTATTTTTGTGTTTATTTTAAACAATTAAAAACACACTTATAGAAAAGAGAGAAAAAAAAATACATGAAGCAAAATTTAAAAACGAATCAAAACATTGCCGTTATATAGATAAATCTATAGAATACATATTCCTTTTTTCTTTTTCAATTTAATTTCCCGTTTTGCCGAAAAACAAAACGCATCCTCAAAAATTACAACATTTTTTTCCAAAAAAAATGTATAAATATCACGATGATATTGACATTGTAAGTAATATCTTATTTACAAAAAATAAAAACGAACAATGTACGGCTATTCATTATTAAGTGTTAAATATTTTATCGTCATTGTCTTTATTATCTTAATGTCTCATTTTTGTTGGGCACAAATGTCGCAAAATGTAAATTACAATTCAAATTTGTTGCAAGTACGTAGTGGGCGTACATATATGGATATAGCACGTATTATAAATCCAAATCAATATGCACACGTTGGTATGCAACCATATCCAGGACAACCATTCTGGCCCCAAGGAGGATAGCGAAAGATCAGATGCAGACTAAGAAATACATACATATGTTTATGAATATAATATTGATTGTATTTTTATTGATAGCAAAACAATTATATGTATATATTTATCAAAAATAAAGAAGATATTGAGATTTAAAAATACTTATGAATTCAGGTAGAATTTAATGTTCCCTAAATTTATATTATGTATTTATTATAAATATAGAATATCAGAGTATTGTACATAATTTCTTTATAGTCTCAACATATTGTTAGACATTCTAATATATTAGTATTTTCTCTATTATTTCTCATATTAAAGTTTCAATTATGAGATGTTATAAGTTAAATATGTCCAAATTTTAAGTGAACAGTTCTTTAGTAAAAATTTCTCAAAATTTATATGTGAAAAAGAACAAGTTCCAACCTGTTGTAATAATAATAATAATAATAATAATAATAATAATAATAATAATAATAATAATAATAATAATAATAATAATAATAATAATAATAATAATAATAATAATAATAATAATAATAATAATAATAATAATAATAATAATAACAATAATAATAATAATAATAATAATAATAATAATAATAATAATAATAATAATAATAATAATAATAATAATAATAATAATAATAATAATAATAATAATAATAATAATAATAATAATAATAATATTAATAATATTTGGATTATTTTTTTTAATAATAAAGCATTTAATTTGCTTTTTACCGTATATCCGGAATATTTTTATTTTGATTTTACTAAGTTTTGGAAATTTTTGTTTCGTCCTTGGGTTTCGTAGCGTGCGCACAAGGTTTACATGGACACAGAGACAGACAGACGGACGGACTGACATAACTGAATTGACTCAAAAAGAGATTCTTAGCCGATTGGTATACTTCATAAAAACAGAGGTTAAATTTATAGAAAATTTTTGTTTAATTTCATATTCAATAAAGTATCTATTTATATTTTATATAGAGACAATTTTGGATAAATTCTCAAGTGTTACAAACATTATGCTAAAATGTACATGCCAATAAAATTGTAGTTAACAAAAGGTGTAATAAATATATATTTATTTACTACTGTTTATGATTATTCATATATTTATCGCAGACACTATCTATGGGGTAGTTTACTATTATGTCGACTTTATTTATGGATAGTTGGAAAAGTGTTTAGTAAAATTTCTGGTAGATACTATAAATAATATAAAAAAGTAACACTCGTATTGCAACAACAACAACGTCTAAGCATTCCTTATCAATCGAAAAATAGTTTTAAAAGGGAGTACAAATCTAAACAAGAACAAATGTATGACAGAGGTTTAAAAGAATTAGTTTTTCATCTATAATGTATTTTTAATTAAAAATTTAAAGGTTTTTATGTTTGTAATATAACAAAATTTTTTTGATAGAAAAAAGATTTATTATGTATGTAATTAACAAAAACTACATATTGTAATTTGTCTAATTTTGAAAATTATACTCTTATAAAGAATACAAGATGATAATAATATTTTCAATAAGAAAATAGTTCAGTATATTAAAAGCACTAGGTACCGATCATATTCAATAGGTTGTCTCAACAAATCTGTTTTATCTATCTGCATAGTTTTGTTCATATATCGTCTGAATTCACTGAAAGTTAACGTCTTCTGAAGACATTATAGCAAACATTGCTAAATTCACTGAATGGAAAAAGTTCTAATCCTACTATTTTTACAACTAAAATACATATTTACATAAATAGTTCATTTATGTTCCATCAAAATCTGATTGTTATAATAATATTAACAACAATACAAGTAGGTACTGAATTGCCACTGCAGCAGTAGAAAAACTGATAATAAAAAATATTATCACAGTCCATTATAACGTTGGTTGATAAATAAATAAAATTGATAAATTTTGAAATGTTGGAAGTATAATACTTAATGATAAAATAGGAAATGTTGAATTTTTTTTTTAATGATACGAATAGAACTATAAAGAATAAAGGCACCAACGATAAAAAGCGGAATATGTACAATTAATATTCGAATAACATTAAGCACTCTATAGGCGGTAATATTTTTAATATATAACTAAAGAACAACGTATATATTAGAAACTTAGTTTTTTTCTATATTATGCTGTTAAATAATTAGTTCTCAAAACTTTCATTCATAATAGATTTAGTGAATGCAAAATGATTTTCTGATTTAATTACTATAGGGGGCGAAGGGTCAATTATGGGCCGATATTTGTTATTTACATATATTTGTTACATAATTATGTAGATTTGGATTCATAAAAAACAAGTTTATGTAAAATTTCATCATTCTACTTGTATTTTTAAGCTTGTTATAAACGTTAGAGTCATTTTCTGAAATAGGGTTCGATTTTGTTTATTTTCAATACAATAAAGAATTTCAGCCCTCTAGCTTCCCACGGACTTGCCTAAATTGTCGTAGAATCTAATAACAATACATAATATAGAAATATAATGCTTGCCTATGTCCAATATATTGATGTGTTACAAACGGAATTAAAAATACTCAACTTTTTCGATGGTGGGCAAGGGAAAATGACAAAAACTTATAATCAATAAAACAAGAAAAAACTAAAACTTGTTTTAAATTAATTAGTTCTAGAACGGATGAAAACGGAACTACTTATAGACTAGCGTTACTTCAAACGACTTGTTCTAAAACTCAATAACACTTAACTTTCACATAACCAATTTCGAAGTCATAGGTCTTAAGTTAAATCTTAAACTAATGCATCTTTTCTAGAACTATCTAGTTGTGTAACTTGTTTTTTTTTATTAAAAAAACATATTTTCTGATCCTAAAGAACTCAAGACCCTTGCGGGATGAGTTTTTCGATTATGTATGTAGAGTACATAAATACCGACTTCTATCGATATAAACTTTTGTATTTAACAAATATGTCAACAATATTGAATAACTGACTACCGTATATTTGAACATTGAAGGAATATCGTTTTGTTTTTCTAGCATTTCTGACTGCCAGTCTGTAGAATTTTTTTCGTGGTGGTAGTCGAGCTGTTCGTTTTTTTTTAATGATTCTTATTTCTACTGTATATGTCGAATCGAACGAACGTATAATAAAGACGCATGAAAATTGTTTGTGGGCCAGTCCAAACACTTGTTGATTGATTGCAATTTCAAACAAAGAGTAGCGAGAGTGTGACAAACGTGTGTGAAATATTTTCGGTAGTACCGAGATCAACGGCTTGTAAATTATCAAATGTTTTACATAAAGTGCAATATTAAAATTTAAAAAAAGAGAAAACAAAAAAAGAGTTAAATTAAATGCTTAAATAATTGAACTTGATCTTGGGTATATAAAAAAGAATATAAAGAAAGAAAAATACACTTATTCGTATGTCAACCTACATACACACATATTTATGTAATAGTGAATGTTAATTATTTAAAAAACAAACAAACCAAAAACATCACTTTATAAAAGAATACATATTTATTTATATAAAGTTATAAAATACTAATTGATTAAAATATACAAATTAATTGAACGTAATTGTTAAACGATATAAAACATTAATATTTATGATTTCAAATAAACAAAACTAAATGAAAAAAATATTTTAAAATTCTATAAAAAATTAATAAACAATTTTTGCAGTGTGTGAAATCCGAAAAAAAAATATATAAAATCTTCACAAAAATAAATTTCTCCATATTGTAAAATATTTCCAGTCAACCAGTCCATTATCAATATATAATAAATAACACAGGTTTAAATAAAATTTCCCAATATTGCTTAGTTTGAGTTAAACCTACACACTTTATGGGTTAACAATAATCTATTTTACTAAAATTTTATGTACATATGTTATTCTATTATCTGAAATTGTTATACTGTTTCAAAAGAGAAGTTTTTTTTCGAAATTCTCAAAATTCAAATTCAAACTGTAAGAGAAGTTGACCTAGCCAGTTAACGTAGACCTATCGTCCAAAATTTTTTCAGAATGAAATTTTATAATTTAAAGTTTAGGGCTAGAGGCAGAAAATATTCGCAATTTCTGTAAAATTACAGAATTGAGGTTTTATATGTGTGATAGGAAACTTTGTTGTACGTAACAGGAAAATATTGATTATAATCTAAAATCTTACTACTGATATTTAAAAAAGTATACCAAGATTATGGCAAAATTGTTCAAATACCTACATATAATTCTAAGAGATAACGGCGTGTTTTTTAAGACCTAGCCGATTGCTTTCAGAATATATAAAAATTTTTGAAATCGACATCGGTGCTGCTCTACATTAGCCCCCTGTGGGATACATTAACTCTAAATCTAATAATTTTTTGCAACGGCAATGGGGTCCCGATCGAACCAGACGTTTATTTTCAAAAAAATTTGATTCTGTCCTACTGTGCAGAGTTCGACAACATACATTTTAGTTTCCAATTAGATAAAATAATGGGCTTTAATAACACAGTGAGACAAAATAAACGAAAATTAAAATACCTGGCAAGTGATACTGTTTTTCTGAAAGGTGAATCCGAGTAGAACAAGAATCTATTTTTGAAATTTGCCAAACACCTCCAAGATCTTGAGATACGGATAAAAACCGGGTTTTCGTACCTTTAAGCACTTATAAGTCAGTAACTTAGTTGAATATCAACCGATTTTAAGTTTCTCAACGGATTTAGAAAGCAGAGGCTGAGGCCTTTATAATGACATATATGATGTTTAAATAACCTACAGAAATATGTGTGCATTTTATCGGCTAACGTGTTTTTGATTTTAGTATTTCACCATTTTCCAAGTTTTTAGATGGTTTTAGAAAGTATTTTGTATAGGAACCGTACTATTTAGTAATGCATTAGAAAACTATGTCTGTTCATAAGTAAAACGCAATTTTTCTTTTCAAAATCCATTGACGACGTTATTGATCTTTCTCTTAGAACAAAACTGTTCAAAAACTGATTTCCTGAAAGATGTTTTATATGGGTCATAGGGTTAAATATGGGTCGATCCTTATAAAATTTGGTGGAACGATTAATATTTTTATAAAAGTTTTTTATGCTGAATTTCATCGTGATATTAATATATGTAATTAAGAGAATTATGGAATTAAAGTCACTTTTTGAAAGACGGTTTGCATGGGGATTAGGGTCAAATAACTAAGTTACTGACTTATAAGTGCTTAAAGGTCCGAAAACCCGGGTTTTTACCCGTATCTCATGACTTTAGAGGTGTTTGGTAAATTTCAAAAACATATTCTTGTTCTACTCGGATCCAGCTTTCAGAAAAATAGTATCACTTTCAATTTGAAATAAGAAATAAAGTTAAAAAAATTAATAAGAATTATCATAAAGCAAGCCCTGATTGGTTTCTTATTAAGAACTTGTGTATCGGACTGGCAATACCAGTCTGGCAATACCAGTTAAAAAAATGTAAAGCGTACGTAGTAGGGTGATCCACTCGATTTTTCAACCGGTTTTAAAACCGGTTTTTTCTGCTTTACCAGTGTCGGTTTTTTCTTAATGTTGATTTTTCGAATATCGAATAACCCTGTTTTTTCACTTTTTAAAAACCGGTTTCGAATACTTTCATTTGCTTTGTATTCAAAGATTATTTAAATATAATTTTTAAGTAAATAATAATACAGCCCGTCTAAATTTTAAAAATATTCGAGTCGAGGAACTAGCGTATATTTTTCTACAGCTCCTTAAACTTTTTTGATTTTCCTAATTAATTAAAAAAAATTATTTGTAAAATTGATAACTGTTTGATAAAATTTTATCAATCTTAAGATTATATTCCATTTACAATAATTAATTTACGGCTGAAATTTTATGGAAGTGTTGGAATGCCTATGCAAATTTCCTAAACAGGGCTTTTAAAATAAGCTAGGATTACATAGTACCTTATGTTTAACAGAAGTGTCCCACTTTTTTCCTAATTTTTTTATAATAATGAAATAATGTAAATCAGACGACTAGATCTAAAGATATACCCCCTTATTCACAAACAACATTTTTATTTTATAAAAGGTTTATAAAACAAAATTTCCATATAAAATCTTATTTTTAAACTGTTTATAAAATAAAAATTTTGTTTGTGAATAAGGGGGATAATCTTTTAAACTGTTAAAAATCATTTCACATTAATCACATTAAGTTTTTCAAATTAAAATATATTTTTTTATTTATAATGAAAAACCGGTTAACCGGGTTTTTCTGAATTTGAAAAATATCAACCGGTTTTTTTTTAAAGTCATCTATTCGAACTATTCGAAAACCGGTTTTTGGAAAATGTCGAATAATCGATCACCCTAGTACGTAGGCATGCAAGTATTTAAATTCTTTTATTTCAGCGATAGTGAAAATACATATCTTCATTGTGTTTTATAAATTCAGCATTTTTAATGTTTTTTTCACCCGACGTCGCTGACGAAGTGTAACAATTAATAAAAAAAAAATTATTATTAATAATAAATACAAAGCAAAACACTACCATTAATAAATAACTTATATTTGTTGATACATATGTGTATATTAGTTAGGATCACGAAAAAAGAACTTACTGAAAACTAAGTTTGTATTAAAATTGGTTTGCATTCTGAAAATTTATGTTCTGCCGCTTATTTGGAATATATGCATTTGAAATTGTTTTTCGATTAAGAACAGTGTAAACCAAGTAGATAAGATCTTTATTCCTAAATCTAGAAATCTTAGATTCTATATAGTAATAATTAAATAATTTGAATATTTTTATATTTTATGTAAAAATAGAGATTAATTACAATTCTCATATTTTCAATTTTGATAATTTTTTCAATTATGTATAACTTAAAATGAACCAAGCCTAATTTTGAGAGGGAGAATAAAAAAGCGATTATATTTTATATGTAGGTCGAGAGCCGGTCTAATGTACATACATTATTTATACATACAGTTGTAATACTTTATTAATTTCAGAAATCTGAATAGATATTCATATATGAGTGTGTGCATGTTTATGAAAAAGAAGAAAATTGCAATAAATAAATAAATAAAAAACTTTATATATATGTATATGATACATTAAAAAAAGAGCAGCAGCACTTTACTATAATGTTTAGTGCATTAAATTATTGTGGTTCTTGAAGATGGTCAGCAATAAAATTACAGTAAATAGAGTGTTTAATTATTGCGTCTTTGTAATCTTATTAAATGGAGTTGGAAATGGTTTTACAAATGGATTTTTCATTGATTATGCAGGTAAGACATATATACTATTTTTGAAATTGTGATATCATACATTTTATGAAAGTTTTTGGATCAGCACTAATTTTGGCGTAAATTTTGGGCGAAATTTTTTGATAGACCGAAAACTGCTGAATATACTTCAAATCCGACTTTAGTATACTATTCTACAGGAAAATTTAAGATATATAAACTTAATTTGACAGAATTTGGATGCACTATAAATGCATAAGAGCAAAAGAAAAAATGCAATTAAAAAAAAAAAAATCAAAACTTGATTTTAACATTCGAAAATATAATATTCAATGCCCTTAAAAAAATTATGTTAAAATTTTTAATTTATTGTAATCCGTTTAGGAGTTATGATGGTTATAATGCTAACTTGTGAGTTAATAATTTCCCATCAAACAATGGTGTTTTTCATCATCACTTCCGAATTTAATAAAGCTCCACCCAATTAATGTTCCCTATATAACTTGTATAATGACAAATTTTGGCCCTATAACTTTCGTGGTTTTCGAAATATAGCGTTGTAAAGTTTAAAATCTGAAAATTTAAAGTCTCATCACATCTAAAGGGTTAATGATAGAATTTTTGCACCATTTTTTTCAGCATAATCAAAAAATACTTTGATTATGTGTAAAGAAAAAAAATGTTTGAAATATTTTTTTAAAAAAGTGCATCTTTGGATAATTCTAAATGAATTTGAGTTCAGATCATTCTTACCGATTTGTCCTATAAAATCAATTATTAAAGCATGATTTGCTATTAATCCTGCAGATTCTGCTCTGTAAAAAATGTCGCAAAAATTTTGAAACGAAGCCTAATATATACATGTATATGAAATAAGTCATATTTGCTTCCATGGACTTGGTTTTTCAATTTATGAAATAAATAAACAAAAAAATGCATAAGGAGTGAAACAACTTATATACTTTTCTAGCCAAAAAAGACATTAAACAGTATTAGGAAGACTTGATCATTAAATGAAAACGTGGATCGGGAAGAAAAAAAGGTCTAGCACAAAAAATAAGTCTAACAACTACTACCAAAAGTACCAAAGAAGAGCAGCACGTAAAGTTGAATGCTCTGATTCTTTTATGCCCAGAGCCAAAGCTTTTGCTGGGTTGAAGTCGTATAAAGTTCAGAAAATTCCAGATTAATTCGGTAAAAAACTAAGTAGCAAAAAAAAAGAGCGAAAAAATTAAATCAAATTTTATAAAAAATACACTTGTTTATGCGGCTGATGAACGAGGTCGGTTCAAGAATAAAATCGAATACATCGCGATACTAATGGTTATAAGTCAATTTTTTGACATTTAAGATATTTTCTAAAGGTGGTTTGTATGGGGGCTAGGTCAAACGACGGCCGATCATTATTAAAGTTGACATGGCCATTTATGCGTATATAAGACTTAGTTGTAGTATATAATACATAGTTATGAGTTAAAAACTCCGAAATAATGGACCGATTTCAACCATTTTCATGGTTCTTGTGCCGAAAAACTTATAGCCCAAATTTTATCAAAATATCTTGAAAATTGTAGCCTGTAGCCTGCGCAAAGAAAGTGATTCTAAGTCGATCGGTATACATTAAGGTGGATATAGGACCAATATTTCTATGCGTTACAAACATCAGCACAGTGGTGTAGGGTATAAAATCAAATAAAATTCCCCAAGATGTGGCAACTAATTTGCAGTTGTGGCAAAATATGGCAAATAACTTTTTACATTAGAAAAAATGTAAAATGTAATTTTAAACAACTCAGAGTGTCTTCACATATCTGGACCGATTTGGCATCATGTTACTATGGAAAAGAGGCTCTTAAGTGGTATTCAAACTAAAATGACAGAAAACCGCCCAGAACTTTGGCCTGTGAAAAGGTTTTGTAAAACAAGTAAGAGTGTTATATTCGGCTATGCCGAATCTTATATACCCACCATCAAACCTCGTTTGACTCGAATGAAACTTACTTATGTCGAATTTCATCTATATACTGGTATTTTTAGGCCAGTTATAAGCGTTAAAGTAATTTTCTGAAGGGGACCTTATATAGAGGGGTAGGGTCAATTATGGGTCGATCCATATAAAATTTGGTAGACAGAATTTGGTGCATATTAAATTTATTTGTGTCGAATTTCATCGCTACACTCGTATTTTTAAGCCATTAATGAGCGTTGCAGTCATTTTTTGAAGGGGACCTTATATGGGGGGTAGGGTCAATCATGGACCGATCCTCATAAAATTTTTTAGATAGATTTTGACTCGTATGAAACTTACTTATGTCGAATTTCATCTATATACTAGTATTTTTAAGTCATTAATGAGCGTTAAAGTCATTTTCTGAAGGGGAACTTATATGGGGAGTAGGGTCAATTATGGACCGATCCTCATAAAATTTTGCATAATGATTTTGAATCGTAAGAAACTTACTTATGTCGAATTTCATCGCTATATTCGAATTTTTAAACAAGTTATGACTGTTTAAGCTGCTTTTCGAGGGGCCACTTGTATGGGGGCTATCCGAAAACGTGGACCGATATTGCCCATTTTCAATACCAAACAAACCTTATCTATAGGAAATATTTATGTGAAATTTCAACCCTCTAGCTCTTTCCATTCGGACTCTATCGTGCTTTCAACAGACAGACAGACGGACGGACGGACAGACAGACGGACAGAAATGGCTAGATCGTCTTAGAATTTAATGAGGACCCAGAATATATATACTTTTGTGGGTCTATGACCAATATTTCGATTTGTTACAAATGGAATGACAAAACCAATATACCCCCCCATCTTTTTTGATGGTGGGTATAAAAAGAATTACAGAACACAGGGAAGTTGCCGCAGGAAATGTGCGACTTTAAGCGTTAGTCGAACACCTTGTTCAAAAATGCATAGGACTATATACTTTAAAATCTTTAATGGGAGGATTTCTAGAAAAGTGGATACATTTATAAATCGTCATCTCAAATGCAAAAAGGCGTAACAACACTTTTAATAAATTTACAGGAGAGACAAAAAACGAAATAAAATGAAAGCTAACATCAATAAACATGTATTAAGTTCTATTAAACTTAATACAAGTATGTACAAGTTTTTTCTGACGCAGTCCTTACATACTTATAAGTATGTTTTACAAATGACTTAAACTGGAATAATTAATTGAAAACGAACGGACAACACTAAAACCAAAATATTTTGGACAACACCTTATAACATTACAAGTTAACTCAGGGTAACTCAAGAATAATTTTTGGGCCATATTTTATGGTTCCAAGATTCGAAGACGATTTATAAATGTCCGTCAGTCTATGGAGAATATAAATATTTTCTGTTACTGCAGCTTGATTGGTATATATATAATGTCTTGTCTTTGGGCAAAATATGTCTTCCATAAGGTCGGTCCCCTTCAGAATGTAAATTTAACGTTCATAAAAAGTGATGAACTTTAACATGACCAAGTTTTTTATGAACCAAAATTACTCTATCAAATTTCAAAAGGATAGGATAATTGATCCTACCTCCAAATTAGTATGTTAATTGAAAAAATAACTGTGTACTAGAGAATTCTTTATGTCTACTTATGTCTAAATTAAAGATATCAAGACTATATTTCATTTTTATTTTCAGAAAATTCAGAGCTTATACAACAGCAAATTGGATACAATATAACATTGCCATGTAGTTTAAAGGGTCTAGTGGATGAAACGAAAACTACAGATATAACATACAATTGGTATTTCAAAGTGAGTAGTAACAGAAAATATAGTGCAAAAAAACTAGAAAATTCAAAAAAAATTTTCATAAATTACAGCAATGTGGCGAAGGTTCGGGCGGTACTCCCAATTGTTATGACACAAATGATTATGAAGACTGGACACAGTTGCCGTGTGAAATTAATATTTGTAAAGCACATTTATACTTGAAAAATATAACAGAAAAATATTCTGGTCTATACAAATGTACTGTTATGCCTAAAATGGGCAATATATTAGATGTTAAATTAGTCAGAACATTTCAATTGGATGTAAAAAGTAAGTTGTGTTATAGAAATTTGTATTAAATTCAATTTAATATTTTTTTATTTATTTTAATTTAATTTTAGATACCTCCATGAAAATTCCGGAATTTTTAGATGCATATCCTTTAAATAAAACTATTAATAAAGGATCTCAAGCGGTTTTTCAATGTCGTGTATTTAGTGAAGAGTATCCTACTATTAAATGGTTTCGACGACTAGCCAATTACAAATACCATGATTATGAGAATATACATTCAATAGTACATTATAATGGTCAGGCCTATGAATTGTTGACCTCGGCCCGTGAAAAACCTACCGCCCGTGATGTATATTTAAGTAAACTTATAATAAATGAAGTACATCTACAAGATGAGGGCTATTATGCTTGTGTGGCGATAAGTTTTCGTGGTCACAGTATACGGGAAGCATATTTAAAAGTTAATGTACCCGATGATGATGGTAACGAAGATTCGGCAGAATACTGGGCGGATTATAGTGAGGAAGACGAGGTTTTATCTACAGATCCAAAACGGTTTGGTTTACTTTTTCTAATGCCAGTGGGTTTGGCATTATTACCATTATCTGTATATTTGTGTTATATCATTCATAAACGATATAGAAATCCCAATTTAATGGATCAATCAAAATATTCTGAAGAATATGATCAACAGTGTATGTTGAGAACGTAGAAAAAAGAAGAATTAACCTGAATTTTTTAGTTAAGAACAAATGTTATTTGTTAATTAATCTAAATATTTGATGCCTTAATGATTTTCTAGAAAACCAAAGATTGTATTTTAAATGTAATTTAGTATTAAACGAAAAAAATGGCATTACTGTTAATTAGAGTTTACGCTTATTAGTTGTTAATATCACACGTTTATGATAAGTAATAAAATCGTAAATTATAATACTAACTATATTTTTGTAATATGTATTTATTTTTCATACCCAACATACAATAGTTGTGTTTTGTTGCTAACGTTCAAAGGCAATTTCATATAAATTTAAAATTTATAAACGTTAGGAGTTAACGTGTAAAATTATACAAGTTAATTTTAACGTCGATAAAAGTGCTACCAATTCAAAAATAAAAATACAAATATTAATGTGTTTATGTCAAACAATAAAAAAATATTTTAAAATAAAATTTAAATCAAAAAAATATCAAATAAAAAAACCTTTTTTAAGAATATGTAAATAATTTCAAGATTTAGCAGATTTCTTCTGTGGAGTGATGCCAAGTCAGGTAATGTTCGTTTTGTTGCTAACTTTAAGCGTTAACACTCATTGATAGCAACAAAACACAACTAATATACAATTTTTTGCATAATTTTTGTTACTTCTTAAATTACATTAAGCATTATCAAATGTATAGTGTTTTTAAGGTATTTTAAACTTTGCGGCTAAATTGTTCCCATGTGCTTTAAGGGGTTCATTTTGTTTTTTTTTATTTAAATGATATTTTCAATATCGGACTTTGTACCATATATTCTCGTGTTTTTTTTATTAAATATTGTCGACATGTTATACAGAGAATTTCCAAATATTGCTGGGTTAAGTTTGAATAAAACTTCGGACATATATTTTGTATTAGCTGGACTATATTACTTTGAAAATACTTTATTTAAAATGTACATCAGTAAAAAGTGGAGACTCTCTAAAATAGTACAAAAAATGCGATTTTCTGGAAATCCAGCGCATTGAAATCCCAGGTAAAGGTAAACTGTAAGAGGTATTGATCTAATTTTATTGTGTTTTTCTCTTATCTATCTATCTATCTATCTACCTATATATCTATCTATCTATCTATCTATCTATCTATCTATCTATCTATCTATCTATCTATCTATCTATCTATCTATCTATCTATCTATCTATCTATCTATCTATCTATCTATCTATCTATCTATCTATCTATCTATCTATCTATCTATCTATCTATCTATCTATCTATATAAAATTAGTTATAAATATCGATAAATCTTGTAAAATATTAATTTGAAATGGAATGGCCCATTTATTATATTTCAGAAAAACGCTTCATTCCTTACAAATGTCTTATATGACTATTGAGATGAAATTTGGAATCGTGTCTGAAAATACTGAGAATACGAGTTACGCTTATTTTGTCAAATATTTCCACAAATTCTAATTATTCGTTACCGTTATTGAAAACTCTATATAAAAACAAAATAAAATTAAGCCAAATGGTTAATTTCGAATGTATTGTCAAAATTTCAATTCAATATTTACGCAGAGTCGTCGGATTTTTTAAATCAAAATTTTTAGCAAAGAAATTTTAAAAAATATAAATTTTTTAACATTGTCAAGAATTTTTCTAAAATAAAACATTATATATTTTATACTTGTGATTTTTTGTATAAATATTTTAAAAGTTCTTCGAACTAATAGAACGAATTTGATGATATTAGAGATCTATTTGAATTTTTATTTGATGAGACATTTTGAAGTGCATATTTTTTATTTGCGTATTTGTATTAACATTGTCAATCAGATTGAGCCTATAGAACAGCCATTGGAACAATTGGACTTGTAATAGAAGTTAATACAGTTTAAGTTGAGAGTAAAAATAAATAATGTCGCGTAAGCGTGTGTCAGGTGTTCGATTGTTTAGCAATGGTATTCCTACACCCTACAATCAAGCTTATCCATATGAATATTATCGTCCTGGCTGCTACTATATACCCCAAGTTGAACATCAGGTAACTCCGTACACTCGTACCTATACCGACCACTGGCAGCCATATTGTAATACGGCCACATATGTGGTGGATTGTTTTGGTAGAGTTAATTATCCCAGTGATTTTGAATATCAATTGCATGTACCGACGACAACATTCATGCATTCCCCGCCTAGAGAAGTTTTGTATCAGTATTATGATAATGGGGAGACAGAAATAGCATCATTACCACAAATCGAAGAAGACGATTATGTAGATGAACGAGATGTTATATTGCGCAAACGTAAGCGTTTTAATCATGAAACGGTATTAAAGAATTGGAATCGTAAAAAGCTCAAGAAGAATCATAATGTATATCGTTCCAATGAGGGTTACTTGGTAGAGGAACCAAGTGATAATGTTTGCTAGAGAGTTTAAGGCATTATGTACTTTAATGTTATTTCCAAACATTGTTGAAAATTTATTTATGGTGAAATAAATTATGTATAAAATGTATGATTTATTGTATTTAACATGTTTCTTATAAAAAAAACAATTTCGGAATAAGGTCTATTCTATTTATTACTTTTAACATTTATATCTCTCAACCCCATACTGTTTATGGTTAATATTATTCGTATTTATAAATGCTAAAACAGGTTCATTGAACAAAAACGAAACTTAAAAATCGAAAGATATGTTCGTTGCAAAATAATTTTTTTCATTCCAAATTTAACACAACAACGATAAGATTGTATACATGTTTAAAAACAAATATAAAACTGAACTTTCGTACAGGTACTCTAATGAAAGTAAAATTAAACATTTATACGAGCAAATTATTTAGTTTACTCTCAGCAATGTCTAGCAAACCAATACTGTACGGAACTTTTACCAGTCCCACCGTTATGGCGGTACTAATTACTCTCAAAGCTTTAAATATTGATTTTGAGTTTCGTGAGATCAAGCCGCGATTACAAGAAAATCTCACAGCAGATTATTTAAGAAAAAATCCTGCTCATACCGTACCAACTTTAGAAACTGAAGAACATAAGTTCATTGGCGATTCACATGCCATCATGACATATTTAGTCGATCGTTATGTTAAAGGTGACAGCAATTGGTATCCCAAGGATTTATATCGACGTGCAAAAGTCAATGAACTTTTACATTTTGAAAATGGTGTACTTTTTATGATGTGTGTCAAACAAACGTATGGACCTATATTCTCGGGTCTAAGAACTAATGTACCTGATGAGAAGTTTAAGGAGATTGATGAGGCTTATGATATGATGGAACGTTTCATTGGGTATAATAAATATGTGGCTGGTCCACACATATCCATTGCAGATTTAAGTTGTATAACTTCGATAAGCAGCATGTATTTTTTGCGCCCGTTTACTGAAGAAACACATCCAAAGCTGTTTGATTGGCTGGGACGCATGAAATCGTTACCATACGTTCAAGAGGTATTAATGAGCGATGTACAAGGTTCAACATTGAAATTTTTATCTAAAACTATGTCACATTTGTAAATTACTTAAATAATAAAGGATTACATCTTAATCAAGGTCTAAATCATAGTTTGGTCTAAGTAAATACATAATATGTATTTATATAGTTAAACATTTTAATATAGACTCGGTTTCCGGGTGCAAAATATAATTATTAATTAAACTACAGTTTTCCAAATTGAAAACAATTCCTTGATATTAAATTTGGTTAAAATTGGTCTGTTTTGACCCTTTAGCAAACGACCAATCTGTAGGGCTGATCGTTCGTTCGTTTGCTGAAGGGTGATAATATGTATTTATATAGTTAAACATTTTAATATAGACTCGGTTTCCGGGTGCAAAATATAATTATTAATTAAACTACAGTTTTCCAAATTGAAAACAATTCCTTGATATTAAATTTGGTTAAAATTGGTCTGTTTTGACCCTTTAGCAAACGACCAATCTGTAGGGCTGATCGTTCGTTCGTTTGCTGAAGGGTGATAACTAAAAAAATACATGTAGTTTGAATCATGATACAACCCAAACAAATGGTCGGTCTTGACCGACTATTCGTTCTTTTTTGTTATTTTATTGTATGTATTTCAATATAAATCAATAAATTGTGGAAAAATCATAAAATAAACTAGATTGTTTGTTGCTGGCATACATTTGTTATGAAATGCAAGTCGGTTCCTTGTTTGTTGCTTACAGTTTCAATATTTTCAATTGTTTTTTAAACTACAGCAAAAACAACCGTTACAATATAAATAAGAAATTAAAGGCCAACTAAACGACCGTAGCATACCCTACCCATGTACGGTGGTACCATATCAGTGATCGGTTCCACAAATTTAGTATAAAGATACAAATTCTAAATTATACGTAAATCGTTTGTAATAAGTATAATTTCAGTCTAATCTCACGGAATTTGATAGAGCGTTTAATTTTAATAAGCGGGTTTTCATAAAGAACATCTGCCTACCCCCAAGTAACTAGTTACAGGACTAGCAGTTATAGGTTCTCTACTCTTTAGTAGTTTACTAATTTTTAAAAAAGTAATGTTTTTAATTTCATTTCGCCAAATATAGCACGTTTCTGTATTTTTTTAACATCTACAAAAATATGAATATTTTCTTATCAGTATTTCTAGACTCGTGTGAGTGTTAGTTGTTTTTGTTAGAATACTAATTAGATTATCGGGGTTTAATATTTGTTTATTTTTTATGGGAGTGTCTGACGTAATTTACACTCAATAAAAATGCTCTGTGAGATGCTTAAGAGAATACTAACCAGGGACGGAAAATGAAATTTTACATTCAGAGAGTTAAAATTACAGAAAATGTTATGCGGAAAAAACAAATATAATTGTTATGCAGTTCTACTTCTAACATAGTGGTTTAGGAGAACGGAGGTGGGTTCTTTTCCAACAATTTCTATAGCAGAATTTTTTATTGATATTTTCCTATAAGATAAGAATGTACAGTCAACGTACAAATTTGGCTGGTGCCACGAATTTCGTAAGTATTTATATAAAATTTATAGAAATTTTTTAAACAAACAATTTATCTAAAATTAATGAATTTAAAAAAAATGTGTTTTAAAAACAGAAAATTTATCGATAATTATCTAATAACAAAAGAGTTTTTCTATAAATTAGAAATATATCGAAACTTTTCTAAAAAAAATATTTTAAAAATAAAATTTATCGATAATTTTATATTAAAAAGAACATTTTTTATAAAAAAGAAAACACTTCAAACCTTTTTTATAAAAATAAATTTTATTAAAAATATTTCGAAAATTTTCTATAAAAATAATAAATTAATTGAAAATATAAAAAGAAAACTTTCTGTTAAAAAGAAAATTTATCAACTATTTTATCAAACACTTTTCTATTAAAAGGGAAATTTATCGAAAGAATTTTTTTTCAAATTTTCTATTAGAATGAAATTTTATAGAAAATTTTCAATTAAAAAGAAAATTTATCAAAAATTTTCTATTAAAATATTATAGAAAAATTATTCTATAAATAGAAAGAAAATGTATAGAAAATATTCTCTAAAAGAAAAAAATTTCGAAAACTATATCAAAAAAATATTAAAATTAGTTTTGTGAATTTGAAATAATATCAAACAGAAGTAAAAATGTATCAAATTATCCATCCCTGTTACATATCGTGAAATTGTTTAGACAAGAGTATTTTATGTGTGAGAGAAGTCATATACGACTTTAAGAATCCTTAATTTTAATACCAACTGCATCTAATGATACACTAGTGTATCTGATTTGGATCATAATATGATTACATTAAAAAATGATATGATTATTTTAAACCATAATATAATTGCATCAAAAGATAGTTTGATTAAGAGAATATTACGATTGTATTTAATTATATTAAAATATTAGAAATTATTATTTATTAAAAATATTAATATTAATCATAATATGTTTATGGTTGTAGAAATTTTAACAATCTTGCAGACATGCTCTACTGAACAAAAATTTTAAAAATATGTGTTCAACGAACCAATTATATAAATTACCACTACTCACAGTAGGGTATTTGTATGAAATAAAACTCACTTTACCACTTTATTTGTTTACACTCAGACGGACAGACAAAATATTTTCAAAATATTTATTTACAGACATAAATTGTATACGGTGTCTAAAGATTTATTTACGCGCTTGGTTTTCGTTTAGTATCTCGCTCACTATCTGTACTCAAACCGAAAAACACACACATTAAATGTGCAAAAAGCGCATTTAAATAAAAAATCAGTTGAACATACTTTTCGGTACGAAGAGGTTGAAAAACTTTTAAAATAAAACAAAAATTTTCTTTTAACATTTTAACCACAATAATTTAGAATTAAAAAAGTAGAAAAAAACCTCGTACAACTATTTTTAGAAATGTATTAAACAAAAGTGTAATAAATTTAAAATCAAACAAATGCAAATTAATTAAAGAAATATATAAAACATAATTGTTTTCAAAATTAAATGAAAAACAGCATATTAATATAAAAAAATCCATCCATATAATAAATAATAAAAATGGCTAAGATCGATTGTAAGTCCAGGCGTGGCACCAAAATCTCGGTAATGATCTTGGGTGGTGCCCTCTGCACTGTAATGATGGCCTATTTTGTATTTGGTGATACAAATGATGAACGTGGCTTACGAAATTTACGTATGATATCAATTGTAAGTATGACGTAGGCGACAAGTACATTGATCATCAATGACATTTACAATTTGTTGTTTTCTTTGAACTCTCACAAACATTGCTATTGAAAGAGAAAGTAAGTGCTCTTTTTGTATATAAACATAAAATTTGAGTGAGAAAAAATGAGAAAAAAAAAAAAATAAATGCTGTTAATTTGGCATATTTACAAAAATGTAAACAAATGTAAACGTCATTAATGGTGTAGTATTTATTTATTTTTTGATAGGTTAAACGGATTTTGTAGAAAAGTTAATTTTATTAAAGCTTTTTAGACATGGTGAAAAGAATCCAAGTGAACTATATCCTAATGATTCACATGCTACGCATGAATGGCCTGGTGGTTTAGGAGCACTGACTCAGGTATGTTTAGAAAAAAAAAAAGAATTTATCAACAATTTCATAAAAAAATATCGAAAATGTTTTCTTTTTATAGAAAAATTGTCGATAAATTTTCTTTTTATAGAAAATTGTTGATAAATTTTCTTTTTATTGAAAATTGTCTATAATTTTTTTTATTAAAAATTGTCGATAAATTTTCTTTTTATAGAAAATTGTCGATAGATTTCTTTTTATAAAAAATTGTTTTTTTTTTTTAATGTTTGGATAAATTTTCATTTATCGAAAATTTTCTATAAAAAAAGAAAAACAATTATCAAAAATTTAGCATAAAAAGAACATTTATCGAAATTTTTCTATAAAAAGAAAATTTATCGACAATTTATATTAAAAGAAAATTTATCCAAACATTTTCAAAAAAAAAAAAAACAATTTTCAATAAAATGAAAATTTATCGAAAATTTTCAATAAAATGAAAATTTATCGAAAATTTTCAATAAAATGAAAATTTATCGAAAATTTTCAATAAAATGAAAATTTATCGAAAATTTTCAATAAAATGAAAATTTATCGAAAATTTTCAATAAAATGAAAATTTATCGAAAATTTTCAATAAAAAGAAAATTTATCGAAAATTTTCAATAAAAAGAAAATTTGTCGAAAATTTTCAATAAAAGAAAAATTTGTCGAAAATTTTCAATAAAAAGAATATTTGTCGAAAATTTTCAATAAAAAGAATATTTGTCGAAAATTTTCAATAAAAAGAATATTTGTCGAAAATTTTCAATAAAAAGAAAATTTGTCGAAAATTTTCAATAAAAAGAAAATTTGTCGAAAATTTTCTATAAAAAGAAAATTTGTCGAAAATTTTCTATAAAAAGAAAATTTATCGAAAATTTTCTATAAAAAGAAAATTTATCGAAAATTTTCTATAAAAAGAAAATTTATCGAAAATTTTCTATAAAAAGAAAATTTATCGAAAATTTTCTATAAAAAGAAAATTTATCGAAAATTTTCTATAAAAAGAAAATTTATCGAAAATTTTCTATAAAAAGAAAATTTATCGAAAATTTTCTATAAAAAGAAAATTTATCGAAAATTTTCTATAAAAAGAAAATTTATCGAAAATTTTCTATAAAAAGAAAATTTATCGAAAATTTTCTATAAAAAGAAAATTTATCGAAAATTTTCTATAAAAAGAAAATTTATCGAAAATTTTCTATAAAAAGAAAATTTATCGAAAATTTTCTATAAAAAGAAAATTTATCGAAAATTCGCAATAAAAAGAAAATTTATGGACAATTTTCTATAAGAAAATTTACTATAAAAAGAATATTTTCTATTAAATGAAAATTTATCGACAATTTTTTATAAAAATACAATTTCTATTTATAGAAAATTTATGAAAAATTAAAAAAAAAATTAAATTTTTCGACAATTTTCTATATAAGAAAATTTATTGATAATTTTCTATAAAAATAATATTTATCGAACATTTTGTATAAAAATCTATAATTTATGGAACAACATTTCTCTTTTAGAAAGGTAGTCTTCAATCTTATAATTTGGGCAAAAACTTGAGAATGCGATATTATCGACTGCTGCCGCCGAATGGTCTTTATACGCAGCAACAAATTAGGGTCTTAAGTTCAGCAGCTGAGAGGTGTATTATGAGTGCTAATAGTCTATTGGCAGGTTTTATGCCTCCATTGGAACATAGTAATCCTTTGCCAATACAATGGCAACCGGTGCCAGTTAATTCTATACCCAGAAAAGAAGATACGGTAATTACACAGACAATTTGTAATAGATGTTTCGAAATATAATTATATTTAGTTAATCCATTTCTTCTACAGCTATTGGCCCAAAAGAAACCCTGTGCCAAATATGATACAATTTTAGATAAATTATACAAAAATCCACCACCCGATTTGAAAAAGCTAAACGAAGAAAATGCTGAACTGTATAAACTTTTAACACGACATACGGGCAAGAATATAAGCAATGTATTGGATGTTGAATACTTATATAATACTTTGAAAATTGAGAGTGAAGCTGGTTTAGATTTACCCGATTGGGCTGAAAACATCTATCCCGACCGTTTGGAACCTTTGGCCGAAAGAAGTTATGTACTCTTTACGGAAACAAATCTTATGAAAAAAGTTAAGGGTGGTGCATTTCTAAATGAAATTCACTCAAAAATGATTGATAAAAGAAAGCGCAATTTGAATCCAGATCGTAAAATATTTTTATATTCTGGCCATGATGTAACGCTAGTAAATGTTATGAATTCTTTAAATATTTTGGATCAAACGGCGAAATTACCGGAATATGCTTCAGCATTAGCTTTCGAATTGCATCATAGTTCCCTGTTTAAAGATGATTTTGAGGTTAAGGTAAATTATTTTTTTTATTCTAAAAGTGATGTTTAAATTATTATAAAATGGTTTTATCTTATCCATTTTATCTAAATTGACAACTTATTTTATTATTTTACAGATTGTTTATTATTACAATAGTGATGATAAATTCCCCAAAGAGTTGGCCATACCCAATTGTGATGCTCCCTGTTCGCTAACGAAATTTTCGGCATCTATTAAACATTTACTTCTGTCGGATTACGATGAAACATGTGAAAATACCAAACCAGATTGTACGAGCAAATGACTTAAAAACTATTGTATTTATGATTTCAAAGTGAGATTTTTAAATACAGTTTCCCCCTTATGTACTTGTATTGTTGTAATGTGATAGTTAAAGAAAAATATTTTAAATAAATGTTGTTGAATTTGTTGTTAAATTTATATAGAAATCTGATTAAATGGAAATAATTATTTAGTGTGAATATACATTATTACATGGAAAATTAAAATAATTTTTCTGTAGGTTTCAGAACACTGTGCTACTGTAATTTAAAATATTTGGAGATTGCTAATCACGCTTTGATCGATTCCAATATATTTAAGCATCGGGTAGGGTCAAATAAGGACCGATCCTCATAAAATTCTGAGGAGGGATTTATGTTTACATAAGTTATTTGTGCTGAATTTCATACTAATGCTTATAGGTCAATAATGGACGTAAGGTAAGTTTGTACGGTGGCAAGGATCAAATGAGGCCCGATCATTACGAAAATTGACAGTATAACTTGTGGTTATATATGTATAACTTCGTTGTAAAGGAATCGGTAGATCGGATGTATGGGGCTTGGTGAAATAATGGACCGATTTTCATCACTTTCAATAGGCTTCATCCGTGTCCTCGTCTACGTCCGAAAGAGACGTATGTGATAAATTTCATAAAATTATTGGCCTGTAGTTTGATTGGAAAATATTAATAGAATTTGAATAGATATTACGACCGGTATCGTATGCCGTAATTTTGGCCCACGCCCAATATTAATTCAACTCCACTTAGATGGTCTTCTTCCGAAACTCATGCCAACGCTTATAATGTTTAAAGTAATTTCGTTATTCAGATTCGATATAAATCAGATTCATAAAACAAGACGCTGAAAAAATTCAGTATAATGGAATAAGTCTTAAAAAACTCAGAAAAAAGTCTATAATTGGCACAAGGCCCCTAAAAGGCCAACCACCGAAACCAGTAGTAACAATTCTCAATTTTTTAATTTAAATACTTAAAACAATTACTGTCGCATTTAAAATCTCTAGCCAATATTGAAAGCAGGTGGGAGGGAAAAATTACATTCCTCACATACTAAGTACATACATTTATGTATATTACAGTCATCAAAAAGTCTCTTAAAAATATATTAACAAGAATAAAAAACCTGTTACAACAATAGGGAGATACCTATACCCAAAGATTTAAATGATTAATTTCGTATGTATAATTCTGGAATACATATTAAAGTAATTTTCATATTATAAAGCTGCTACTGGCACCATCTTAACAAATTCATTATTAAAGGGGTTTTCCAAAGTAAATTCTCTTTTAAAGTCATATAAAAAGTAAATCGCTTTCAATACAATTTTCAATTTGCGTTTACTTAATGACAAACACACAAGTCTAGTGCAATTTAAAGTGTTTTTCTGCTGAAGTTATAAATATGATCATTATATGTAAAAGGCTTTGTCGCATATTAATAACGCTATGGATGTTTACAATATGCCATGCTGAATCTAAACCAACAATTCGTGTAGAAACTCACCTCGGTGCAGTGAAGGGCAAACAATTGGAATCGCGTTCAGGTGATAAATTTTGGGCATTTCTAGGTGTACGTTATGCCCAACCCCCCGTTGGTGAATTGCGATTTCAGAATCCACAACCGGTTAAGGCCTGGAAACCCGAAATTTTAGATGCCACCAAAGATGGACCCATATGTCCACAAATAACAGTTAATTTAACCTATCTATCCGAGGATTGTTTACGATTAAATGTCTATACTAAAGACATAAAAGCTAGAAAACCAGTTATTGTGTATTTGTATCCGGGAGGATTTTATTTTGGTGGTTCTATTAGCCTTTATGCTGGGCCAGAAAATTTCATGGATCGAGATATTGTATTGGTGACATTAAATTATCGTTTAGGTTCGTTGGGATTTTTGGCTACGGGCACTGCAGATGCTGCTGGTAATATGGGTTTAAAAGATCAAGTCATGGCCTTACGTTGGGTACAACAACATATCGAAAAATTTGGTGGCGATCCCAATTCGGTAACTTTATGGGGCTATAGTGCTGGTAGTTTCAGTATTGGATTACATGTAATGTCTCCCATGGCGAGGGGTCTTTTTCATCGAGGTATTATGATGAGTGGTACACCATTGGCTCAATTTAAATATAAGACACATCAATTGGATTTGGCAGAACGACAAGCTGGACTTTTAAACTGTCCAGTGAAACCGATTAAGGAAATGGTGAAGTGTTTGAAAACGGTAAGTTTGTACTGAATTTTAAAATGAGTCTTGACACATTGATCTATTCATTTTTCCCAGAAATCCATGATGGATTTTGTGAATACGACAATGGGCATGTTTGAGTATGGTTACAATCCTCTACTAAATTGGGTGCCCGTTATAGAAAATGATTGTGGTGAAAATCAAGAGCGTTATCTTATAGAAGATCCATACACTACCATGTCCAAAGGTAATATCTATAAAGTTCCTCTGATAACTGGCATGACAGAATATGAATTTTATAATTTGGCCTATTGTAAGTATTTTACCTATTATATTAAGAGCTAACTTAAACATATTTTGAATTCATACAGACACTATGCGCAATGATACAGAACGTGAATATTTTAATAAAGATTTTGCAAAATATGCACCTATTTACTTTTCCTATGAACGTGAAACTCCGAAATCGCGTGAAATTAGCGCTGCATTTCGTTCATTTTATTTTCAAAATAAATCTCTTGAATATCCTAAATCTTTACAATCATTTGTTGATTTTTATGGTGATGGAGCGATTTGTTTTAGTCTTCGTTATTTACAAATGGTTTCACAATTTACTCCCGTCTATACGTATGTTTTTAACTACAAAGGTCGTTATAGTCATTTTGTAAATCCTGATACGAATCAGACAATAGGTGAGTGAAAATGAACAGTATATGTATGTATATGCTGCTAATAAATACGATTATTTCATAATCGTTTCAGGTGCGGTACATCATGATGAATTACTGTATCTACTAAATCTTCCTCTACTTACACCGCAATTCAAAAAAACCGATCCAGAAAATATCATAATTGAGCGTTTGACTAGATTTTGGTTTGAATTTGCCAAAAAGGGAGACCCCAATAACGCTTCCGATGAATATTTAAAATCGGTGAAATGGCCTTTGTATTCCCAGGACAAAAAACAATATTTAGAAATTGGTCAAAATTTGAACGTTAAATCAAATGCCGAGTTACAAGAACGCTCACAGTTGTGGGATCGTTTATTTCCCATATCGGAAATGTTAAACCCAATTAGAGAGCAATGCCATATTTAAGGCAAATATTATTTATTGTAATATTATTTTAACGAAAAGTTATAAATAATATAAAATACAATAAAACATACTATAATCCATTAATATTTATACATTGTGGTTTTATTAGAAGTGACACATTCTCTAATAAATAACTTTATTAGAGAATGTAAAAATTATTGTTTGGAATATAACATGAAATATTATTAGAGTTGGAGTTCAGCTTTCATTTATTTGAAATTTAAATTACTTAACTTAGTGAGAGCTTAGGAATAAATTATGTTTTGTATTACAATAGGTTTGATCAATTATATTAGAATCAATTAGAAATATACAAACCTCGATCATATCTAATTATTCTCAATATGTATATTGGAGAGGGTATTATACGTTTGTGCTGACGTTGGAGCTCATAATTATGTTATATATAAATGTAACTTTACCAATATAAACTCAGCTAAGTTTTATAACAGTAAAAGTAAGATTGCCGATTTTCGCTATGTTGGGTTCATAGCCAACCATAGATCTTCCGAAAATTCCTTTTCCAATTCATTTATCATATTTTGTAAGTATGTATAAGCCAATATTCGACCTTAGCCCCATACAAAGCCCTTTTCTGAAAATCAGTTTTAAGTCAATATAATTATATAGAAATTGAGGTAAAATCCTACAAAAGAAATAGTATAAAAACATTTTAAAATTTAAATAAAAAACTAGTGTAGGGTATTAGTCATATGGCATGACCTACTATATTTTCTTACTTGTTAATATTGAGTACTGATAAGGGAATTGAGTGACGATACGAGTCGAGGAGAGATACCCAAAATATTTATTTTTATATCCACATATTCAAACAATGCTATGAGAAGCTAAAAGTTCTGGAGAGAGAGATTAATAGCACTACTGGATTCAAATCAGATATTTACGTTATTTACGGAATGTTTTCTGCCGGGCGATAAGAATTTGCAAATAATTTTAAAATTTGCAAATAATTTTAAATTTACAGAATCGAATTCTGTGCGTTTGTTTGATTTTCAGAAGTAGATCTTATATGGGAGCTATGACCGTGTCGCATTTTATCTAATGTTGTAGTTTGGTAACGAGTTATTTGCGATTAAGTGGCCCAAAAATAAAAATCACTTCCATACGTATATAAAACATATTTCTGTTGAATTTTAAGCTGAGGGTGAAAGGACCCTCAGGAGGTCCCTTTACGGGATTGATCCCGATATCAATATTATCTAAATAATGAGTTATTTACCATTACCAATAGATATGGCCAATTATAGGTCGATTCGAAAAATATTTTGAAAAATAATTTCTATATTTTATATTCCTAACCTTGTATGGATGGGATCTATGACTAATTTTAGGACGATTGGGGGAAATTTTCTTTTAATAATTTGTATATGTACAAAACATAAATAATCGTGCTGAATTTTATTCCGATATGATTATTTTTAATGAATTAGGATTTTAGGAACTGGAATGAATGGTTGAGAAGGGTTTCAAATAACATACATATGAAATTGGTATACAAATAATGTTTATATGTATTAGTTGCACTTCTCCGATCCCGATTTTTATATAAAAAAATACAATTGCTTGCCTCTTTACTGATCAAAGAAAAAAACAGGTGGGTTTGTTGAAAAGATAACAGATGTCATTAAAAGTCAAGTCAAGAATAATGAAATTAATATGAAATCAAACCAATCATTAGGATGGTCCTACGTTGTACAATTACTCTTATTAAAACAAATTTGCTAATTTGTGGTATTTTTAATGGAGAACTAACAAACTAGCCCTGCCTTAATAAACTATAAACAAAGGGGGTTTTCCAAAAGCAATTCTATGAATCAGTAAGTATGTGTTCAATTGCATATAATATTTTTGCTTTACAACAAATCATATAAATAGCGGTACATTTTCAATACGATTTCCAATTAACTTCTGTTAAATTACAAATTAACAAGTCAAGTGTAATTGAAAAGTACTATTATGATTATTGCATTAAAAATATTTTGTGTCATATTAGTGGCACTAAGTGTGCTAATAATTTGTCATGCCGAATCAAATCCCACTATTTGTGTTAATACTTCCTTGGGTGAGATGAAGGGTACTCAAATGGAGTCACGATCAGGCGATAAATTTTGGGCATTTCGGGGTGTACGTTATGCTGAACCTCCTGTTGGTGAATTGCGCTTTCAAAATCCGCAACCTGTAAAAGCCTGGAAACCCGAAGTGTATGATGCAACCAAAGATGGTCCTATATGTCCACAAGTAACGGTTAACTTAACCTATCTATCTGAGGATTGTTTGCGTTTAAATGTCTACACTAAAGATACGAAAGCAAGAAAGCCCGTTATAGTGTATTTGCATCCAGGAGGATTTTATGCCGTTGCTGCTATTAGCAGTTATGCTGGGCCTGAAAATTTCATGGATCGTGATATAGTATTAGTTACTTTAAATTATCGTTTGGGTACGCTGGGATTTTTAGCCACTGGAACTACAGAGGCTGCCGGCAATATGGGTTTAAAGGATCAAGTTGTAGCTTTGCGCTGGATACAGCAACATATTGATAAATTTGGTGGTGATCCTAATTCGGTAACTTTATGGGGCTATAGTGCTGGTAGTTTTAGTATTGGTTTGCATATGATGTCACCGATGGCAAAAGGTTTATTTCATCGAGGTATTATGATGAGTGCCTCTCCACTGGGTCAATTTAAATACACATCAGATCAATTAGATTTGGCAGAAAAACAAGCAAGACTTTTAAACTGTCCAGTTAAACCAATCAAGGACATGGTAAAATGTTTAAAAGCCGTAAGTTGACATACGAAGTTACAATTACAAAAATAGTTGATACAAAAACTTTTTACAGAAACCCATGATGGACTTTGTCAACACCTCAAGAGCCATGTTTGAGTTTGGATGGAATCCCGTCCTAAATTGGAAGCCAGTAATAGAAAATGATTGTGGTGGAAACCAGGAACGTTACCTAATTGAGGATCCTTATACTACAATGTCCAAGGGCAATATTTATAAAGTTCCACTAATAATCGGCACTACAGAATACGAATTTTATTATATAGGTTACTGTAAGTAAAAATGGGTTCTTTTTAATAGCTGATTGGGCATATTAATATCATTCTTTTAGACACTTTACGCAATGAAACGGAACGTCGAAATTTTAATGAAAATTTTGCCAAATACTCGCCTATATATTTTCTCTATGAGCGTGAAACGCCAAAGTCCTTAGAAGCCAGTGCAGCTATACGTTCATTTTATTTCCAAAATAAATCGCTGGAATATCCACAATCGTTAATACCTTTTGGTCAATTATATGGCGATGGTTTGATTGGCTTTGAATATTTTCGTTTCTTGCAAATGGTTTCTAAATATACGCCTGTCTACACATATCTATTTACCTACAAAGGACGCTATAGTCATTTTGTAAATCCTGAAACTAATCAGACTCTAGGTAAGAGAAAATATTAAAACCTAAACGATAATGTAATTATTTTATAATAATTTTAGGGGCTATGCATCATGATGAATTGTTGTATTTGTTAAATGCTCCTTTATTTACACCTCAGTTAAAGAAAACTGATCCCGAGAATGATACAATTGAACGTTTAACTAGATTTTGGTATGAGTTTGCCAAGAAAAGGTAAATTTTTATTTCTCGATTTTTTTATTATAATTGCATGTTTATTTAATATACTTTTACGTTTTAGCGATCCTAATAATGCTTCTGATGAATATTTAAAAGCTGTTAAATGGCCATTGTACTCTGAAGATAAGAAGCAATATTTGGATATTGGTCAAAATCTAAATGTTAAATCGAATGGTATATTTCCGGAACGTTTTCAGTTGTGGAATCGCCTATTCCCCATAAATGAAATGTTAGTTTCTAATAATGCACAATGTAGAATTTAAAGTAAATTTTTAATAAATACTTCCTAAATGCATATTAATTCCTTTGAAAAAAGTAAAGAAATAATATGAGAGAATAAAAGAAGATAACATAATATCTATAAAAGTATTAATAAAGTATAAATACATATAAAGGTCTAAATAAAAACTAATTTTTATTAAGATATTCGCAGGGGGCAGACGTTTTTTTGACCAACTATTCATCGATATCAATTTTAGCGAAAACTGAGGTCGGATTTCAATGAAACCAATTTTAAAATGTTTTTAACGGAAGTCTATTTAAAATGGTTTTTATTTTACTCCAAAAAATTATTTATACTTTTTTTTAATTTAATTTGATGTTATGTGGAAAGTAGGATTAAAGAAGGCCTTATCCTCATAAAAAACGGAGTTCAATCATCTCCAAAATCGTCAATACGGCTTATATAAAATTCAGCTCTGTCCAACAGAATTATAAGCTCCAAAGCGATATTAGGGGTCTGGTTGTGAAATAAATGACAAATTTAAAACATTGTCTTCTTTGGTAAAGAGACAGAGGGAAAAAATAACGTAAGCTCACTATTGACAACGGATTCTGAGCTTACCACGTTTGCTAACTTTAAGACAACGGATGTGCATAAAATTTAGATTGTGACCAGAAAACAAAACTTTTTGTTTCCGAAGTAAAAACTACATTAAAACTCAAATAGATGTGTATATTATATAAATGAATAAAGTTACGACGTTAAAAATTAAATCCTATTAACTAAATACAATCACGATGTTACATAATTATAATGATTCTCATCAGTTTCAAAAGATCTCAAAGGAACAAACAAACCAATACTAAGAAAATGTCAAAAAAATTACATACCAAATCGAAGCCAATTCGTAAATCCAGAAACTAATCAGACTGTAGGTAAGTAAATGAGACCAAATATAGATGATATTTAAATGGTACTTATAGCGGGTTTTATATTATACTAGCTATACCCAGTGTGCTTTGCTACACTAAAAGCAATATAAATAAAAAATCTTCTTAATAATTTTTAAGATTCTAACTGTAATGTTTTCCAGAGATGCATTTTTTCCGAACGTTAATTAAGATTTTAATGTAATCGATGACAAATTAAAAAAAATCTAATATTTTCCCAGATATACGAAATTTTGTATTTAATTCATATAGGGGGTGCCAGGACCCCATTGAAAGTCCGCCCGTTATTCTCTAAATGTTCACATTAATGTCAAAGATCTTCATATTTGAAGATTCTAGCTTTAATAGTTTCTCAGATATACGAATTTTTCTATTTAATTCATATAGTAACTCACAGCCCCCAGATGAAAGTCCGCCCGTTTTTTCTCCAAAATGTATAATAAAGTTCTTCTTGCAATATTTGAAGAATCTTGTGCTATTAGTTTCCCAGATTTTGTATTTAATTCATATGTGAGGTGCCAAGCCCCCCATTGAAAGTCCGCTCGTTATTCTCTGAATGTTCACATGAATGTCAAAGTTCTTCAATTAAAATTTGAAGATTCTAGCTCTAATAGTTTCTCAGATATAAAATTTTCCTATTTAATTTATATGGGTGCTCCAAGCCCCTCATGACGAAAGTCCGCTCTTTTTTCTCAAAAATGTTCAGATGAAAATTTAAGTTCTTAGTGCAAAATTTGAAGAATTTAGTTCTATTAGTTTCCCAGATAAACCAATTTTTGTATTTTATTAATATGGGAGGTGCTGCTCCCCTCATGGGTAGTCCGCCAATTTATTTTCCAAAATGTTTACATGGATGTTAAAGTTACTCGTGCAAATTTTTAATATTCTAACTATAATAGTTTTCAAGATAAACGAATTTTTGTACTTAATTTATATGTGAGGTGCCACGCCCCCTAATGCTAATCCGCCCACTTTTTGTCTTAAATAATTATATTGATACTAAAGTTGCTCCGACTCTAACTATTATATTATCTCAGATATACTAATTTAATATTTTCTTAATATGGGCGTGGCACGTCGCCCACATGAAATTTCAACATAAAAAGTAGCCTATAGTTCCTTCCAGACATACAGGAAGAAACTGTGAAAATTTCAGGAAAATCGGTCCAGCCGTTTAGCAGTCTATAAAGCACAAACAAACAAACATACATACATACAAACACACTTTCATTTATATATATATAGATTTTATGGAAAATGTATTTTTCTATATCTATCAACGATATAAATATGACTTTCAGGTGCTTTGCATCATGACGAGCTGTTGTGTCTGTAAAATGTTCGTACTAGAGCACCTCAATTTAAAAAAATGGACCCGAAAATGATACCATTGAGCGTTTAAATAGATTTTGGTTTGAGTTTGCTAAAAAAATTTAAAATTGTATTTCTTATGTTAAGTTTATTAGTATTATTTTCAATCTTAATATTTCAGTGATCCGAATAATAATACCGATGGTTATTTAAAATCCATTGATTGGCCCTTATATACTGAAGACAAGAAACAATATACATATAGAGATTGGGTCAAATTTAAGTGTTAAATCTAATGGTATTTATCCAGAACGTTACCAGTTATGGGATGGATCATTTCCCATAAATGTTAACTAGAATTTCCAAAGTTGTAAAACCAATTAGCTTTAATACTATCGTTTCTTAGCTTTAAAGAAAAAAAGGACCTTCAAAATACAACAAACATAATTTTTTTCAAATAAAATGGATTATATATGATGATCTACTTAACCAGATCTACCAACCGCACTAGGGCACATGTTGAGTAAATTTTGCCTGTCACACAGTGTAATAGGTACACTGGTTAACACTGTGGTAGAATAGAAACGAATTTAAGTCCGAGGAGTACTTAACAATGAATTCCGACTAAGCTACTTGATAAATAAATTCAATTGTCGAGAAACAGTGTAAATAATTTTTTAAATAGGATGACATTTAAAAATAAAACATAATTCTAATAAGTACATATATTACATTTAACACTTTTTTTGTTGTAGAAAATGAAAAATTGTAAAATATGTCGAAACAAGAGACACCACCTTAATAGCTTTTCAGGGGGTTTTCGTAACAAATTCTAAGAATAATAAAGTAAAACATTTTAACATTTTAACTCTACTAAAAATCATATAAATAGCAACACATTTTCTGAGCAATATTCAAAGTGCAATTGTTAAATGATTAATTCAAAAGTTGATTGTTATTGAAGAAAGTGTCTCTCGCCTGGAATAAATAAATATGATATTTGAATTGAATGTACTTTGTGGTGTATTCTTTACATCATTGCTGATTACAATATGTAATGGTAAAAAAGATTCTACAATTATTGTGGAGACTTCTCTGGGTCAGATGAAAGGCTTACAATTGGAAACGCGTTTAGGTAATAATATTTGGGCATTTCGTGGTGTACGTTATGGTCAACCTCCAGTAGGTGAATTGCGCTTTCAAAATCCTTTACCGGTAAAAGCCTGGAAACCTGAAATATTCGATGCTACTCAAGACGGTCCCATGTGCGCACAAGTAACGGATAATTTAGCAAAAATATCTGAAGATTGTTTACGTCTAAATATCTATACTAAAGATATGAATACAAGAAAACCTGTTTTAGTATATTTGCATCCAGGTGGATTTTATTCGGGTGCTGTCAATAGCAATTATGCGGGACCACAAAATTTTATGGATCAAAATATTGTATTGGTTACCATTGAATATCGTTTAGGTTCATTAGGATTTTTAGCTACCGGAACAACTGATGCTGCCGGTAATATGGGTTTAAAAGATCAAGTTTTAGCATTACGTTGGATAAGAGATCATATAGATAAATTTGGAGGGGATCCAAATTCGGTGACATTGTGGGGCTATAGTGCTGGTAGTTTCAGTGTAGGTTTGCATATGATGTCACCCATGTCTAAGGGTTTATTCCATCGCGGCATTATGATGAGTGCCTCACCATTGGCTCAATTTATGTATAAAACAGACCAATTAGAATTGGCTCAAAAGCAGGCCAAACTCTTGAACTGTCCAATCAAACCAATTAAAGATTTGGTGAAATGTTTAAAAACAGTAAGTTTCTAATTCTAAATCAATAATTCAGCTTAAGTCAAACTGTATAAAAAAATCTTTAAATATTTTCAGAAATCTATGCTAGATTTTGTTAACACTATGGAAGAAATGTTTGAAGACAACTGGAATCCTGTCTACAATTGGCTGCCTGTTATAGAAAGCGATTGTGGTGGAAATTATGAACGTTATCTTATAGAGGACCCATATACCACAATGTCCAAAGGAGATCTTAGTAAGGTTCCTCTAATAACAGGCATAACAGAATACGAATTTTATTCTATCGGCTATTGTAAGTAGATATGAAAACTGTAAATTAGCATGTGTTTAATTTCTTGTCTACAGATGCTTTACGCAATGATACACAGCGTCAACATTTTAATGATGATTTTGAAAAATATACACAAATCTATTTTCTGTATGAACGAGAAACGCCAAAGTCTTTGGAAGCAAGTACAGCTATACGTAAATTTTATTTCCAAAATAAACCATTAGAATTTCCCCAATCATTAATACCATTTGGTCAATTGTATGGTGATGGTTTAATTGGTTTTGCTTATCATCGTTTCTTACAAATGGTTTCAAAATATACGTCCGTCTACACTTATCTTTTTACATATAAAGGACGCTATAGTCATTTTGTAAATCCTGACACTAACCAGACTTTAGGTAAGCAATAAGAAAATCTATAGATAACAATACCATACTCATTTATGAAACTCTTTTAGGTGCTATGCATCATGATGAGTTATTGTATTTACTAAATGTGCCCTTATTAACGCCTCAATTCAAAAAAACGGATCCTGAAAACGATACCATTGAGCGTTTAACTAGATTTTGGTTTGAATTTGCCAAAAAGAGGTAATATGTTATTTGTTAAGTTTATATATTTTGTAATATTAATTTTGTACTCATAATGTTACAGTGATCCTAATAACGCTTCCGATGGTTATTTAAAAGCTGTTGAATGGCCTTTGTATACCGAAGACAAAAGACAATATCTGGAAATTGGTGAAAATTTAAATGTTAAATCGTATGGTATCTTTCCGGAACGTTTTCAATTATGGGATCGTTTATTTCCCATACCGGAGATGTTAAATTCAAATAATGGACAATGTAGAATTTAAGAAATTAAAATTTTAATTTAAAAATAAAACAAGTAAGAGTGCTATATTCGGCTGTGCCGAATCTTATATACCCACCATGAAATCATGTGTCTTAAATTTGAAGTGAAAATGGACCTACCTATACTGTATAAATCGATGTTTTTGCTACCACAATTTAAACATTTATTGAATTTTTTCTAAACTGAGGTGATGATGGTACTTATTTCATCATATTTAATATTTTTTTAACAATTTGATTTCCTGTAAATTTACTTATGGTCAATTTTGGACTGATCCTCCTAAGATTTTGCTTTCAAAGCTTTGATACAATATGGCCCGATGCTCATAATATTTGACAGAATGATTTTAGATCCTATAAAACTAGTTCATGACGAATTTTATCGATATACTGGTATTTTTTCTATGAGAAAGGCTGATAAGGTCAATGATGGACCGATCCTCAAAAAAAAGTTAGAACAATGTTCCTATAAAACTTGTTTATGTCGAATTTCATTGCTTTACTATAATTTTGAAGATGTTGTTTATTTCGAATTTCGTGGTTTCCATAAAACATGTTAATGTCAATTACGTTGATATACAGGAATTTTAAAGCAAATTATGAGCTTCGAAGTAATTTTCAGAGAGGAACCTTATATGGGGGGAAGGTTAATTATGGGCCGATCTCCATAAAATTTGGCAGAGAGGTTTAAGTTCTCCGAAAACTTGTTTACGTCGAATAACATTGCTTTACTATAATTTCGCAGCAAGTTATGAGCGTTAATGTAATTTTATGAGGGGACCTTATGTCGGGGGTAGGTCAATTATGAGCCGATCTTCATATAATTTGGAACAGATTTTAATTCCTTTAAAACTTATTTATGTTGAGTGTCATTGATTTACTGGGATTTTAAACAAAGTTATGAGCTTTAAAGTAATTTTCTAAGGGGAACCTTATATAGGGGTAGGGTCACATATTTGGCCGATCTCCATATGGGGGAGATATTTTAGTTCTCCAAAAACTTGTTTACGTTGCATTTAGTTGCTTAACTATCATTTTGAAGCAAGTTACAAGAGTTAAAGTCATTTACTGAAGGGAAACTTATATGGGCGGTAGAGTCAATTATGGGCAGATTTCCAAAAAATTTAGCACATATGTTTACCCCCTAAAACTTGTATATGTCGAATTTCGTTGCATTGCTATCATTTTGAAGTAAGTTATTACCGTTATAGTCGTTTTCTGAGGGAGCTTATATGGGGGGTAGGGTCAATTATGGACCGATTCTCGTAAAATTCGGTAGGGTGATTTTGACTCATATAAAACTTGTTTATGTAGAATTTTATTGACATTCTTAGGTTTTTAAACCATCTATGACTGTTTACTAGGGTGATCGACTCGGTTTTTCAACCGGTTTTAAGCCCGCTTTTTTCTGTTATAGCAGTGTCAGTTTTTTCTAAATATTGATTTTTCGAATATCGAATAACCCGTTTTTTTACTTTTAAATACCGGTTTCGAATACACCTTCGGTTAAATTGTTTTCATTTTCCTAATTAATTAACAATTTTTAATTGTAAAATTTATTGGAATAACTATTTGATAAAATTTTATCAATCTTAAGATTATATTCCAATTACAATAATTAATTTGCGGCTAAAATATTATGGAAGTGTTGGAATGCCTATGAAAATTGTATAAATAGGGATTTTAGAATAAGCTAGAATTACATAGTTCCTTATGTTTAACAGAAGTGTTCCAATTTTTTTTTACATTAAAGAAATAATGTAAATCAGACGACTAGATCTAAAGGTATAATCTTTTAAACTGATAAAAATCAGTTAGGCCATCAAATTTAAACATAAGCGACAATTTTTTCAAATTAAAATATATTTTGTTGTTGTAATAAGGACCCAGAATATATATACTTTTGTGGGTCTGTGACCAATATTTCGATGTGTTACAAACGGAATGACAAAAAAAATATACACCCCATCTTTTTTGATGGTGGGTATAAAAATATGTTTTTTTAATTTTTACAAAAAACCCAAATATGAGTAAAATTCCCAAAATCCCCCAAAAAAAATTGTCCACGCGACACTCTAATGTACATTCATATGTATCATAAAAATTAAAAATGTTAAAGTTCGAAATTCGAAGTAAGATTAAAGCGGCTTCAAATAAAAGTGAAATTATATTTTTGTTTCCTAGTGATTTATAGATTATTCGAATATCTTTAAAAGTGTTCGATCAAGAATTAATTTTAACATGTATCGAATTTACGAACATAACATAGTTATGTATATATTCTTTAGTTATGTATATCAAGTGTAACAATAAATTTCAAATTAAAAAGCATGTATTAGCGCTTGTTTTATTCCTGTGATGGAGTAGTTTCTCAAAACTGAGTATGCAATAATTTTTTATTTAAAATTATTGACAAAATTAATAAAATAATTTATTTAAAACAAAATAATAGAAATCAACTAAAAACGAGAGCCTTTATCTTCAGCATATAAAAAATAAATGGTGACCTTTTCTCCGTCGGGCATTATAACAGTTTCTTTGTGACTAATTAAACGTATAGCTGCTAAACCATAAAATAACATTGGTAAACCTAAAAAAGACAATCCCATTTTTTTAACTGTCCAATTCGAAATTACATATCTTCTAAAGCAAAAGAAAACCAGCAAGTACATACCCAAATTAATAATTTTCAAAAAACGAAAAAATTTATCTTCCAATGATAAATCCTGAATTTCTCTTTTACTACAATGATATTTTAGATAAGGATAACAGGCCGTACGCAAAATATGATAATTTGTACCCGTATCGAGGGTCCAATTAAAATGTGATCTACCCCATTGATCGTTCTGAACATCTTTTAACTGAAAATTGTGGAAATATTGGTTTTTAGTCAATTGGAATGGTAATTGAATTGTTTACCTTGACAAAGTAGGAAGTCCAAGGTGGTTCATTACATTGTTTCAAATACGCTGTCAATACATGTGAAGCTTTTGGTTTTAGTAACAATCGTGTAAGTTGCATTTAATGTTATATTGTGTAATTTAATTTTTTTCTTAAAATTCTATTTGTTGATACAAGCTTTTGTAAACAAAAATCAGATGTTGCAAAAAAGTCTAAAACATATGTTTGTACCGTTAAACAGCTGTGCTGTTAAATTGGTGTTGGAAAACGTTATTTTTGTTGTACAAACAGTGAAAGAAAAATTACAAATATCTTTTTGAAAGTGAAATTCAAAATGTTTTTTCTGCAAAATTTTGACTAGGGGTCAAATTCTACATCGGTTAAAATTTTTGTAACATTGTTCTATTGTTCATTTTTGTAACTTTTGTAACTGTAATTGAGATTTTTAATTTTTTTTAACTTAATGGAAAACTATTGAAATAAGGGTTTTAAATAATACCCAATCGTTTTTGTCAATTTTTAATAATTTAATTTTATCAAATGTTTGAATAATAAACTTCTAATTTTTTACAGTTCATTCAAATATATCAAAAGCATATAACAATGTTTTCAAAATCGTCCTTTATAATTGTAAGAAGATTTTCTACCAAAATTGCCCAGAAAGATGCAAAACCTTCATTGACTTCATCTGTGGTGGCAGTGAAAAGATTTGATCATATTAACTATAAAAATGAACCTATACTAGAATACAAACCGGGATCGGAGGAATTAATCAATTTAGAAAAATCATTAGAACACTACTCATGTAATATAGAAGAAATTCCGATTGTAATAGGTGGCAAAGAAATTAAAACAAATCAGGAACGGTGCCAACGTATGCCTCATAAACATAAAAACATTATAGCTAAATATTATTATGCAGATCAGAATATTATAAATCAAGCTATTAGGACATCGAAGGAAGTGAAAGAGGATTGGGATAATACTCCTTATGAAAAGCGATTAGAATATTGGGAGAAAGCGGCCTGTTTAATGGCCACTAAATATCGAGCTGATTTAGTTGCCGCTACTATGTTAGGTCAAGCTAAAACAGTTTATCAAGCAGAAATAGATGCTGCAGCTGAATTAATTGACTTTACCCGTTTAAGTGCTGAATACTTAAAGGAACTGGTTAATTATGAGCCCCTAAATCCAAATGCAAAAATTTACAAAAATCATATGATTTGGAGAGGATTAGATGGTTTTGTTGCGGCCATAAGTCCTTTTAATTTTACTGCTATAGGTGGCAATTTGGCCTTTACACCAGCGTTAATGGGTAATGTGGTTCTGTGGAAGCCGGCAGATAATGCCATGTTATCTAGTTGGTTAGTTTTCAAGATAATGCGTGAAGCAGGCTTACCTGAAGGTGTGGTCAATTTCATACCAGCCGATGGGCCTATGTTTGGCAACACAGTAACTTATTCTCAAAACTTAGCAGGTATTAATTTTACTGGCTCTATTACAGTATTTCGCAGCTTATGGAAATTAGTAGCCAAATATTTAGATTTTCATAAAACCTACCCACGTTTAAGTGGAGAATGTGGAGGTAAAAACTATCACTTTGTCCACCCATCAGCCGATGTGGACACAGTAGTAGCCTGTACTTTACGAAGTGCATTTGAATATAGTGGCCAAAAATGTTCGGCTTGTTCGAGGTTGTATGTACCAGATAGTTTATGGGAGAGTAAAATTAAGAAACCTCTTTGTGATCTCACCAGACAATTGCTGATTGGAGATGTTTGTGATTATAAAAGCTTTACATCGGCTGTTATCAATGAAAAGGCTTTTCTACGCATTAACGACTATTTAGACTATGCCAAAACAAATTCTCAATGTGATGTTCTGGTCGGAGGACGTTGTTCAAATTTACATGGCTTTTTCATTGAACCCACTATAGTCGAAGTACGTGATCCTGAAGATCGCCTTTTTAAAGAAGAAATCTTTGGTCCCTTGCTATCGGTTTTTGTTTACAAGGAGAAGAATATTGATAAAACACTAGAATTAGTGCGTAATACTCCTAAATATGCCTTGACGGGTGCAGTATTTGCCACAGATAAACAATTTATAAAAGAAGCTTTACGTAAATTTAAATGTACTGCTGGTAACTTTTATATAAATGATAAATCAACAGGAGCTGTTGTCGGTCAACAAGCATTTGGTGGTGGGAAGTTGTCCGGAACTAATGATAAACCTGGCAGTCCGTATTATTTATTACGTTGGACTTCGCCCCAAACGATTAAGGAAACTTTTGTGCCCCAAACAGATGTTTTCTATCCGTATATGGGAATGGATAAAACTTGAATTGCTAAATGTTTATTTGTTAAAAATATTTTGTTGCAAAATATAACAAATAGCTTATACACATAAATAAAAAAATAATTAAGTGGTTTTTAAAGGGAAACGATTTGTTACTCGTACAATAGAGATGTATTAGGAAATATGCACATCGATTATTTTTCCGATTTGTTTCATGTACTCATCATATAATGTTCCCGGTTTAACTTCAACTAAAGCGCCTTTGTCTTCTATTTTGAAAGATGCTTTGGATTTTCCACGACCTATCTGTTTAGATTTGTTTTCTCCCTTATTTGCTGATACTTTATGTGATTTTGTTATTTTTGCGATATTTTTATCATTTTCTTTTGAATTGCTATCAAATCCAAAATATTTAAAGAAGCCACGATTTGAACGCATTTTATCTTCATTATCATTTGACTTATTTTCCAAAGCACACAGGCAATCACTGCCACCTTTATATAAATTTTCATTGGCTAATGTTTGAGCATCTTTATCCATAAGTATGGCTGCATTGAAATTGTCTAATCTTCTTTTAAATTCATCATATAATGGACTGTATTTTCGGGTCAATGCTCTTTTGTCTTTATTAAAAGAATCTGCTTCATAATTATCTTGAAAATGGTTTAATCTTTGTTGGAAATAGTCATAGAGACCAATATTTTGATTTGCTATACCAAGTGTTGTGGCATTGAGAACTTTGGCGGATTTCTTACATACTCCCGAAATTATGAAAAATATAGAAAATATACAAGAATTATAAAAATATAGATTACGCATTGCGCAGGTTTTTTTGGTTTAAATCAACAGGTGTTCGATGTGCTACGTCACATCAGCAAATAAAGTGATTGACGTTTAAAAAAAAATTTTAAAAACGTTACAAAATTTTGTAAAAATTTAAAAAAATAAAATACTTTAAATATGAAATGCGCTGTGAAAAATTGCAAAAGCACCAACAACTCCAAGGCGTGCGAAATTAGTTTTTTTTTATTTCCGACGGACGCTTCCATTCAGAAGCAATGGGTAAGTTTTTGTGACCGTGAGAAACAAATAAATCCCAAAACATCATATGTATGCATGCTACATTTTAAAGATGAAGATGTGGAAAATAGGTTGCAGTACGAAATGGGTTGGTATATAACATTGATTAAAAAAAATATTTATAAAAATATGCATTAACCCAAGGGTTCGCCAAAAGGAGACTTTTAAAACCCGGTACTGTTCCATCCATAAAACATGACCCATTTGAAAATAAAGAACTAGGCGAAGAACAATTATCAATAATTGAACAACAAGAAAACAAAAAGATAGTAGCTTTAATTCTCCAAGAATATAATTGCATTAAAAATATAGAACAAAAAGAAAATATCACCGATGACGTCCAAAATCTCGGGAATTTTAAAACAATTATTGAAGACATTGGTTCCGAAAATATTCAACCATATTTATGTATGGAAGAACTTAAACATTTAAGGACCGAGGTGTAAGTAGCGTAAGAGTACCGAGAGCGGATGCTAGAACCCGTTGTCATGCATATGGTTTAGCAATTGAAGAACAAAACCGAATTCTTGATGAAATGACAAACTTGATGAAGAACATGCGAGCTGTGGGTAGAAAGTCATTACTTCCTTTTCAAAAGGGTAAAACGTCATCTTACATTGTACCACTTAATCTTTTAAGTTTGTTTTTTAAATTATAGGTATTATACAGTCAAATAATGCCTTAAAGGGTCTCTATACGAGTTTAAAAACAAAGCATAATTGTGAATATGTTTTGACCTATCGCCTTAATCAAGACGTACTCGAAAACTTTTTTGGTATAATTCGATCTAAAGGTGGTTTGCATGATCACCCCGACCAAGAAGAGTTCAGATACCGTTTAAGGTCATACGTACTTGGTCGCAACGATGGTGTAATGTCCAATGCAGCAAACGTTGAGGTCGACGACACACCCGATTTGGAAAGAACGCAAAAGTCGCTTACTGGTAAATATATTTTATATTTTAAATAATTAGGAAACTGCAATGGGCTTCATTAATGTACATATATTATAGGAGTTATATTTAGCCAAATAAATCCCCCACATAATGACAAAGAAAACGTTGAGGCGGAAGAATTAGATGATTTGGCGTATGATGGCTTAGAAAACCTTGCTGGTTACATATGCCATAGGTTGAAAGATCAAGAACCAAATATTTCTGTGCCAAGAAATGAATTGCAAGTTCAACCTTATACATGGATCGATCACCTCAGTGAAGGGGGCTTATCAAAACCAACTGAAGAAATGATGTGTAAGATACAAGCACTTCACACTATTTTTCAATCAACAAACAACGAGGGCTTGCTTATCACTGAAGGCTTTTTAAAAAAACACATGGAGTTGGCTCAAAATATAGATTGTAGCGAAAAAATTAAAAAACTTTTCTTTCGTGCTCGTATGTATTTTAAAATTAGAACCCTAAACCACGAAATTTCTGAATTTTCCAAACAAAGAAAACGCAAGATCAATAAAACATTAAACTAAAACATTGATGTACATTAATTGTTAAATAAATATTTTTAAAATTTAAAAATATGTATTTTATTTGTATCGAAATATTTTTTATTTTCCAAAAATGTCACTTTGTTTATGTTTTGCTTTTATTTTTTCTCAAGTTCCAGGCTGATATGACGTACATGCGCAGAACGAACATTTTTTTACATACTGAATGCGCAATCTATGTTTCTATAATTCTTGGAAAATATAGTTATTTCGATTTTCATAATCTGTAGTTGACTTATTTTTTTGCCATATGTTTTAAAGATTTTTATAAATATATAAATTCTATTACAAATTATTTTTAAAATATTTCTTTTTCTCTAAACAAATATGGTCTTGTTTTCGGTGTATTAAAATAACGTTAGGATAAGGTCATATAATGAGACTATAGATAAGTGAAATGAGAACTATCTAAATTAGATAAAAGAAATGATCTATACCAGTGACTTAGGGATTTGGGGAAAATTAGGATGGAAACATTGGAAGAGGGTCAATAACTGAGAAAATTAGGATGGATCTAAGACTATGGATACGAATCTGTGTGGGAATTATATTGTTGTGAGGGTGTTGATAAGATAATGTATCAAAGTACAGTCAAACCTCGTTTTATGCGAATTTATTTTATGCGAATTTGAAATAGTGCGGTTTCCAATTCTAAAATTTTTCTTTGCAAAAATAATTTTGAGGAAAATTTTGGTCCACATATATCCAAAAAAAAGTGATCAACTACTACAAGAATTAAATTTTTGTTGATTTTTTATATGCGATTTTGTTTGACTTTCAAGGGAATAATTTGAAAATGTGACCTTTTTTATTTAAAACCCAATTAGTGGATTTCGTATGCAGCTAGTGTATCGCTTTGTGCGAATTTGAATTATGCGCTTTTGAGCGAAACGAATTAATCGCATAAATCGAGGTTTGAGTGTATGAGAGTCACCAGTTCCAAAACTTAATATGCTCAATTTTAGCTGACATGGCCAAATACGGGAAGATTACAAAGTATATAATATACTTTATATTCCATAACTTTGGAATATGAATAAAAAAACATCTGGCACACTTTAAAAAATTGTCACAAATGAATCTATTTAAAATTTTGATATAAAAAACCAATAAATATTGTTATTTATATTTTCTATCATGAAATGTCTTATAATGAAACGTGTTTCCTAATCCTTATTGCAATAATCCTTACCAAACTAAATGCACAAAACATAGAATCAAATCGTCAAATAAAGCCGATTCAACAAACAATAAATAGAAATATTTATAATCAAAATATGCGAAATTTTAATGGAATCTATAGAACTAATGGGAGAAATCAAGATCAAAGTGATTACCAGAAATATATTAAACGATTTATAAAGGAAGACTTAAATAAAGAATACGAAAGGAATAATAATAACAAATTTACATTGCATGGAGAAGAAATATTCGATATTGACGAAGAACAAAATCCAGTTGAGATATTAGATATTATTAAAAATGATGATCCTTCGTATCTCTTAAATAAAGAAAATTTAAAAGATAATTTAAATAAAAACAATTTAAATGGAATTGATTTTAAAGACAACCGAAAAGACTTATTCCATAAACACCACAATAATAATTATCTACGTAATAAGTATAGTTACGAAAATCTCAATGAAGATTATGGATATCCAAGTTATGATGATGAAATGCTTGATATTATAACACCAAAAGCTTTAGATTATGATGATCTTATATATCGAAGAGAAGTTTCGTCAAATACTATTAATAATAGAAATTTGGAAAATTCTTCATTATATCCCACAGTTTTAACTAAAGCTTTACAAATAAGTTTAAATCCATCGGCTCCTTCACATATAGGAGGCAGTCTGTTGAGCAATGTTGCCCAACAATTAAATACTAGTACTTTAGATTTGGCTAAAGAAATAACTAAATCGGAAACTACAAAAAATGGTGATCAATTTTCTCAAACTGTTCAGAGTTATTTGACAAATAATAATGGTAAATAGAGATTATTATAGCATTTCATTTTATTATTCATATTTGAACTTTACTTTAGCCGTTCCCACTGCTAGTAATAATAAACTGAATCAACCTCTAATAGAAACTAAAGAAACTTTAGGGGAAAATCTACCAACTCGCTATGAACAAAATTTTAAAAACAGTAAGGAAGATCTGAAAAATGAAGAAACCTTTGATGGCATTACAACATCAAGTTTAACAGAAATTTTAGATCGTGTCTTAAATAAATTGGAAAGTATTTACGATGGTAAAAGTAATGATTATGAAGATCATCCAGATGGTAATTAATAACCCTAACTTGAAATAAGAAATATATCTTACTATATTTAATTTTATTTAGGGGCTCCTTGTGATATCATCGGTTCTTGGAGTTCCTCCACTTTAGGCTTGTGTTTTAATATAGAATTGGCCAAAGATAAACTTCATGATATTTCCCCAGCCGAAATAAATAATAAGCTGCTAACGATTAGTATCGTGGAATGTACTCCTCCAAAACATCATCAAATTATTGATCTAGATTGGAAATTTACAGGCAGTGCCTTAAAACAATTGGGAGGTCTTTTTTATTTATATGGCCAGAAAAGAAGTGAAAGTGTTGCTGCAACATTTTTGGGTAAGATGTAATACATTTAATAAAATAATAAATGATTAAATTTGATTTATAAAAATGTGTTTAGGTTTCTGTCGCACTTGTGGGGGCATTGATACGATTTTTGGTTCTTGGAATTCTTTATTCCCTTCTAAGGATTGTAATGATATATCTTTGGCTTTTGACGTAAAGCGTGACGTTTTAAGACGTATACGAATGGAGGCGAAAAGGAAGGAACGTTTTAAGGAACTACTTTATAAAAGTCATCATGGACAAATTCCATGAACAGTCTTTGTTTATACATTTTGTTATTTATAATAGTTATTTATTTTACTGTAATTTTATCGTAAAATATTGGCCAACACATTTCAATTAAATTTTTTAATTCAGGATAACTAACTAACTAACTAACTAACTAACTAACTAACTAACTAACTACTAACTAACTAACTAACTAACTAACTAACTAACTAACTAACTAACTAACTAACTAACTAACTAACTAACTAACTAACTAACTAACTAACTAACTAACTAACTAACTAACTAACTAACTAACTACTAACTAACTAACTAACTAACTAACTAACTAACTAACTAACTAACTAACTAACTAACTAACTAACTAACTAACTAACTAACTAACTAACTAACTAACTAACTAACTAACTAACTAACTAACTAACTAACTAACTAACTAACTAACTAACTAACTAACTAACTAACTAACTAACTAACTAACTAACTAACTAACTAACTAACTAACTAACTAACTAACTAACTAACTAACTAACTAACTAACTAACTAACTAACTAACTAACTAACTAACTAACTAACTAACTAACTAACTAACTAACTAACTAACTAAATAACTAACTAACTAACTAACTAAATAACTAACTAACTAACTAGTAACTAACTAACTAACTGACTAACTAATTATACATATTTATTTGTGCAAAGATTTCTATTAATACAAAGTTCTCTTTTTTGCAAAATTTACTATTGTAAGAAAAGAATACCATATCCATTTTTTAAAAGTCTAGGAATTGAGTGAACATTACCCATATTTTTTTAATAAAAATTTATATTTTTCCATGTGGGATATATAAATTGATTGTATAAAAAAAAAAAAAAAATGTGTAATTATTCTATGGTTTCAAAAACCAAGGGTTAATTTAATAACAACCCTGCTCACTGTTAACTTAACATCATTTTAACATTTGTTTATCATTAACACAGCTGATAACAAAACAACAGCTGCATTGTGAAAATTTTCTGAATTGCATTAAAAGTGAGAAAAAAGTATTAATTTATAATTATACACAAAAATATTTCTGCAAAAATAATAAATTAATGAAATTATAAAATAAATAAACAGCAGGAAAATGGGTAATCAATTAGTTGGTATAGCACCATCCCAAATATATCCCGTAGAACATTATTTCTCGGGTCAATTTGGCAGTGAAATTGTATTCGATTCCAAGTAAGTACAACAATAGATTAAATAGAGGCGTATTATTGAGTATTTCTTGTAATTTTCAGCATGGGAAGTACCCGTTTCTTTAAGGTGGCCAAAGCGAAATCAGAAGAGGGTCTTATAGTGGTGAAGGTTTTCGTTAAACATGATCCCACATTGCCACTGGAAGACCATAAAGAAAGAGTAGAGTATATAAAAAAGACTTTAGCGAATGCAGTTAATTGTTTGCCCTTTCAAAGGGTGGAGGTGAGTTATTGTTGAATTTTGAGCATCTGAAAGTAAATTAATCGATTTTATAATCTCCAGCTTACTGACAAAGCTGCTTACATTATGCGTGAATACGTCAAGCACAGTCTTTATGATCGTGTCTCCACTAGACCTTTTTTGACGGTACTTGAAAAGAAATGGATCACCTTTCAAATATTATGTGCTCTTAATCAGTGTCACAAACAAAAAATCTGTCATGGTGATATAAAATTGGAAAATATCTTAATAACTTCATGGAATTGGATACTTTTGTCGGATTTTGCTTCTTTTAAGCCTACTTTTTTACCCGAAGATAATCCAGCTGATTATACATATTTCTTTGATACCAGCAGAAGACGTACTTGTTATATAGCACCCGAAAGATTTGTTAAAACTTTGTCATCTGATGATGCGGATGGTAATGCTTCAATGTTTCCAACTGACTCTATAATACGTTTGGGTCCCTACTATTCGGGTAATACACTACTGCCAGCTATGGATATATTTTCAGCTGGGTAAGTACTTAAGAAAAACTACATATTGGATTATTTAAAATGTTTGATCAGAGTATACCTTAATAACTCTGTGTTCCAAAAACACACGTTTTTAATTATGAACCCTAATTTTATCTTTCTCTTTTAAGTTGTGCCCTTTTAGAATTATGGACTGAAGGTACCGCTCCTTTTGAATTTTCCCAATTATTAACCTATCGCAGTGGTGAACGTGAACTCGTTGAAAAACATTTACAGGGCATAGAAAATGAACGTTTACGTGATCTTTTAGCTTCTATGATTGATTTAAATTCAATGAATCGTAAAAGTGCTGAAGACTATTTGGATCAAGAACGTGGTCGTTTATTTCCCGAATACTTTTACTCTTTCCTACAATCGTATTTACAAATGTTTTCCTCGTCACCTATAATGTCACCCGATGATAAAATAATGCGTTTACATTCAGATATTAATCATTGTATCAAAGTTTTGACATCGGGTGAATGTTCAGATTTAACTCCCGAATCTGAGTCAGCCGACGATAAACAAGTGAAGAGTATTGCCAATGAAGAGGAGGAAAAGAAAGATTCTGAATCATGTGCCAATATGTCACCAGATCAAGATGGTTTAATTTTAATTATAACTGTGGTAACTTCCTGTATACGTGGTTTGAAACATTCGAATACGAAAATATGTTCTTTGGAAATTTTGCAAAAACTTTCAAAATATACAACTTCGGAAACTATACTGGATCGTATATTGCCTTATATAGTAAGTTTGGTAATCATTTTAAAAATATTTTAAAATTCACTATGCAAATTTAATTTTTAGCTTCACTTGGCTCAAAATTCCTCAGCTAAAGTTCAAGTTCAAGCTATTGAAACCCTAACAGCTTGCCTGAGTATGGTTAAAGATATACCGAGAAGTGATGCTAATGTATTTCCCGAATATATTTTAGTATCAATTAGCAAATTGGCAAACTGTGATCAGAGTGCAGTAATTGTTAGAGTAGCATTTGCTAGAAATATTGCAAAATTAGCCAAAATAGCTATATATTTTTTGGAAGAAACACAACGTAATTCTCCCAATGATATGCCAACCAGACGTTATGAAGCTGAGCTAAATGCTCTGCATGAGATTATACGCCAAACAGTGTTGAGTTTGTTAACCGATCCTAAAGCTATTGTCAAGCAGACTCTAATGGAATCAAATATTTGTGATTTGTGTGCTTTCTTTGGCAAAGAAAAGGGTAAGAAAATTGTTTAATTTGTAAAATGAGTTAAATCCTTAAATTATTTCGACTTTTTATTAACTAGCCAATGATGTTATTTTGTCACACATAATGACATTTCTCAATGATGAAGATAAAAACTTGAGAGGTTCTTTTTATGACAATATCGCCGGAGTAGCTGGTTATGTGGGCTGGCAGGTGTCTGATATTTTGGTGCCTCTTTTACAGCAAGGTTTTACGGATCGTGAAGAATTTGTTATTGCCAAGGCAATTAGAGCTGTTACCATTCTCATAGAATTGGGTCATATTAAAAAACCAACTGTTACCGAAATCATACAAGATACTGCCTGCTACTTATGTCATCCCAATTTATGGATCAGACACGAAATATGCGGCATGATTGCTACAATGGCTCGTACTTTATCCGCTATAGATGTGCAATGCAAAATAATGCCCGCCATTGCGAAATTTCTTAAATCGCCTTTGATTCAAGTCGAAAAACCAGACATTTTATTGGATTGTATCTTACCACCCATACCGAGACAGGTGTATGATAATGTTCTGCGATTTGCAGATGTTCATAAATTTATTCACGCTTTGGAGGAGAGAGCTAAAGTACGCAGCACTACACGTCCCGGTTTGATGCCACAATATGGCGACATGGGCCAGACTTTAAGCAGTGTAAGCATGTTTGTTTAATTGGTTTTATCAGAAATAAAAGTAAAAAAGGTATATTTTTTATAGCTATTCCGCCGTTTAAATTCAGAAGGTCTAACGGAACAAGTTGAGATGCAACTATTGGCTATGAAAAATTTCCTGGTGAAATTGAAATATAAATCTCAACAAGATGCCGATGAACCGTCTATATCATCAAATGGCCGCATTAGTTTAAATCGTAAATTTATTGTTTGTCATGATTTTGCTTTGGTCGATAAACATTCAAACACTAAAATGACTTTAGAGCCTAGAGTTAGTGAGGGCATAACACCCACCTCACCCCTGTCAGATGTTGTTGTTTCACCAGGTGTAGGCTTATCGGGGAGTCCAGCTTCAGGTGTCATAGTTTTGGGAGCTCAGGCAACTACAGTGAGCGCAGCAACTTCTTTGGGTGAATACACGATGCCCGAAAGAAATTATTGGCAGGGTGAGTTCTTTGTTATAATAACAAATATTGTTAATAATATGTTTTTTTTTATCTCTTTACTAGAACGTTCCTCAGAATGTCGCAAAGATTTGGAAAGTTTGCGCACTAAAATGAAAAGTCGTTATAGTGTTTTAGCACTATCACAACGCAGTCACTTAGATAAACACAACAGTCCCTATCCACACGGTTGGCGTTTGGGTGGTACTATGGTCGCTCATTTACATGAACATTCCGAATCTGTTATTAAACTTACATCACTTAAACCATATGGTTCACTATTTGCCAGCGGTAGTATAGATGGTACTGTACGTCTCTGGGATGCCAATAAGTTGAGTGGTAGTCATGGCATAAATAAATCACGGCAAGTATATACGGCCAATACGCCGATCTATTCATTGGCCGCCTGTGATAATGGACAATCATTGGCTGTGGGCGGTAAAGATGGCAGTTTGTTAATAATGCGCATAGATAGAAATTCTTCAAAAATGACATTACAACAAGCATTGCATTTAGATCAAAAGTAAGTTTGAAAAAGAAATAAAGCATCAAATTAAATTCTTCATTTTATAGTGAAAATGATGGACCGGTGGTGGATATGCATTCCTATGAACAATGTTCACAAAGTGTTATTATCTATGCTACACTGTATGGTGGTATAGTGGCCTGGGATACGCGCATGCAAAATAGTGCTTGGCGTTTGCAAAATGAATTAAGACATGGTGTTATCACCACCATATGTGCAGATCCCACTGGCTCTTGGCTTGTAACGGGTACTAGTGGTGGCAAGCATATTTGTTGGGATTTAAGATTTCGTTTACCTATAGCCGAAATAAAACATCCCGCCGATTCTTGGATACGTAAAGTGGCTTGTCATCCCACAGAACCGTCATGTCTAATATCAGCCTCACAATCTAATAATGAAGTTTCTATTTGGAATATTGAAACGGGTCATCGTCATACCGTATTATGGGCCAGTACAGCTCCAGTTTTATCCTACACTAGTATGGTAAGTTTTATAAAATGGATATTTTACTAAGTGTTTCATTTAACAATTTAAAAATAGAATGATCCGGCTACTACTTGTGGCATTTTAAGCGGTGTGGTAGATAATGCTCCATTTATAATAACTGGCAGTTCTGATCAACGTTTACGTTTCTGGGATATAACACAACCGAAAGGTTCTTCATTAATTGTACCCTCGGCTAAGGATAATCTCAATGATGTATCCTTTAACTACGAGTGAGTTTTGTTGAACTTGTGTGACACCTTAAACCTATTGCTATATTTTATTTTAGTTCTCGTTTAATTGAGGGTAGTCAAGTGATAGAAGAGCATATTATTCCCATGGGAAATGTGGCTGATATTAATTCTCTAAGAGCTTCTAGCGAAGAGAATCCACGCTCGGGCCCCGAAATGCCTTCGGCCAGTCATCATGATGCTATTACCGATTTACTAATGTGCAAAACCGATAAAGATCAAATTTATGTAGCTTCAGCTGCACGCGATGGTGTCATCAAATTGTGGAAATAATTCTATGGCAAATATTTAATTTTTTTTCCTATTCTAAAAATGTATTCTTTTTTACTGTGATTATATTTAAGATTTATGGTTTAAAAATATATCTTTCAATAAAATTCATAATCAATATCGTATTAAATAAATGTACTCCGTAGTTATTAATTTAAAAAGTAAAAGATTTTTCATAAATATACTAACAACATGAGTTCCCGGAAAAATAATACTAGATTTTTAAGAAAATTACATATTCTCGGCGTTGAGTTTTAAATTTTAAATTAATGTAAAAAAGTGAGTGTGTTATATTCGACTATGCGGAATCTTAAAAATACCCATAATCAAAGGGCATGTTGTAAAATTAAATTAGTTTTAAAAGTTGGTCAAAAACCTATGTCGGCTTAGGTCTGAAAAGTTTTATGGGGAATGGTCAATTATGGACGGGAATTACGGGCTCTACAGAATTTGAAATAATCAATGACTTCCAAAAACTAATTTTTGTCGATCACTTTGAAAGAGGAATTAGATAGCGGCTAGGGACCTTATATAGGGACAATTATGGTCTGGATTTTAGAAAAGGTATTTTGGTTTCTAGGTATAAACTGGTTTTGTTTTTATGACCAATATTTTAAGTCCAATAGCTTTTCCGATAAAGACACCTCATACTTCCAACAGACAATTGGACAGGTCTAGAACAGGTTTTCTTCTGTGTATGCTATGAGCGGTGGGCGAACTCCAAGTACGACATTCAATTCATAGATCGCAGGATACCGCATGAATCTCTTAATTGGAGGTCGCTCACCTCTCATTGCAGAGTATATCTTGCACAACTAAGATCGGGATAGAGCAACAGCTTTAATGCCAACTGGTCACGCATAGACCGTGCCGTCCCCAATGAATGTCCAGCATGTGGTCAAGAACCCCACCAAACGCATTATTTTATAGTTTTAGCTGTTACGTTAACAACAGCAGATCTAAATCAAATAGATTTTTTAACATCCAATGCTAAAAATTTTGGAGTACGGAATAATGTATATTCCAAAGGTTTTCAACTAAGATATTAATGTCAAATTGCTTAACACAAATACTGACACTTTCCAAATGGAACTTAAAATTCTTATAAGTTTTTTGCACAGATCATTCTCAAAATCCTTATGCCAACTAAAGAACAATCCAAAAACATAGAAATAGGTAATACCTATTAGGTATAAAAATATTACTATAAATCCATTTAAATGTCTACGAATATAAAAAAAACTAAAATTGTAATAGAATAAAAAATATTTTTAAACTTACCAAAAACACCGGTTACAGCAAATTTTTACACCAAAAAGTTGTTAAATTGTTTTTTAATTAATTTCTATGAATTCTTATACACAACGACCTAGAATCACTCTTTATAAACATTTTAAAACTATTTGCACTAATTTATAAATTTTTTAAAACTTTTCAAATTTCACACAAATTAAACGCGCACAACGCCAGAGCCCTGCGCCGACAAATATTAATGGCGGCGGCGACTGACATTCAATATGTCGTCGGCGGCTTAAAATCGACTGTCAGCCGGCTAAGTTTTCAACTACGTTTAGTTTTTAAATTTTCAAAGATTTTAAATAAAAACGGGATCCGAGATATCAGAAAGTGGGATTTTGGAAGCAAATATATTGTTTATAACAACAAAACAGAGCAAGCTCAAAAGTTGTGTGAGAAATTATGCAGGGATGAATAAAAAATTCTTAAAAATTAAAAACAAATCCTTTCTCCAAGTTTTACGAGGATCGGCCGATATTTAACCCTATCCTCCATATAAAACATCTTGCAGAAAATCTGTTTCTGAAAAATTTTACATTAAGAAAATGATCAATAACGTAAAAACAAAGATATTTTATTTATTTATATACTAGCTATACCCAGTGTGCTTTGCTACCCTAAAAGCAATATAAATAAGAAACCCACTTAACGATTTTGATGATTCTAACTACAATGGTTTTCCAGACATACAATTTGTTACATATGGGAGATTCCACGCAAATTATTTCAGTTTCGCCAATTATTCCGAACGTTAATTAAGATTTTAATTTAATCTATGAAAAATTCGAATAATCTAATAGTTTCCCAGATATACGAAATTTTGTATTTAATTCATATGGGAAGTGCCAAGCCCCCCATTGATAGTCCGCCCGTTATTCTCTAAATGATCTTCAGTAAAATTTGAAGATTTTAACTCTAATAGTTTCTCAGATATACGAATTTTACTATTTAATTCATATGGGAGCTCCAAGCCCCCCAGATGAAAGTCCGCATTTTTTTCTCCAAAATGTTCAGATGAATATTAAAGTTCTTCGTAAATTGTGTTTTATTGTAAATTGGTATAGCCGTCACATTTAACGGATATATTCATCAAATATGATTAGTCAACAATGACCGATAAATACTTCATTTTTATTTTGTTAACTGTGATAGATATATCCATCAAGCATGATCAGTCAATCCTGACTAATATTTATGTCATCCTTGGTTGGTAAACAACAAAAGAGTGAGGAGCTCAAATATATGTTTTAAAGTCGATAGAATTCATAAGTGCAAGGGAGAAGAAAAATCACATGTACACAAATGTTTCCATTACTTTTGTCCACTTGCCTTAAGAAACTGATAGAAACTTTGTTCTAAGCTGTGATAGAAATAATACATCAATAGTGCCAGTCAAATGACCGATCAAATGACTGTCACGGTTCTTGTAGGGTTGCAACAAGAGAGTAAGAGAGCGATAAAAATGACAGTTCGTTGATAGAGAATTTTTTGATTTTACTGGATATTTTTTTCCCAGTAAAAATATTCAACATATGTTGAAAACAAACCAAAGAAAACAAAAATTTGGTAAATTTTAAATTTTTTGAAATAAATAACACACGAATATTAAAAAATTATTTGTAATTAGATTTATTATAATTTTATCATAAATTAGTTTTTAAAAGAGTTTGTTGTGAAAAATCATAACAAATATTGTCAATCTAGCGTTTTTAAAACCACTTAGTTTGTCTTTCTCTTAGCGATTTTATGTAGATTTTTATTTTACTAATATGTTTGTAACATGAAGTTTTAAAACAATAACATATTTGTAATGATATAACATGTTTTGTTAACTTTAAATATACATTTATTTACAAAAAAATCATAATTTCAATTGTTTGTTTTTTTGGTGTTTTGTTAGCGATTGAGGTTTCAGCAAAAGGGCATTACTTAAATTTTTTTTACAAATTTGCGTTCGCGTACTTTTTTTGATATTTTTTTGATTGAGAGTAAATTAAAAATCACTCTCTATCATAAAGTTACTGGATATTTTTTACTGCAAAGTACGCGAACGGACCTAATATATTTGCTTCCAAAATCCCTCTTTTTTTTTTCTCCTATTCCGTTTTTATTGAAAATCGTTGAAAATTTAAACTTCGCCGGCTTACAGTCGATTTTAAGCCGCCGCCGATATTTTTAGTGTCAGCAGTCGTCGCCGTTAATATTTGTTGGCGCAGGTCTCTGTTGGCGTCTAATTAAAAAAAGTTTGAAGCTATTTATAAAAAATTGAAATTATGCGCTCGTATTCTTTGAGAAGTTGCAAGCGCCGTTACTTCAGCAAAGCGGCAGAATTGAATTGAAAATTATAGAATAAAAATAAAGAAAATTCACATTTAAGGAAGAAAAAAGACACCTGGTGTTTAAAGATAAATACTGAGGAATTTACACAGAAATCACAAAAAACTAAGGTAAATTTTACTGAAAATTCAATTGCAAACAAAATTAAGTTGAAAAAAAATCTTAAATATTGCAGAAAAATGAGTTTGACATAAAATTAGCTAAAAGAATCAACCAAAAAAGAAAACTAAAAAATTGGACAAATTAAATTAATTTCCTTAGAAAATACATAAAGCCGCCTTCAAGAGATAAAATAAAAAGAAAAAAGTAGGATTTTATTACAGAAAAGTATAAATATCAAGAAAACAATCCTCTTTTTGCTGTTTGTGAAGAAGAGTTAATTGCGTACAACACAAACTAAAAGAAAATAAATTTTTAAAATGGCGCCCACAAAGAGTACCCGTGCAGTTTCCAAACAATCAGTGGCCACCTCCACCTTGACCACACTGATGCCCCTGGCACGCAAAGGCCTGACTAGGCGTACGGCCAGCAATGTACAGGATCAAAATATCGATGTAATGCAAACACGGGCAAAACGCAAAGCTGAACATAGTCCACAGAAAAATGACAAAATTAAGCGTTCTGCTTTGGGAAATCTCACGAATAATGTTAACAATAACAAATTGACGCTTTTGCATACCGAAGAAGATGCCAAACAGCAACAGCAACAAATGATGAAAAAGAAAGATTTGGTACAAAATCTATTTGGACAACAAAATGCTGCAGCAGTACAATTATTGAAAGAAACCCAAAATCTCATACTTCAACAGGCGTCAACAACACAGGGAACACAACAGAAGCCGGCCGCTCCCCAGGCCACTAAAATAGCAACAAGAGCATCCACGCGCAACCACAAAGATGCTAACAACATAACCTCAAAAGCACCCTTGGAGGAACAGACAAACAAACTTTTGACCAACTGCCAGGCGGCAAAAACAAAAGTTAAAACAGATGAACCACCAGCAGCTCCGTTGCCACCATTGCAACATCATCAGGTACAGAAAGTGGCTAACAAACCTGTACGCCGTATTTCTAATGAATTTAATAAGACTGAAGAATCCCTGTATATGTCGGCTTTGGAAGACATTTCCGGCTGCGACTCCATGCGCTTGTCGGCGAATTTCGAGGCTGCCAAGCGGAGATCAGTTGTACTGCAACAAAATAAAACCGATGATTCAAAACTCGAAGACGAGAAAGCTTTAGACGAAGCCGAGCAGCTGCCAGAAGGTGTAGAAGACATAGACAAAGCCAACTGGAATGACTTGTTCTTAGTGTCTCACTATGCTCGTGACATTTTTAATTACCTGAAACAACGTGAATCGGAATTTCCCATAGACGACTATATGGAACGTCAGGTTCACATTTCGACGTGGATGCGTTCTCTGCTGGTCGACTGGATGGTTGAAGTTCAAGAAACTTTCGAACTCAATCACGAAACGTTGTATTTAGCCGTCAAGATAGTAGATCTATTTCTATGTAAAGAACAAATTAGCAAAGATAAATTACAACTTTTAGGCGCTGCCGCTCTCTTTATAGCATGTAAATTCGACGAACGGACCCCACCCTTGGTAGAGGACTTCCTATACATCTGCGATGGGGCCTACAAACACGATGAACTCATAGAAATGGAGATCATAACACTCAAAACCATACAATACGATTTGGGTATACCGCTGTCGTACCGTTTCCTCAGACGTTATGCCCGCTGTGCCAAAACTCAAATGCCCACCTTAACTTTAGCCCGTTACATTTTAGAATTATCCCTGATGGATTATGACTGCATTACGTTGAGTGATTCGAAGATGGCTTGTGCTGCTCTCTTTATGGCTTTACGTTTACATGGCGAGGCGAAACCCTGGTCACCCACACTCATTCACTATACAGGCTATCAACTGCAAGATTTCGCCGAGATAGTGCCAATACTTAATGCTGGATTACACCGTAAGCCCAAGGGTACCATTAAAACCATAAGAAGTAAATATTCCCATAAAATATTCCATGAAGTAGCTAAGGTTCCCCTAATGACTACAGAGCAATTATTTGCAAATAATTTAGATTTCGATTTAAGTTTAACAACTCCTGAACAACAAAAGTTGCAAAAGCAACAACAAAAAAGTGGTAGTAGTTGTAGTGGGGATAAGAAAACATAAGAACAAGATACAAAAATAATTGATAAAATTAAAAAAGGAAAGGAGAGTTAAAAAATGGAGGGAATACATACAGTGTGTGAGGGGAGATAAACTAAAAACTTTCTTAAAAAATGTTTAATAGTTTCCAAATTTTAATATTTTGATTAGAGAAAACTCCAAAAACAAGTTTCAAATATGCAATTGTGTAAAGTATTTGCATTTCTTAAACAAATTTTGTCAATGTTAATTCATTGAAAATATAAAAGGAAGTATAAATCTTATTTAATTTTCAAGTTAAAGAATAAACCAATTGTTTAGTTATTTGTTATACAAAAATGTGTTAAAATTGGGCGAAATTGTTTTAATTTGTTTTTTCTTTAACAAATTATAAGCTTTTTTGAAACATTTTCTTTAAAACACAATGTAATCACATAAATTCGTTTATTGTCAGGCCTTAAACAATTGTTAAGTTTTATAAGTTTTGAATCTAATCAAATTTGTTATTTTTAGAAAAAAATAGAAAAAACTTTCATAATTATTTTTTCTGTTTAATTAGCTAAACAGTCTCTTTTGTAAATTTCTTTTTTTGAGCCTTGTTTGGTTTTTAATATTTTCAAATTGTTTAAACTTATTGCAAAGAAATCTTGATATGTACAATTTTTGTGTGATCGTTATGATTGTCCTACATCCGGTTTATTCAGATACTTGTTACATTTGTTTTAAATTAATTTATTTCCCCGTGAGTATTTCTCTCCTTTTTTTCTAGAACATCTAATAATTTAACTATTAATCCCCTTTTAAAATTGTAGCCGCCAGCCACTACTTAGCTAAATGTTTTCATTTCTTTCTAACTTCTTTTCTATTTCCGAATTATTGTTTATTTTTTAAGCAATTTATTTATATTTTATAAACCTTTGTTTCCTTAAAAATACTCTCCTAAACCAACATCAAATACCAAAATTGACATAAACTAAACAAAAATTACCACTTCATATAGACAAATTAAAGCAAAAACTACCAAAACTAAATGAAAAAATTAAAAAAAAAAACATTAATATACGCTTCGTTAGATGAAACAAAAAATACAAACAAAACTAAAACACTATTAAGTTTCATAAGGAAGTACATATATAATTTAAAACTTAAGTTATTAATATTACAATTATATATTTTTTTCCTCTCATCCCTTACAACACCTTCATAACTGATTATTTTGTAACTTTATTTTTTTAGTAATATTAAGTTGCATTTATTATTTTATAAATTTCTATATAATTAATACAAACAAAAAACAACTAAAACAACAATTACACTTAAATAAATTTAAATAACCATATATATTACCTAAAACAATAATACAAATCTAATTTTACCCAGAAAAGATATCAAGTTTAGGTCTACAGGATACTTTATTATCATCAGTTAATTTAGCCAACATTTCTTTTAAAGAAATTTATCTATTTTTGTTTGCTGTTGACCTGGTTCGTTTGATCCTTATTTATCATTTACTAATCCACCTTTTTATATTAATTTTGTTTTTTTATTTTTCCTTTTTAGTAATTTTATTAAATATTATTTTTTTCATCTAATACAATATACATATTTTTAAGTTTTTAACTTTTTTTGTCTACACGTAACTAGCAATTTACAAAATTTTGTTTAAAGATTTATTTGTTTTGTTCTTTGCAAGTTTTTGTTATGCACTATTATCGTTAAAAAATATTATTTTTAATGTTTTTTTATTATCAACTTAAGTTATTCTTTTTTGGTTAATAAATACAATTTTTTTATTTTTTCAAACAATGTTTATGATTTTTTATTTTTTTGTTTATAATTAAAAAAAACGTATTTTTTGTTTCTTTAAATATGCATTATTTATTTTTTAAATTCTTAAAATTTACTTTAAAATTAAGGAAGAATTTAATGAATATTTATTTATTAAACAAAAGTATTTATTAACCAAAAAGAATGAATATACGTTAATAATTGCACCATACAAACGTGTTAGAATAAATATTTGAAAATGATCGTCAGCATATTATTGGATTAAGAAGGTTTACCTAAAGTTTTTTTTTTTTTTTTTCAAAATTTCACACTTGATTTCGACATATATTTTGAATAAAATTCTAGATTTATACACAGTTATTTAAAATTAAACAAAAGTTATGAAGATTTTAATGTTTGAAGTTTTTATGTTCGTTTTCATATTTTAGGGTTTATATCAACCTTCAAAAATATCCGAACAAAAACCGAAAGAGGGCTGAAATTTTCCACAAATATTATTTATTGATGCAAGTTGCTTGGTATTGAAAATGGGCAGAATTGTACGATTTCACCAAACCTGGCTTAGAAATACTAGTATAGCGATGAAAAATTTACTTTAACGATCACTATAGGCTTTCAAATGCCTGTAGTGATAAAAATCGAAATAATAAAGTTTTATAGAGGAGAGGACAATGAAACTTTGGATTAATTTCTTTGACATTGCCGAGCTTTCTTGCAAGTGATATTATTCCTAACGAACACTCATTGGAAAAATCTTAGGAATAACGTCCAGGAAGCTGAGTTTCTGAACATCGGCAGTAGACCCGACAGTGGCCTAGGTGCATTTCTTCGGATTTGATGTAGATACAACCTCTTATCAACCTAACCTATGTTTTATAGTACTTAATGTTATGATGATCGGTCACCGTTACAAGTTACTTTTTGTTGATGGTTTCATATATTACAATCTAAAATATGTGGGCCTTATAACAAATCACAAAATTTGTTCTAGGTATAAACTTTTGATAAACACTTTTGATTAAGACGCACAGGGTATTTTTTTTGTTGTTTATTTTATTAAATATAAAATACACAATTATAAAACAGTTATAAATTATTAATAGTATGATGATTTGGTGCCTGTTTGATGAGGATCTTGTAGTGTATGTAAACTATTATCGTAAATGCCGGCTGGTCCAGATGGCAAATACATTTTTTCTTGTTGATGGTAGGGGTTATTGACATTTCCATGAATGTATCCGTTAGATTGCACATTATATGGATAGTAGGGATTTACAGCTGGATAAGGTCCAAGCGATTGGTAGGGAATACCATTAACATGTCCCATTGGGCTAAGTACCGGGTGGACATAATGTATTTCTACTTTCTTCTCCGGTTTTTCCTTTTCATCATGCACTATATTATGTACGAAATCATGTACGCGTGAAAATATTCCTAATGTGGGTTTTCCCGAAACTTTTACGACCAAAAGGGCAAAAAATATTAAATTAAACACTTTCATTGTCACACGTTTTTAAAATATTTGTGCGATTTCTTTTACGTTTAGACAAACACTAAGTGAGGTATTATTTTAATCATTACTTTTATGTACATATTTCAAATTTTGATAATATTTTTAGTACTAATACAAAAACGACTAAGTCGGCTTAAGCCTGAATTGAAATGTTACTATATTTTACTAACAGAACTCTTTATTACTTTAAATACCGATTTTTCTAACAACGTTTTCTAGATATCGAGAAATACTTAGGTATATACTTAGGTCCATAATCTCAAATCTCCGGTTATTGTTTAACCAGTAGATATGTATGTTATCGTCTATTTTTGTATGAAAATTGTAAGTCGATATATCAATATGAAAAAAATTAAAATGTTATTGAGAAAATGGGGGTAAATCTTATGTGTTGTTAAAAGTAATTTTTCTTGAAATTGTGATTTTCGACTTAGGCTGTTATTGCTTGTGATTAAAGATATTTTTTTCGTGAAAAATTTTAAACTAAAAGATGATTATGTCTAAAAATAAACTATTGACACAAAAAGTATCGTGATTTTTACTTTAGAAGTTTTATAGAGAGGTTCCTAAAAGCTTAAAATGTCTTATGAATCCTGAACCAACAATTTGTAATAAAGAAGTTCTAACATTTTTTGCTTGGATTTTCTTAGTAAGAAAATATAAACTCTACTTATATAAGAATTACAAGATTTATTTTTAGGTCTTGTAGTTATCAAAGAGTGAACCGGTTTTAAAATTAAAAAAAAAAAGAAACAGTTCGGACCCTGTCTTAGAATCAAAAATGCTGATAATGAAATTACAAAGCCAAATATGTTTTTTAAGAAAATTGTTTAATTTTGTGCTGATATGCTTACACGCGTTATAATTTTTTTTGTCAAGATAATAAACTCTGCTTTGTCATAAAACCGATTATAACTTTATATTTCTTCAAACTTTCTAAATCTTAAAATCCTCAGATCAAGTGGCTTCAGAGCATGTTAATAAAGTCCAATGCGAATGCCACATTCTAAAGAAGACCGAAGTTTTATCAATCTCTTTCTCTTTGACAGCAATAACATAGAAAATAACTTCTTTCCATAAAACTGAGAATTCGATTTTAAACTCCCCTTTAACATATTTCAGATAACTTTACTCCTCTGGGTCCTGTAATATATAGTATATCAACAGAGTGCTATTAATCCCAATGTATCCTTAAAAATCCTGTAGAATACTAACAACAAAATAATCACTGTTTATTGTCAGTCATTTTTGTACATTTGTTTATCCTTATAAAAATTGCGCCAATTTCCTCTTTATCTTCATTTATATTTGTTGTAGTATACATACATCCTTGTTCTCTATATATCCTACCAAGCATTAACAATTTGTAGAGAAATAAACCAATCATTGTCCTTTTTTAAAACGACATATGCAATTTGGTACGAGTTATATTCTACCTGGCATTGTTTTCATACAAGTTTTTTTTCTACATTGCTTTTCCTCTTAAATTTGTGTTTATTTGCCTTAGGATCTCTTAAAGAAACAGTTTAGGGGAATGAAACCTGCCACAGGAAAACATAAATTATTATTACACTATTTAGTTTTGCAATAACCATTTTAAAGGTATACCTTCCCTTCAAAAAATGTCATATTTTCTTTAACATGCAATAATCTTTTACTCAGGTTTTTTTAAGGATTTCAAACATTTTATTTGTATCCTTAAAGTCTGTTTGTAGCAACAACAGTAAATGAAAAAAGAAAAAAACAATGAACTCAATGACCTTTACTCAGTATGTGGTGCAAGCAGTTTATGGTATACAAAAAAATCATATTTGTTCAGCGTTCAGCCAGGATTTCTTTGCATCTTTTTTTCGTACTTTGTTGATAATGCATAAATAGATTTTGTTTTTGGCACAAATTTATTAATAATGAAATGCGTAACATCACCTTTGTTTCAATTACTACCATTTATTGTTTTAAAAATTCGTTTTACAGCAGTTGAATTAGTTCATTTAAACAGAGATTTAATCAAATTTTCAGCTGCCTTTTAATTTGTATGCTTTTTATATGGATTAATTAATAATTAACTCTTAACATAATTCGGTGAGATATTTTAAATATACATATTTTTATATAAAGTAAGTCTCTGAAAAATCTTAAAAATTAGAAATCGATTTAAAAATATTCCTTAATAGATATTTTAGGAAACTTTCTATTATAAGCATTCGTGATGGGATAAACTATTCGTGATTTTTCTTTGTTAAATTATGGCATTTGATTTCAAACTAGAAAACTCATCATGAATGCAGTAATTCGGATCATGACTTTATAAAAATAATCTAAAATTTAGATCAATCACTCACATTTTCCACCAAAAAAATTAATTTCATATGAAAAAATATAAAATCTGCTGTAGATCATTTAATAATAAAGTAAGGAAATCTTTGACACTCATAGTATTTTCCATTACAAATTTATTTTTATATGAAAAATCCAAAATCGGCCGTAGATCCTTAAATAACGCTCCAATTGAAAAAAATATAAAATCTGTGATCACTCATGTTATTCATCAAAAATTTATATTTATATGTATAATCCTTAAAATTTTATGAACTGATCCTCATAAAAGTTGATAGACCGATTCTGGTTTATATACATCTTGCTTATGTCGAAATTCATCGTTGTACACGTATTTTTAGGCCAGTACTGAGCGTTTAAGTAGAGATGACCTTATATGGGGGGAAGGGGCAATTTTGGGCCGATCCTCACTATATTTAGTAGAAAAGCTTTGGCTCATAAGGAACTTATTTGCGTCGAGTTTAAACGGTATACTCGTATTTTTAATCCCGTAATGAGCGTTAAAGTAATTTTCTGAAGGGGACCTTATATGGCGGGTAGGGTCAATTATGGACCGATCCTCATAAAATTTGGTAGAGAGATACTTTTGTGGGTCTATAGTATAACTAATATTTCGATGTGTTACAACGGAATGACAAAATCAACTAAATTTCTAAAAGAGGTTTTATATGGGAGGGAGTTATGGTCAAATATGGGCCGATCCTTATCAAATCGGTAAGAGGGATGTATTTTTATATAAAGGTTAGTTTTGTTGAATTTCATCGCTATACTAATGGTTATAAGTCAATTTTTGGATGGTTAAGCTATTTTTTAGAGGGGGGTTTGTATGGGGGCTAGGGTTAAACGACGGCCGATAATTATAATAATCGGCATGGTCATTTATGCCTATATAAAAATTAGTTGTGCCATAGATAGTAGAATATTTGACGTAGTTATGGGTTAAAAACCCCTAATCAAAGGTCAAATTTTATGGGGGCTAGGTGAAATAATGGACCGATTTCAACCATTTTCAATAGGCATCCTTGCTTGCGCACAAGATTTACATGGACAGCCAGCCGGACAGACGGACGAACATGTCTGAATCGACTCAGAAAGTGATTCGGAGTCAATCGTTATACTTTAAGGTGTGTGTAGGGCACAAACGTATAATACCCGGCTCTATCGGTTAAGAACTGCCGGACTAAGTGATCACAAAGCTCTTAAAGGAAATGGTCTAAGCTTTCTTTTGAGCAAAAAAGGCAAGAAAAACGTTAATTTCGGAAAAATAGGGGATAATTAAAAAATTTTTTTTTGAAACAATGAAGAAATTGCTTTCTGAACTCCTTTGGACAATTTTTGACCAATAGGTGAAAAGTTACACTCATTTGAATAAAACCGTGTACGATCAAAATGTCCAACTTTGACCCCCTCTAAGTCCGGCAGATCTTGACCGATAGAGTTGAAAATTTGTGACTGGCCTACTATCCCATAGTACTAATCTTGGTGGAAATTTCATCCAAATCGGAAGACATCGATTTTAAAAGTTGGGCCACTTGCACGAAATTCCCCATATACATATATAATATTTAAAAAAAAAAAGTGCTAACATCGATTTTAAAAATATTGGCAATTTAATGTCAAAAAGCTCTTAACCGTTATGTCAATACCCACATACCCGGGTATGTTTTTCATTTTTGAAGTGATATATCTCGAGATCTATATATCGTATCGGAAATTTGGACTATGCTTTCAGAGTAATGTTTTCTATATATTTTCCAAAAATTAGTTAGACATATATATATTAAACCGATTTATGACCGATTTTCTATTTTTACCTCGTGTATCAATACCCAACATACCCCGGTATGTATATAAATTATATGTCAGTTATCGGACAAAAATTAAGTTTCATTATAAATTTTTTTTTATTATTAGAATTATATATATGAAAAAAATTTAACTAAACAACAAATTTAGTTTCAAATACAGAGTCATGTGTCTATATTCATAAATTTGAATGTGATATATTTGTGGACCCTGTAACATTAACAAATATGGTCCGATTTTGATGAAATAATAATTTTTTTTTAATGTATATGACTTAGTAAAGTAAAATTATGCTGATTATAATAATTTTATTTTCATAAAAACAAAAATATTTAAGTTTAAATTTTCAAATTTTAATTTTTGACCATGATTTAGCAATTTTTTTTTGTAAAAAAGCGCCCAATGGAGGTGGTTTAAACTTAAGCATGAAATGCAAAAGTGTAAACAGCTGATGCAAAAAAATTAATACAATTTTTATAAATATAAATATTAAAATGTTCTATTTATTGATTAGTATAAATTATGCACACCCACACATTTTTTTGGTTTTAAATTTAAGTTTTCATTAATTTTCCTATTAAATTTACAATTGTCTTCTTCTTTTTTATAAAACATGCATTGTTTTGATAACAAACAGTGACATTTTCTGTTGTTTTGTATGGCAACACTTCGAAGTTTAATCTTGTACTCAAAAACATCAAAGAGGATTAACATCAGATTAAATTTATGATTAGATTAACTAATCAGATTATTAATTGGCATTTGATTGCCAGCTCAAAACCCCGCTCTAAGAAAACTTTAAAGAAAAATTGTTAAAATTTAATGGTTTGTGATCAAAAACTGTTTAATTTATATATACAGACGTTTTATTAAATTAGTTTTTATAATTATCTGAATTATACACTAGAAATGTATAAAAAGATGATATAGCCATATAAATTGTATGACATACCCGGGTATGTTGGGTATTGATGTACGTAATTTTGCTCGGGTATAGACAAGACGGTTAAAGGAAATTGTGTAAGCTTTCTTTTAAGTAAAAAAAAAAAAAAAAAAAAAAAAACGACCATTGTGAAAAAAGAGAAAATTAAGTGCTAAATAAAAAACAAAATTATTAAAAAAAAATAAAAAAAACTTTTTTTTGGAAACAATGAAGAAAAAGCTATCCGAACTCCTTTGGACAATTTTTGTTAGGATCAATTGGTGAAAAGTTACACTGATTTGAATAAAACCCTGTATGACCAAAATGTCCAACTTTGACCTCTGAATCCGGCAGTTCTTAAGCGATAGAGCTGAAAATTTATATCTGGCCTACTATTCCATAGTACTAACCTTGGTCCAACTTTGACCTCTGAATCCAGCAGTTCTTAAGCGATAAAGCTGAAAATTTATATCTGGCCTACTATCCCATAGTACCTTGGTGCAAATTTCATCCAAATCGGAAGACATCGATTTTAAAAGTTGGGCCACTTACACGAAATTTCTCTATATAATATTTAGTGAGTTAAAATAAAACTCTTTGAATAAATTGTCTCGATATAAAATGGCATTTTTCTTGGAAAATTAAAATTATCACAGATTTTAGCGAGATTCACATTTACAACATTATTTAAGGATATACAGCTGATTTTAGTATTTTTATATAAAAATACAGCGTCTGTTTGATATGACGTAGTAGTACGTCATCTATATAATAAGAGCTTAGAACGAATGATTGTTCATCATATTGTGTTTTTAAATTTTTATAATTTACGCGTGAGATTGTAGCCTTAATTTTTAATTATTTGCATATGCCCTAGATTGTTATAAACAATATTTTGACATTGAACATATATTTCGATTATATACATACTATATGAACTTCCTGAACACATAATCAATAAAAATGAAAGTGAAAATATTTTGCACTGTGGTGTGAATGCTAGAAAAAGTACTAAATGAAGAATAACAATCACAATGGTTTCAATTTCGTAATTTTAATTTCTATCAATTCTTATAATAACAACATATTACGGTAAAAAATTATTTAAGATAAGTGGGGTGGGCTTTTTTTAACATTATTGTAATAATAAATATTTATAATTTTTGGCAATAAAAGTGACTTCTTACGTGAAACGCAACACCCATTACTAAAGATTTAGTCAAAACGGTTGAATACTCTATTTATTTACAAAAATTTTCATGTTTTCATTGTTATGGACCATATCCAGCACAACCTTTTTGGCCAATTCTCTATTTAATTTCTATATAAAAAATTTCTAATTAAAAAAAAAAAAAATTTCAATCGAAAAATTTCAAATATTAATTTTTTAACATTATTATGTGCTTCAAACGCGATGTTCAAAACTACTTTTGCAGTGATAGATCCATATTTTTTTTAAATACAATAATTAATCTTATTTAGCTCAGATTTGTAAGAACATTCTTATCCTCTTATACCACGGTTTATATATATTGTCTGATTAATCTTGGGAAATTTATAAAAAAAACCCCAATAACAAATCTTATCAAATTTCAAGGTTATATTTAATATACTATAAAAACTTGTTCGAAATAATCTGAAGCTTTAGTCTTGTTCTAAACTTTTCAAAATAAATCAATAGTGAATAACAATTTAAATATCAGACATCATGAAAATAATAACTATTGCTCTAATTATTGGATTATTGAGTGTGGCGGCAAAAGCTAAGCCAACATTTGATGTTATAGCGGATATTATACACGATTTGGTACATGATCCAAATCAACCAGCAAATCATAGGCCACCACAATATGGATATAATGGGGCATACAACCAAAACGCTTACAATCGTCCAGCCTACAATCAGGCTGGTTATGGTTACAATCAAAGACCTCTTCATCAAGGGGTAGCTGGTGGCTATCAACATAATTCACCAAATGGTTACTACCCGAATAATCATCAAGTAGGCTATTATCCACCTAATGCATCCGGAAATTATGGACCTAGTGCAGTATATGATAATCAGGGTTATTACAAAGGACCTCCATATGCCGGGAATCACCCAAATGGTTATAATTATAATAATGGTTATACGAATCCTCCTCCACAGTATGGTTACAAAAATCGTGGTTATTAGAATGTATTTTAATGTAGTAAATAAATTGCAAGTATTTTTAGTGTAATTAAAAAACGTTAATTAATTCGAGTTATTTTTATTTATGGTTGAAATTTTTTTTCGAAAAACTCCTATAAACAACTAGGAAACTATAGTCGGGCATGGCCGACCATATGGTAGCCTACACCATGAGTATATTTTAAAAATTATTTATTTTGCATGAAGAACCTTTAATGTTGAATTTTATCCTAATTCCGATGTATTTAAGTGTTATTGATGAAAAACCAATTCTTTAAAAGAGGCTTTATATGGGAGTTGGGGTCAAGCATGGTCCGATCCTCATAAAATTTAGAGGAGGAGGGATATATTTTTATATAAAAGTTATTTACGTTGAATTTTATTGCGATACTAATGGTTATAAGTCAATTTTGGACGTTTAAGACATTTTTAAAGGGGGGCTTGGGTCAAATATCGGCTGATCATAACAAAAATCTGCACTGTCATATAAAACTCAGTGCTTATGCCGATGTTTAGAGAGATATATTTGACATAGTTATGGCATACAAATCCCAAATCGGGAGCTTCGGTTTTATGGGGCCTACAATTTTCAATAGGCTTCGTCCCTGTGCCGAAAAACACGCTAGGTCCAAATTTTAACAAAATATATTGAAAATTGCGGCCTGTACCTTGCGCACAAAGTTTACATTGACAGCCAGCCGGACGGATGGATGGAGGGACAAGTCTTAATCGACGCAGAAAGCGATTCTGAGTCGATCGGCATACTTTAAGGTGGCTGTAGGTCCAATATTTTTGTGTGTTACAAACATCGGCACAAACGTATAATATCCCCCCCCACTATAGTTGTGTAGGGTATAAAAAAAAGAGTTATCGAAATGATAACAGATTTTCCTTGTTTTCTATATTGATCGTTTTTTTTAAATCGACGGCAGACTTTAATTTTTTCATTAAAATTTTTTTTCGATGGCAAATTGAAGTTATGCGTTTGTGCTGATGTTTGTGACGCACCCACCTTAAAGTATAGCAATCGGTACATGTTCGTCCAGCTGGCAGAATTTCAATTTTTTAAGATATTTTGATGGATTTTGAACAATAAATGTTTTTCCAAGGACGAAGCCTATTGAAAATGGTTGATATCGGCAAATTATTTGACCTAGCCAGACCTTCCGATTTGGGCTTTTTAACTCATACTATATTTAAAAGATTAAGACCCAAATAATATTATTACACATATCAAATTAAATAAATATAAGAAAAGTTATATTTAGCTTGGAACACAGCTGTTTTTTGATAATTATTCTAAAAAGCTTTTATTTAAATACAAATACAGGTACACTATTTTATATAATTTATCTTAATAAATATATTTTTAGAGTTAAATGCATTTATTTTTAAAACACACATATGGACAAGAGATTCCAAGAACTCTACAGATTTTTTAATGTAAGAAAACTAAGCATTTTATTTTTAATTAAGATTATCACAACATTTTAATTAATTTTTTTAATAAATATATTCCACATCTTTTTTCGGATCATGTGAATCAACTGCACCTCCGCCAGTTGTATCGGTGGGTGCTGTCGGAATGGTAGGATTATAGGTTGGTGTATTTGACCAACCATAATAGGGATAGTGTACACCCGTTAGCGAAGGCTGATATACAACTCCTGTATTGGGATATTGTGATTGTGGATAATAGTAGTAATGAGGATATACAGCTGATCCGGTACTGACAGGTTGTTGGCCGACATAGACAGGTACCGCTACCGGTAAACGAACACCAATTATTGGAGCTTTATCCAATGGTTTTAAAGTGTTACCGTTACAAAGCGTTAGTGCTAAAAGCATAATGCCGACACTAAGGAAAACATTCTGTAAATCCATTATCGAATTATTACGTTTGATGTGTTGGAGTTTTAAAAAACAACTGAAGTATCAATAATTGGAAATTTGTTTATATTTATTCAATTGTACATATTTCAGGTATTTATTTATATACTACAGATCAACAACAAAAAATGAACTGATAACCTTTCATATGCGTTTATTCTTAAACCGCAAAACATACCGAAACTTTGTATGACACATTTATAATCTCATTTATATATTATTAAAATTTCATTATTAATCACACTCATCATTTATTTGGAAATCGATATATGATTTAATAGCCTGCGAAACAACAAAATGAATTTGCAGAAAAATATTTCAAATCTTTATGTTGGGAGAGTGTAAAATATAGAATGAGTGTATAAGGTGTTTTCCCTATTTTATAAAAACAAAAATAAAATCAATGCATATTTTTTAAAATTTTGTAAGATATGTACTATCCCAGTAAAAACTTTCATTACAAAATAAGGGTTAAAATGCTAAAAAAAAAATAAATAATGAAAATAAAAAATCATCCGTTTAAAAAAAATCATCCAACGAACATCTCATGCTAAAGCTTTATAAACAATGTCTAAGTCAACTCAAATTGTCCATTTACAAAAACAAAATCTGGCGTTAAAGCGTGATTTGAATTAAATCATAACGAAACGCTACGAACATTAAACGTCAGAGTAAATAAAAAATTGTAGGTAATAAAACTACGAAATACAAATAAAGAACTGTTAAACTACAATAAAATAATAACAAAAAAAAAAAAACGAAAAAAAAATTAATGCAAATTGTAAGAATTTTAAAATTAAGACATGTAAACAACGTTAACCCATTTTTTCGCAAAATATCGATTCACCACAGAATTAAATATGTTAAAAAATAATGAGTACATTTAATTTTAATGCTAGAAATTCAAATTTATTGATGAAAATTTTTAACAAAGCTAGCAGTAAGATAAAATGTCAGTTCCATCAAAGAAAGAATTGAGACTGTATATTTTAGACAATTTTCTCATAATTGAATTTCATTCGAACCTGAATTTCATTCAAATTTAAATTGCAATTTTCAAAGTGAATTCTTTGAAATTGATGAAAATTTTAAATATATTCTCAAATTGTTCTAATTGGTAATTAACTTAAAATAAAACTAAAACAAGTAAGAGTTCTATATTCGCGTTTGCCGTATCGTATATACCCTTCAGCATAGTTTGTTTAAAAAGTTTAATTTTATAAAATTTCAATTTATTTCATTTTTCCCGACTCTACTATTACTGTAGTAATAACAAAACAATATAACGATAACTAACGCAGAACGAAACAAAATAAAAACAGCAAAATACGCAAAACAATCACCATTTCAATTCGAATCGAAATTTTGGCAACTTTGGTATTGTGCATTTTGATTCGAAGCTCCGTCATTGAAATGACAACTTACAAAAACGTATTTACGATCGTAATGCAGAATACACGCAATCGTAAAGCATTGAAATAAAATGGAATTGCTTCTTATTTTTCTTACGATTCCGTTTTTTTCTTGGAATACAATTTTTCGATCGTAGCGTAACTGAATGCGGAAACGTAATCGAAATGCAGAATAGGGGTGAATAAAAGTAACCAACACGTACTTTTTTCCAATAAGTAATGTTGTTGTTGTTTTTTTGTCACAGCATGCAAAAAATTCTGTTTTTTTTTGTGATAAAATTTTAGAAATTGTCTCGAATTTTTGCTCATATCTCCGTTATTTATGGACGGATTTTGTTGATTTTAAATAGGAAACTTCTCGAAAGCATGTCTAATTATTAAAGATATTTAAGGTCTTCAGAAAATTTATTTCAACATACACACAGACGGACATGGCTTAATCGACACCGCTTTCTATAAATATCCAGAATATTGTATATACTTTATTGTGTCTGAAAATTATATTGTGGAAATTACAAACGGAATGACAAACTTACCACCATTATCTCAATGTCTGGTTATATTTTATCGTAAGGTTAAATTGACAGTTTTCATACAAAAATTATTTTAACCGGCAGAATATCTACCGGTTAAACGATAACCGAAGTTGGTGTTAACGGGGGTTATATACATATATATCATTCTCACGAAGGTGAAGGATATCGATATATTTTTATGAATTTTCAGAAATAACTTTAATAGTTTTCAAAATGATATGATGTGAAAAAAATCGATAACTTTCGATGTGATAAAATTCGTACATTTGTCTACAAAAGGGATTTCAAAAAGAAGAAAGGTCGATCTTTATCGATGTTGCGATTAGGGATATAAGAAAGGAGTTTGAAAGGAGGGTGTCTGGTACATCAGGTCCCAAAAATTATAGCTGGGCCTTTACAGTCTCTAAAAACTAACATAATACTGCTAAGTTGTATCGAACATAGATTTGTTTATAATGCTCTCTTAGCCCTATATGGCTAAGAGAGCATTACAAACATGAGCACATTTGCCTCCCTCACTATGGAGAGGATATAATCCATCAAAATTTTATGAAAAATCCTAAGTCCCGGTTCAAATCTTGTCGCTTTTTCAGTTTACAGAAGAGAGGGGGAAAGAAGAATGGTAATTTTTCTTCTTTTTCTCCAAAAACTTAAAATTTGAGCACAAAAGTTGCTAGAGGTATTCTAAATATGGACATTTGGCTAGCTTAATCTTGGCCGTTGTTGAAAAAATTTGTATTACATAATTCATTCCTTTCATTAATAAATATTTTAAATTTAGCCCGTTAGCACGTTAAAGATTAAAAACATTAAAGACTACAACAAATTCATTTCTAGATGAACTCCCGTATAAAAAGGTTAAAATGAATACAAGAATACAAATGAATCATTTAATTTAAAGAATTAAGGTTCTAAAAAAACAATAATGAAAACCATTACAAAAACTTAAATTCAAGACAATATTTTTTAGCAATAAAATTATTTTTTATTCATTTATTTCTTTTCTCTCACTGTTCCCTTTTGCAAGCTCTTTCGCACTTTTAAAGTTTTGTATAAATATGAGTCTTTTAAAAGGCGTTTAAGAAGTTTTTAGCAAACCTTGAACATAGAAAGAACCTTAACACGCAAAATACAAAGAAAATATATATTAAAAAAATATAACAAACTAAGAAAGAAACATGAACTTTTTAAAGTTTTTATATATTTTCCTAATAATATGCAGCGGTTTATTTGATATTTCTACAAAAGGATTTGATACCCAATTGGCCACAGCTTTAAAAATACCCAATTTTGGTTATGGTTTTTATGGTAGCAGCAATCGTAACAATCGTGGTGATCGTAAAGTGAAAGGACGTACCTATAAACAAATTGCCCGTATTGCCAATCCACATCAATATTCCAGGCGTAATAGACCATTTCCCGGACAACCCTTTCATCCTCAAGGAAAACCATAATTTTAAGAAATATTTTTTGAATCTATGAATTTATGTGATATTATTGTATATTATGTAAAATAAATTATATTTAAGTTTCTTTAAAAAATATGTGTTTTAAATATTTGACGTGCCTCCTAGTGATTGTATTATTATTATTATGTGAAAAAAACCTAAATAATTTGTTAATTATGTATGTTTATGAGTGTTCATTTCATTATATAAATTTTGTAGTAAATTGCACATTGATTCATATTAGTCACGTTTTAATAAAAAAATGTGTTGTACCAGATACAAAAAACTTTGTATTTAAATAAGTTATCAATCATTTTTATTATCCCTTAAAATATAATTAAATAAAAACTTTTTTTCTGCTTTAAAAACCAACATTTTTGATTTCAAAAATAATAAATAATGATTAATCAGAACTCATCTTTACATCATGTATTTTTGTTTATTTTTGGGAACAATTATATTTAAATATAAATATTTTAACTAAAAGTCGATAAAAATGTTACAGAAAGTCCTAAATGGAATTGTTTTGGAGAATAAAATAAAATGATTTTGAAATGGAAAAGTACGATTTCTAAATATGTTACACGAATAAAGTGACCCTAGTTTTAAAATCGATGTCTTCCAATTAAAAAAAAAAATGGAAACAAAAATGGACAATTTTTGCTAGTAGGTGAGGTATGAGATATGACCAAAATGTCCAACTTTGACCCCCTCTAACACCGGCAGTTCTTGACCGATAGTACTAACAAATATCATAAAAATCATTTTTTAAGTTGGGTCACTTGGCACGCATTGTAATTAGACCTTTATAATTTCTTCTTTAAATTGGTTATTATTATCAAACAAAAAACGCTGAGAAAAGTACTAGTTCTAAAACTGTCATAAATAAGGTTCTTAGGTACTTAGATCTAATTCTGTGGGTGGTAAATTCAAACAAAAATCATTTATAAAAAACTGGTTTCAGAGTCGTTCCATAGAATGAACGTAGACTCCATAACGCTTCCACACAATCAGTTCCGAACAAAAATCTTTGGTCTCAACTCTAAAGTAGAACAGGTATGTGTTCTTCTGCATTCGCGAATATATCAATACATAATTCTAAATAAATTTCAAGTTCATTTTTAAACAAAATCTTAATCTTCTAGTTAGTCAAAGTTATGTGGTAGTTCTCTAGGCGCAAACAGACAAGTAGAGTCGTTTGACACAAAAAAAATATATTTTTCTAAATTCTGTGCTAATTCCGATCTGGCCTCAGATTTCTCAATCACACCACTTTTTCGAGATATCGAGTGATAAAGTTTGAAAAACCCTCGTTTTCGGCCATATTTGAGACGTTTTAATACCGTGAAGAAATCTTTATTTATAAAACCTGTTATGGCATCTGAAAGCCTAATCGAAAAAGCAAAAATCTATGAAAAAGGATAAGCATTTATATTAAAGTCTTTTTGACGACATTACAAAGATGCTTTCAGTTACAACGTCACACTTTTTCGAAAACCTTATGTGTTGGAGAATTTCTGATTCGAGTTTAGTGCAATGCAATCCTTTAGAAAGGTATACTTTAGTTTTTGGGTTTCAATCAAATGTAAACCGATTTTCAATACCAAACAAACTGCATCAATATAGAACATCAATAGCTCCTCACATGAGTAGATCTTCTTAGAATGTAATAGGAACTTTTGTGGATCTAAGAAAATATACCTCCCTCTTTCATTATAAATTTTTCTACGCCATGAGTATTCACTATGTTATCTGAAATTCCCTAGTTTTCTCATTTTTTGATCGGGGTCGGGAAAAGTTTCGAAACCATTTGTCACTTTTATATCATTTTGAAAAGATAAGTTTTCTATAGATAATGATTCCGTTGTAACTAAAAACGAAATTTTAAATTTTAAACCAATCCAGGCACAACTCCTTCAACTTGGACTTTTAATTCATCTGATCACTAAAGTTGTTTCGAAATATATTAATAAAAATATTTACCCCCTCATTCATAAATGATTTATTGTAGGAATTTTGTATGGAAATTGTGCTTAATAAATCAAAAATAAACAATTAAAATCTTAAGGGGGTAAGGTAATACTGTAAATCTGAGATATAATGAATTACATTGGAGAATAAATCTCTCCAAAAATAAAATAGCTGTCGATTTTTTTTCACTATTTTCTTTAGCATTGTTTATCTATCAAAATCTTAATTGTTTAATAAGCCTTAACGGTTTTAAAGTTTAAAATCTCTTTCAAAATAAAAATTATAACAAAAATTGATACGTACCACTTACCACCATTCATACAATCATTCAGCCATTAAACTAATCATCTCTCTCATGTAAGAGCCATGACAATGGCCGTGTTGTATTCAAGAAGTTAACCATTTACAAATGCGCAGTCTTTGCGCGAAGACGTGATTTGAATTTAAAGTTAGCAAATAAATCGGATGTCTGATTTTAAACCACAAAAACAAAAAGTTGGAAAAAAGCTGTAAAAATATAATCAAATTATAAAAAAATGAGAATTAAATAAAAGAAAATAAAACAAAAACAAAATTATTGCAAATTTTAAGAACTTAAAAATTGAATCATGATGAAAACAAAACCTCATGCAAATTACAAAGTGAATCATTGAATACTAAATACAACAATAATGTTTGTATCTGTTTAGAAACCGTTACAAAAAGTGTTTCAAATTGTATTTGCAAATTGATTTTAAAGAACATTTTATATAAATTGTATTTTATTTTTTTTTGTACTCACATTATGTACATATAAATACAACTATTGCAGATAAAATAGCATCCAGTTGAGAACAGACTTTGATTAAGTCAAGAACTTTTATAGCGACAACAAAACTTAACGATTTAAAGTAGAATTATCAAAACGGAAACATGCTACTTTTAAAGATTTCTTATTTACTATGTGTCATCATATTGTGCAGTGATTTATGTGCCGGTGTATTCTTGCCTCTGCTGAAGGGATTAAAGAAAAAACTCATTTACGGCAGTTATGCTCCCAGTTATGGCTATCGAACTCCCCACATAGCTGGTTATGGTTATGGTGGCGGCTATTATGGTGGTTATGGCCAATCTTCTTATGGAAATTATTATTCTGGTGCCAAACCTTATTATCCTCGTCGTCATCGTGGTGGTCGTAAACGTACTGGACGTACTTATAGTGATATTGCACGTGTTATTAATCCAAATCCTTATGCTTTTGTTGGCAGACGACCATATCCAGCTCAGCCTTTCTATCCTCAAGGATAATTACGAATGTCGGCTATTATATTTGTATATGTATGTGTATTTATGTGATAATTGTAAATTAGAATTAAAAAAAAAAATTGTATAATTTAACTGCCAAAATTGTTTTAATTGTTGCGAAATTAGTGTGAAGTGTGAAGAAAAAGTGAATTTAGATTGATTAAGTTAATCTTCGGGTGTATAAAATATGTTTAAATTATAAAAGAAGTTAAAACTATAGTATAAAACTGGACACATGAGCAGCGCTGAGTCCGAATCCGTTCTTGTCTGAAAGTTCTATTAGCTTTAAATGAAAGGTTCTTGTTATATTGCCCCTTGAGATATTTTAACCTAAATGAACGCAAAAAAAAGTTCAAAACATTTTGCAGGTTATATCTAAGCAAATTAAAGATACATATGGGCAATTGTGAGTCAAGTGACCCAATTTTTAAAATCGTTGTCTTCCGATTTGGAAAAATAGGGGAAAATTAAGTGCCAAACGTTGAAAAAATCTTATTCTGAAGTTAAAAATTATAATTTTTTTATAGATATCCCACTCGCATCCCATTATGGGAATATAAAGGCCTTCAAGGAAGTTTAAAAAAAATAAAATTATTTAAAAAAAATATTTTTTTTTTGAAAACAGTGAAGAAATAGCTATCTGAACTCCTTTCGACAATTTTTGCTAGGACCAATAGGTGAAAAGTTACACTCATTTGAATAAAACCCTGTATGACCAAAATGTCCAATTTTGACCCTCACTAACTCCGGCAGTTCTTGACCGATAGAGCTGAAAATTTGTGGAAGGAACATATGTATGTAAGTCGAAGTGTTTTACGTGAACACCTTCCCTGTTGGTATTATTCCTACTTTTACAAGCACAGGGTAAGCAACCACAGGCCAACCAACTCACCACAATCGGTCAATATACAAGAACTTTGTTCAAGTTCTCGAGCTATCTACCATTGGTACCCCGTTGCGTAACTTTCGAGAAGCAAAAACAAAACTTCCGGATGGGATAGCATCTGTTGATTCGAAAACAGCAACTAGATCTAATCGGTACACCGAAATTCAAATCCATCAAATAAGTCTATGACTCATATTCAATGGTATCACTTGTATCACTTTTCAATCATCACCTTTCAACCAAGCAACATCAGACACATTCTCATAGTCACTCCTGTGCGGGTTAACTGTTGTCTCGGACAACTTTATAGATTTTACCGTGTATCAATCATTCTTCCCGCTAGTTAGTGTTTAAACCACAGCCACCACGTGCACCCCGAAGGAACCTCTTCGACAATAGGTCAAATTTGACTCCACAGTTTATAGCCCCGGCAGTCAAGAAGTATTAGTAAGACTGCTATTCCCCCGGATTGCAATAACACTAAGATGGGGAAGATCATCAAGGAACAATATACAACTTTATTTTGAAGCCATTAGATAGGACTTTCAGATGACTTAACAAATATTAAAGTTCGAGACTTTATAATAATATGTCGCGTTATTATAAAGTCTCGGATATGGTGTAAATGTAACGTTTTCCAATCTTTCCAATAATCGGATGAATTTCTTTAACAAGGTTTTTTAGATATTTTTAAATGATTATAATTATAATTATAACTTTATATCTAGTCGAACAATTTTTATGATTTTTTCTCCATATAATAACTACATGATCTACAAATAAATCGGGGATATACTTTTTGAAATACATATTAAAAATATAAATTTTATAATCAAATTCCTTAAATATTCAGAAATCATTTTACGACTTGAAATAATATTGGCAATAAAATGGTATAGATAAAAGCACATAATTGGTAATTGCTACCATTATAGGGTGCACTTTTGAAATTCACTCAAAGTTGCAAAATTATTTTAGGAATTATGTTAACGCTTATCGGATTATAAACAAATACATTTTTAGTAGATGTCTCAAAAAAATCCACTTTTTTAAATTTTTTAACATCTAATGTGGCACACGTATTTCAAACATTTATTAAATTGGTATTTAAAATTGGTATTTAAAATTTTATTTCAACTATTGTCTGTTTGAAAATACTACTGTAATAAAGTCTTAAATTGTACATTTAACATAAATTCCTTTCTAAATTAACACAACCTAATAATAAAAAAAATCCCCCTTAAAAAAGTACCACGATTTATGAAAATGTTGTGAATAATATGCAAATTTTTTGTTTTTAATCGATATAACGGAAATTATAAATTTGTTTAATAATTAAAATAGTAAAAAATTAAATTTAAAAAAAAAGTCCAGCTGTGATTTTTTTTATGACTAGATATGATTAATCTTTTAGATATGTAATTAATTAGGGTTAGAGAAAGTGTTAAGATTCGAAATGCATTTTTCAAAATTACAATCGGATATTTTTTTAATGTTTTGCTTGAAAAATTTTTATGACATACAACGTTACTTACACCGATAGTGAAGTGGAGAAATATATTCAAATTACAATTTGGAAAATGTTTATTTTCGAATCGAATTATTTTTATATTCAATTTTTACAATTGTTCGAATAATCTTCTAATCTCAATAGAAACATCTATAAAACGCCATTCTGCAAAATTATAATTTCAAATTAATTTTTAAAATATTACAAAAACTATAAAACAATTGCATTTCTGACATATTTATGATGAATGCATTTAATTATTATACTAATGTTATAGATAGATTAAAGATATAAATATAGCAAACACAAGCAGCTTAAGTATGTATTTATAATAAGGACGTGTTTCGAATAACAAAACGTGTTAAAAAAACACAAAAAGAAAACAAATTTAAAACAATTTATAAATAACTTAATACTTTTAAGAATAAGTTAAAAGATTGATCATCATTGTTTGATATCTGATTCTTTAACTAGAATATAAAATGTGGAACGAATTTCTTGGTAGTGAAATTTAAGATCATCTATTCCAGAAATTTTAACACATTTTACTTGAAATAGTTAATTTGAAATAAGGGCAATTGAAATTTCAATTATTGTGATTATTTTTCGATACAAATGTTGTGCTAAACACGCCCTCATTAAACTTATTTTGTAAGGAGAGTTGTTGTCTTTTGAAAAAGGTGTGTTTAGCTGTGTTTTATAAACATTTTCAAGAGACATGTCATGCATTTAAATTAATTTTTTATTGTTTTATTTTGATACATTTTTCGTTTTGTGCAAAGTTTATTCAACTTTTAATATATGTAGGAATTTGTTTGTTTTATTTACAAAAATAATATAAAAACTAGACCAAGTTTTTAAGGTCATGGTGCTTAAGCAGATGCACTATTCTATGAAAGACTTTTAAATTATAAGCACAATTGAAAAATATTAGTTGTATTTGTTGTTTTTCTTAGAAAACAATTAGAACTTCGCTCCGGGTTAACCCGTGTCATACTCAGCGGGAGCTGTACTAATGTAAAGAAATTTTCTTGTAAGATGATTTGCAAAATCAGGGGATTACTCCGTATTTCTTTGGGCCATAAAATCTATAAAATTCGCAAATTCGAACTTAATATCAAACATTTTTAAAAGCCATTAAAACCTGTTCTTCGTCTGAAAATTTGCAGTCTTTGTCCACTGGATGACAATGCAATATGTATGCACTTAAATTAAATGCAATATGTATTAGCAATTAAGTTCGAAAATTCGAAGTAATATTCGAAAAATTTTTAAGATGTTAAAATTATCTCAAAATCTTGGGTGGCGATCATTAAAAATAAAATTTTAGTTTTTTTCGAGACCAATTTCTTCATTTTTCAATTCAGAACTAATGTTCAACAAAAATTCGTTCGCCCTTATTCTGAATTTCTATTTGAATCGAATTCTTTCGCTAGTAATAAGCTTGACACAAATTTTAAATAATACCTTATTGAGAACAAACACTAATAACTTAAAGTAAATAAGATGAAATGAAACTTACCTCTCTCCCATAAAAATGCTTATGAACAATGAAATTCTGTAATAAAAAAATACAAAAATAAGTATTAATATTTCAAAAATATTATAATATAATTTTTTAATTCTTTAAGAACAAATAAGCATATTAAAAAAGATGGATTAAAGTAACAAATTGTTTACTTACTTTTTTCGATTATAATAATGCAAATATGTATTGTGTAATTATGTTTACAAAAAAAATGTATATAAAAAATAACCAGACTCTCGAAAAAATATGTATGATGAATATTATTAAAAAAAGTAAATAATTAACACAAAGCACTTTTATGTACTAGGGATTTTAAAGTCCATTTCCCAAACTTCTGGTACCGTAGTTAAAAAAACATTATTATAAAATAATGATATAATACGACAAACCAAATGAGAGACATCACTTAGTTGAGGCATAGGATTTTCATTTAAAATGCCTATAGATTGAACAATTAAAGGCTTAACATCGATGAATTTCTTATTAGCCAATAGCATTGATAATTCTCGCATAGAAGAGGAATGATCCTCGCTGGGTACAACTCTATCACCGTTATGGCTGGAAGTATAAGTAAAATTAAAATTTATAAAATAAATACTATATGATTTGCATTAAAAGACATTTACCTTTTATAGGGGAACAAAGAAAGTATCACAATGGCTAGACAACGTGTAAGAACTTTACGTCTATATTAAAATGTAAAATCATTGTATTTATAATCGTTTGTATAAAAATGTTATAATATACTTACTTATTAGTCACCACATCCTTTTTAAAACCTATAGCTCCTAATATACCATCACCCCAACTTTCAGCTTGTGTTGATATTATTTGTAGGTGTCGAGCCAACATTATTAACGGTTTTCTAGCATTATGAGGTTCTTGTAAGATAATTCTACAGCCCCATGATATCATAGCACCCCAAACTACGGCCAAAACTGGTTCACTAGAAGGTTCAGTCTTTAAACTTTCCACCAATTGACTAAGATCTTGTAGGAATGTTATTCGATCGCCAACTGTTGGCATTTTTTCCATTTTATATAGAATGAAAACATGTAAAGTAAACATGGAAGAATTTCTCATTATGGGCATTAGTTCCAGTTTCTCCAAGGACATTTGCAATAACTGCAACAGATTTACCCAAGAGGGTGTATGCCAATCTAAACTCTCCTGCGAAGAACGAAAATAGAAAGCTATGCTTGTTTCCAGCAAAGTATAAGTGCCGCCTATAAAAGCTTTCATGTGACCAATGGCACTTAAAATACTACACATTAATATATTGCCAGGTTTAGCATTTAACTCCTGCCATTTTACCATACATTCAATGTGTAAACTAAAATAATAGTTCAAAATAGTTTATATATGTATATAAATATTTCTTGCTAGAACTCACTTTGATGTTTCTTCACTTTGTGTTTGCATGGGTAATATAATTTCCAGCATTACATTTAAGGCCTCGCGTCTTTGCTCCTCATGGGATTTGGTAGCAGCCAGCGCATACAAAGACTGATCTAATGTATTTAATAATTCCTCAAAAGCATTTTTGAATACCCGATATCCTTCTTTAGTAGCCAAGAGTTTGGGATTTTTAGTAGCGCAAGCCCTTTGCAAACGTATCATAGATCTTGTATACAAAATGCGTTTGGCCGTAGCATTAGATATATTTTTAGTTTGATCACCACGTTCTGGCATCATAGCACAAGCCAAACGTATTAAACTATATCATAAATTAAATTAATTTCTTGATAATAAACAAAGTTGGTAATACTTACTCTAAAACTGCTCTATCGACATAATTGGTTTCAGTTGGTATCTTAAGTATAATTGCAGGTTCCACTGTGGTCACAAACCATTTCAATAGGTTCTCCAATTCTGTATATTCCACCATATACCAAGGATAATTAATAGCATCTTCGAGTATTTTACTTGTATTCACTTGTATGTGTATATTGGGTTCAAAGGCAATTTTAATGAAAATTGTAAATAAACGAGAGACTACTGTTGTACGTTGTTGTATGGATATTGTAGGCAGTGTTTCGGAAAACCATTCATTCCAATTAATGCGTATAAAAATGTGTCCCAACATGGCATGGGATTCAGGAATGAACTAGAAGAATATTTTAAAAATAACTGCTTTAACCAAATTCTTATTTATATAAATATAATATTCTATAATATACATATATGTATATTTTTTATTGAGCACAATAAGAGATTGGCAATTTTGGCTGAAAATTAAATGTTAAAAATAATGTAGCAGTACATATAGATCATCTTACCTTTTGTAAACTGTCGTATAACATATCGATATATTCCACTTGGGGTTTAAATAGTTCCCAAGGCAATTCAGCAATACCCTCATGTATGGGTCCATAGACAAAATACTCTATATTGGGAACTGTAAAATGATGTATGTACCAACTAAAGGTATGGGCCAGAATTTTATGGGAAACTGAAAAAATGTATATATATAATTAATAGACATGATTAAGAACTAGTAAACAAAATACATACTGGGTAAATTTTCCAAAATAAATATTAAAGTTCTAATGAAATTTTTAATAATTATTCTACTAGACCCAGCATGTTGTTCACTCCAAGGATATAACATTTTGCCTTCAACACTATTAAACAGCTGACGTATCCAATTGGCCGAAGATTGTTGTATAGTTTGTTCGGTATAAGTAATAAGCCAAGGTGAATACATTTCAATTATGGAACCAAATACTAAATCACAAACTAAAATTATAAGTTGTAGATGAAATTTTAAAAAAGTATTTTTAATGACATCTACAAAAATACTTACTTTGATCGGCCAACAATTCTTGATAGGTACAAATGGCGGTCACTAACAGACAGTGACCAAAGCAAGAAAACCACATAGCCAAAGGTTTGCAATAGTCTTTGTGTTTAGGATATAAACCATGTAGACCATGACTTAAACGCTCTTTTTGAAAGTGACGAGCAAATAACATGACAGTATCTGTAGAGGCTTTTAGATTAAAAAGATTTTGTCTTCTAGCGAAATCCATTGAAATTTCTTCTAATTTCTCTTGGCTGGTTTTCAAATTGATTTGTTCACAATTGAATTTAATGAGCAATGCATTAAGTAGATCTAATAGTACTATCGGCATTAGTTTCTGATCCGATATACGATCAAGAACCATTTGCATAACTTCACCATAATGTTCGGGGAAATCATAATCGAATATATGAACCAAATGACGACGAAATTGATCTTGCAAAAGAGACGAAGAGGGCTGAGACCAAGACTCTAGACCTTGCAAAACCAATTGTAATAGATTATTTATATCGAATAATTTGGGATGATAGGATTCCAGCCATAAAATTAAATCAAACTGTGAAATACGAAATTATTTAAATTATATAAAAAAGGTAATAAATAAAAAATACATACCTTGGAAAATAAAACAAATAGAATATTGGTAGCACAGAGCTTCAAATGGGAATCGATAAGATATTTATACATTTTTAGGAAATGTGGAGGACGCGTTTGACTGGGCACAAATACACCAGACAGTGGTTTAATCAAATTCGGTCTTTTTAAAGCCAACTCTAATATTTTTAAACCTTCACTTTCTTGGTTTTGTTGTATAAACACCTAAAGATTTGTAATATTTATAGCAATTTATAGACTTTTATTAGTTAGATATTTCTAAACTTACCCCCAAATCATTCAACAATTCTGTGTAAAATTTGTTCGTAGCATTAAATTTCATTGTTATATCCGACATATTTTCAATGACATGATAGAAATACTCTATGCCTGTATTCGACTTTAATTGATTCATAACATCATTTGGATCATTATTAGTTTTAATCAATAACAAACGTACAATTTGACCAATTTGTCCTACACATTTGGCAAATTCTTCTACATTTTCATTTAACATTTCATCAACGATTTTGTCATGTCGTTCTCTATATGTGGAGATTTTCTCCTGTACTTGTTCATCTTTACGTATCATTTCTAAAGTTGTTATTATTCTAGCTGGATTGGAACACTGACGATTGAACAGTAGGGAGTTGCAACTTTTTATTTTAATTTCTTCATAAGGCACCATTTTATATAGATGTATAATATTGTCCATATAGTTACGATTAATAGCGTTCAGCTCAGATGTTTTAAAGTGAAATTTACTGTAAGTATAAGTTTGGAAATTCAGATTGCAATAGAAAATAAAAAAAAACTTAATTTTCCAAAAAAAATCAAATTGACGGAAATACGAACATATGTATAATGGGAAAATGTTTAATGCTATTCAAATATCTTAAGCGGTTTCATACAAAAGTAGATTTTGTTATCGGGCCTGTTGTGTTCCTTTTATCAGCGTCTCTGGTGGGTATCGAACCCACTACCTTCGGTCTCACAGACTAGAACACTAATCTACTGGAAGGACACCGATCCGATCTTTCCTATAAAATCCGAATTTTCATAAGAAAATGCAATTCATTTTTTTCAAAATATTGGTCTTTTCACTTAAAATTTGATTTTCTATTTGGAACGCATGGAAGTTATCTGTTTATAATTTTATCCTGATCCCAAGATTTGTAATCGATTTATACGTAAAAAAGTGGTATTCGGAATTTCAATTTGATAACTTTCTAAAAGATTTTGTTACGGCAATGAATGTCGGTTTTGGCAGAAGGATATAATGATAAGGTAAAACTTCTGGCTGGTGAATCCAGGGTGATTATTATCAATTCAAGAGCGATGTTCATGTACCTGCGAGTTGTGAGAAACTACAGCGCCTGTTCTCCTAGTTGGTGCATCGATTAATAGAATCTATCAGGTCCTATGCTCGTTGTAGGAACGATGGGTAATTATATAATGTATGCCGATTATTGCTTCACACAATATGGTATTTTTCGACATTCAACATTAAAGAATAAAAGAATCTCTACTTACGTTGCTGTACCGGTTAAAACTCTTAGCTTTTCTTTCAATTCCTTCAGGGAATGTTGGGTTATTTCCTGTTGCACAAACAAACTAGGCTTAACATATTGTGGAGGCGGTAAACGAGAATCGTAAGAACTTAAATGTGACTTAATACGTTGTATAGGAGTAACTTTTGCTTTTGGTTGCAAAGGAGAACGCACATTTGTATTGGATTTTAAACGATAACATTTGCGAGCCCATTGATCGGATTGATGGCGTTGTTCTTTGCGTATGGAGGGTAGATACAAGAACTCTGTCCAGTGATTCTAAAAAAAACAAACATGTCTTAGGTGTCAATATGCTAATATGTTTTATCGAAACTTACTGTATTGCCATTAAGAATTTCCTTAAGTTTTTCATTATTATATTGTGGTGGATAATTAGTTTGTTCTTTAGACATTTTATTCATGCCGGTATCTTCTAGCCATAAGGCATATGTTTTCATTATTCTAGAATAAAAAACGTTAAGATTATATACTATTTACATTAAAAACGAATTTAACTAAAAAAACATACTTAGCACAATTTCTATGACAATAACTGAGACCATCATCCTGAGCATGCTTTTTAGCTTCATTTTCATACAGAACTTCAGCTGCCTTAAGTTGTGTTTTAATTTTTTTCATTACTGTTACATTAAAATCATAGAATTTGTCTGAAACACCAAATACTTGTTGGAAACTGTGTTCATCATAGTGTAAAGGTATACGCGATAAATACAATTCGAAAAACTTTTGATTGATTATGGGAAAGAGAGCATGATTTATATCCATATTCGCTATTAGATTAGCATATTTGTAAATTACCAACATTTGTGCTGGGTATATTGGTTTTTTCGCTAAATTTAAAGTTTTCTAAAAATATTGTCATTTTTTAATGATCAAAACTATTTTTATTTCATAAAAAATACCTTTAGAACAGCATCCACATTTGGTTTTGTGCCCGCCGCATTTAGTTGTCGTAATAATTCCGTCCATATATAAGAATCTTGTGTCTTGTATTCAATTTCCAGCAAAACCAAGGCCAACCAAGGATGGTAGGGGGATATAGCAGGCACCTTTGATTGATTACCGCCAAAGAAACCTTTAAGTGTAGACATTTTATTGACGCCCTTCCAATCGGTGCAATCTCTATAGTAGTTATGGAAAAATTCTATACATTGCATATGAGCATCGGAAAATTGATAGGCAACTCTAAGGATTTTATCCAACAGATAGACAACATAAGTATTTTGCCAATTGGGCAAAGCTGTTAGGCAATGTAGCCAAATGTTGATAAGATTTAAAGGTGATGAAAGGCCATAACTGAAAGTAAAAGAAAGAATGTATTACAAACTTTAAAATTGCTCTTTTTCAAAAGAAATGAGTTAATAACTTACTCAGTATACGATGTAATTTGATGATGTATCATATTATCCAATAGCTCTAAAACTGGTCCAATTGTATTGGGATAAACCATATCTTTAGCCATTTTTAAGTAGGTTTTATCAGCGTTTAATAAAGTGTTTAAGATAGCATGGAAACTAAAAATGAAAAATAAATAGACACAAGCTATAACTCTTACAAATAAAACTCGGCTTACCCCTCAGAATTCCCCAAGGTTTCTGGTGTTTCTAAGAATAGAGGCACAATCAGCTCTAAACATCTGATAACCGCAGCATGTCTATGGTCACTTAACAAACGTTGCATTAATTCAAAACCCTTCTGACATATCAAAGGTATCGAATGACCATGTGATGACACTAATATTGCAACATACAAAGCTAAAGGTCGGTTTTCAGTAACTCCCTGATATATCAAGTCTATACGTTCCAATTCTGAAACAAACATTAGAGCTTCTGCGGGATTACGTAAAGTAAGCTTAACCTGTTCAACACTTTGATCCATTATATGTAAACGTAATATGGACACAATACTCCAACACCAAGTACAAAATTGTTCCTTTGTTGATTGACTAAAATCTATAAGACTTGAAACCTGACGCACACTTTCCGAAATACCCGATAGTCCCAAGACCTCAGGAGCGTGTTTGGTCAAAGCTTCAGAGATGAGACAGGCCATGCGCACGTGTATGTTGTGTGGTAAAAACAAACGACCATCACAATCAAATGACCAATTTAAATGACTTATAATAAGGCGTGCCAACATATTCTGTGAAGTTCTAAAATCAAAATGCAACAGCCAAGTGGAGAGTATTTCAAAACTATCCATATTGGGTTTCCAATTTTCGAGTGGTAGCGATTTGAATAAATATTTAACATTTTCACACTCATCAAAGCGTGTCTTTAATTGAGTCAACAAACAGGACATTAAATCTTCATAAGCTAAAGTTAAATTGACCAACATATCTCGGGCAGTCTTGTAGCATATATCACGGGTATCATTATTAATGAAACCAATCTAAAGTAAGAAAAGTAATGTATTAATAGTGTTACAAAATATGTGGGCTTTAATACTTACATTGAATATATGTAAACATATAGTTTTAATTAAATCCCAATCTTTATTTTTATCTCTATCGTTGGCCATTTCAAAGAAAGCTTGAAGTAGATAATACAAATCCTCGTCAGATGAGTCAGCATTGGCTATATTAAATTTAGCCCAAAAATCGGAGGCATTTAAAAGATCCATGTAGTCTGAAATGTTTTTTTAAAGAAATAAACATTATTGAGCGCTTCCATCAATTTTCTTTTTAGAGAAAATATTCAATAAATTTCCTTTTAATAGAAAAATATCTTTTTTTTGAACAAAATAGAAAGAGTATTTCTTACCTTCTTCTGGTATTGTTAGATTTGTTGGAAATCCCACATTTAAATAATAAAATATTTGCCAAATTGTATCCGCATCCATAGATGAAAAGGGCAAAGAGGAGAAATACTGCCAAGTGGCCAAGTTGCGCGTACGATAAATATAGCTGCAAGCTTTCAAAAGCAAACTATTGTTTTCCAAAGCAATACGTTCACTAACTATCAAATCTTTTGATATATTATTTTGCCTACAAAAATCACAATCTCTAAAATGAAATTTTTTTTAAGAAAATTCAATAACATACCGAAACAGTTCATGATAATCGGAAACATATTGTAGAGAATGTCTCATTAAGCGACCTAAACGTTTAGCTAACTGTTTGTAACGTTCATTGTTATAGGTCAACATGCCTTCACCAAAAAGTGTCAATAGTTGGGAAAAGAAGGCCAACACTTGTAGCATTTTTTCAGCAGTAATAAAATCAGTTTCCACAATATAATCATCTAGGAATTTTTCTATAGTTAAAGCAGATCTGTAAAATAATCAGAATTTACAATAAACTTTTTTAAAACATTTGAAAATATAAAGTTAAAATCACCTAAATAATTCCTCAAAAGGAACTTGATTAAGTAATGCAATTAAATCACTTTCTTTTAAACCCACGCAGTCACCGGCAGGTGTATGACTATCCTCCCCATCTGAATCCACCAAAATCCAACGTTCCTCCGTTACCGGATCCGTTATTTCCTTTTGAGACTTTTTTAAAATTATTTCAAATTTTGAAACATTTTTATCGCTCGCAAACTGTACTTACTTGTGTAAACTGTTTCAAATATTCATTACGTTTCTTTATGGGCATTAATAGCACCTGTAACACGGACATACAATGATTTATTTCTGGTGAATTTAATTGCAGTGGTAGTTCATTGGTATGTTTGCCTGAGTTAATAGGTATTTGTTGATTACAGGGAATTTGTATAAATTCACTGGCCCAAGCACCCACACCACTGGGACAACGTAAGATGTTGAATAATAAAAACCAATGATCTTCTTTGGTGGCCAAACGTAAATGTAATGATATTAGTTTTTTAAACCAGCATTTCAAATCTTTAGCGAAATCCTGAAATATTTTAGTTAGTAGGTTTTTTCCAATTGGAATGACTCCAATTATTTTTAATCAAATACCTTATTGGGTGATAATTTTCTTGCGAAATGGAAGAGTATACTTAATGCTCTGCGTATTTGTGCAATAATTGCCAATAGATTACTATCTAGTTGGGTTTGTAATTTAAGAGGTTCTTCAAAATCTTTTAAAGGGCAATAGATTAATTCATCTATCATTTGATCGATCTTAAAATATAAATAAAATTGTTTAAATCAAAGAATAAAACTTTTGGCCTTTTTAATCAACAGTAAACATATTAAAGCTTACCTTAATTTTAATGATTTTTGTTGTTATTAAGTTACTGGTATAGGTATTTGATATAATATCAAATAAAACAGTTAAAGCAGAAGTGGCAGCTTCCAAATTTTTACCATCAACTTGTATAATACTTTTGTTTAAGGAAAATATAAAAGTAACTAAATTCAACGATCTCATTTAGTAAATAACTACAACTTACTTGTATGTAACAGACTCCTTAACCTCTATTTTATCACCACATTTTTCTGAAAATGTCTTAGTAATGGGTACCTCCACCCATATATGCTCTTGTGCAGCACCGGCTTCTTTGCGAAATTTCTTGACATCATGTAAATTCATTGTTATTTTACTTTGCATGTGATAGTACTCCTGCAGAGCTGCATGCAAGGGCTCATTTTCATAGGTCTCCAATAGGGAATTCATAAGAAATTCCATTTCGAATTGTTGCGCTACGGTGAGGTCAGGACAATAATAATATTGATAAAGTTGCTCCTGTGTAAGGGGCTGAAGTTTTGAGGCCGATAAACGAAAAGCAGAAGTACGTAATTTGGTTGGACTGTAGACAACCGGGGCCGGGTCAGTTTCATCATATTGAAATCGTTGAATTTGAGGATATTGGACCAACGTGGGAGAACTTAAAGTTGATGTTGCTGGTCTATCTACCAAGCAAGGTGGGGCTGTGGGTGTGGTAACTTCTTGTTGAGCTTGTTCATTAGTCTCTTTTGTTTCCTTATCACCCGGTGCAGATTCGTCATCTTTATAGCCGGAGGCTATAAAACATTCTTGAGTCACTATATTATCTCTAGTGGCCGACGTCGATGCCACCAAATCATTTATATTATCTATACTAGAGTTTGTTGGCTTTGTGACCTCACTGCAAGCATCTGCAGAAGTAGTTGGTATTTCTTTGTTAACGTCGCAATTTCCTGTTTCATTATCAGAGTCTTCTTCAATATTCACATTAGACACAGTTGTTTTAATTTTAGATTTTTTAGATTTCTGTAAGTAAAATTTATATAAAATATAGATATATTTTTTAAATTTTCCGGTTAAAATAATTTTATAGGTGGACCTTACATTCTTTTTCGGTTTCTCCAAAGTCGCCATATTGTTGATTTAAATTTTTTTTGCTGTTCTTTTTTTTTTTTACTTAAATTACTCAAATATACGTATGTACGTGCAAATAAAGTTTTATTTTTATTTTCTTTAGTCGTTTGTATATCTACATTATGAAATTTATATTTTTTATGTGCAAAAATCCCCGTCTTTTGTTTTATTTGCAAAATAATAACAAAAAATAACAAAAAACTCCAGATTTGCACAAAAGAAACGAACAGCAGCTGATTGACAGAGTTGTCGGGGTTTGTTTCTCAACATTCCTAAACTGAACGGCAGAAGTAGTTAAAAATATACAGTGATTTGTTTGTATTTAACTAAAAAAACTACACAAATATTTCTTTTCGAAGTATTACAGTCAAACTTTATCAATATGTATATTATATCTTCAGGTAAATATTTGAAATTTGTAAAAAATTAAAGATAATTGAGAAGAGTAGAATTTAAAAAAAAAACGCCACAAGTGACAACACTCTAGACTAATTGAAACTGAATATAACTATCTGGTAACTTTAGACCATTTTAACAGCTGTTCTGCGTTTCTTTTTTTTTGATAAACAAATTTTTTTCAACATTCCCAATCTTATAAACAAATATATCAAAAAATATTTAATAAATCATCATGAAAATATTTAATTTATATATCTTTGATAAATTAGGCACATTGATGTACTATGCTGAATGGAATCGTACCAAAAAGTCAGGTTTAACCCAAGAGGAGGTAGGTGTTATTATGTTTACCACCAATTAAATTTTGTTTCAACATTTGTTATATTAAAGGAAGCTAAACTTACCTATGGTATGCTGTCATCTATTAAATCGTTTGTAAGCAAAATTTCACCTCATGATCCCCGGGAAGGTTTTTTGTTTTATAAAACCAACAAATATGCTTTACATTATTTGGAGACGCCTTCAGGTTTAAAGTAAGAGTTACTTATCCATTTTATAAATCCAACAGTTAATATGTTTTGAAAATTTGTATTACAGATTTGTTTTGAATACCGATGTTAATGCTGTAAATGTTAAGGAACTATTGCAACAAATTTACAGTAAAATATGGGTGGAATATGTAGTTAGAGATCCATTGTGGAATCCTGGTACACCAGTAACATCAGAACTATTTCAAACAAAATTAGATGAGTTGATAAGGCAATCACCTATATTTGGCATAAGAAATATATAAAATTAAATAAATTTCTTCATTTAAATTGTGTTTTTTTTTTTTTTACCAAACGGACTCATACAGAGTTTTTGTCAATTCTGGCAAGTTCGTCCAAAAAATGTTAAGACATTGAAGGTAATATACATATGTCTTTCATTAGTGCAAATCAATTTGCATGTTATTTAAATTTATGCCTTTTAATTCTGCTTTAAAGTATTTCTGTACTTACATTTCCTTTCTGGCACAATAAGATTCCGTAAAATTGTTAAAGTTTTTTTGTCTGAAAATCTCCATCACTGGGCATAAAAACAAAGAAAACTACATATCTAAAAAGATTTTTTATAATTGCAAAAAATCTTTAACGCCCTTTATTTATCAAACTAAATAATTTCCCACCATATCTTTTATTTATTTCTGTTTACCTTTACAAAAAAGTGTTGGTAAACGTAAAAAACGTATAAATCCTTCAACTTGTTCAGTACCACTACATATTATAAACATAAACCAACACTAGCTTAACTGTTCAATTTGACATTTCATTTAGTTTTAGCGACAGTTTTCCTATATCGGTTGTGGTAATTTAGTGTGATAGAATATAAATAAATTATTAATAATATAAGTGTTGTTGTGTTAATATTATTGCAAAAAATCATTAAGTAAATGTTGTATTCTATACAAAAGATAAAAGTTTGTTTGAAAATCTATGTTAAAGTATTAAAAATATACATTGAAAATTGGCAATAAAAAAACAACTGTTGCCGCCATATTAGTGCTCCACTAAATTTGTTTTTGTTTTGTGTTGTTAGTTGAGAGCAAAATGCATAAAAAAACCAAGTGTGTTTGTGTGTGTTTATTTTTAATAAAATAAGAAATCGTTGTGTTCGACAGATTTAATTGAAATTTCAAATACATAAATCGAGAAATAATGAAAAAATACATACATAAGAATGGAGTGGAATGGAATATCTTTCAGTTTACATAAAAGGTAAGTTTAATAAAACCTATTTTACACTAAAAATTATATTTTGATACATTTGTCATTAATATGTAATATAAATAATTCTATTGGTTTTTACGAATTTTTATAAACTAAAAAGTTTTGACTAAACTCATTAAAAAATGCACAATTAATAAAAAATCGATTACAAATTCTAAGTAAATTTGAGCTTAGGAAATGAATCCAATTTCATGCACACAAAATATATTATTAAATTTGGTTTCTTTTCATAGTTTACCCAAATTCGAATAATTATGAGAGACACTGTATGTATGTATGTATGTATATTAATGTTAAATTAATGCATTGATCATTTAATTTTAATGCAAATTTCAAAAATGTTTCATGTTAATGAAAATTAATGCATAAAATTAAAAAATATTTAATGTTACTGCAAAGTAATGCATTAAATGGAACTAATTAAATTATTTTTAATTTAATGTTAATGCAAAATTAACGCAAATCGGCCAGGTCTGATATTTACATATATTTCCCCCAAGACTTTACCTACATATCTATGAGGATCGGTCCTAGAGTTTTATACTACTATATTTATTATTTTACTTTTGTTGAGGAGTTTTACTTTATCCACCATATAGTTTAGATCTTTCCCCGACCTACTACTATTTGTTTTGATCCAATTAGATTGCTCTGCTGGAATAAGTTTTACGTTGGTTGGTTTGATTAGTTCCGAGTCTAAAGTTGAAGGTCCACACTACGCGTTTTCACGACAAAGCATTGCGACCACCATCTTAAAATATATCAGTTGTTTTGGCGCGTATGATATATGTATGTATATCATACGATAGTCAAAGATTTTAAGTGTTCTAAACATTTTCCGCATTTTAATAAATTTTATTAATAATGCTTTATTTTAAAAAATCACTCTCTAAAATTCTGTAGAGTTCGATCTCTAATAGCCTCAAAGTTCTAAAAATGGCTCAAAATCACTCAAGATCTCGTAAATCTTTCAAATCCTACCTTAAAATAAATTAATTAATATTAACTTTCGCATTTATGAATTGGAAAGAAAAAATTATGGCCGAGCTTTTAGGAATCTTATGATCATAACTTACAACATCAATTCACTTACTTCAATTTAGTCTTTACTGCATCCAATAATAACAATTTCTTCGTTATCTTATTGTAATAGGACTTTATTTTCTCTTTAAGTAAGATATTTTTAAAGTTATACTTATATTGTACTCTGTACTTTTGTATATAATTTAAAAAAAAATACATATTATAAAAATATATTTGTATATTTAATGGGTATTCTTAATAATTGTACAGATCACGTTTACAGTGATTAACAAAGATAAAGTAACATTTTGACGCAATTCTTTATAGGTTATAAAACATATTTAAATATTTCTTGTGTGCGTTATATGTATAGTATAATAATCTGTGAATACCCTTATTATTTGTGTTTATTTTTTCATTTGTCTTTTACTTCACATTTATATAGAATTCTTAAAAAAACGAAATACACTAGATTATACTTGTATTATGATCACAGTGTCTTTATCGTCACTCTCTTAAAAACTAATATGAAATTTTAAATAATTTATTGTGTTTTTCTATTTTGTGCTTATAAAACTTATGTACTAATGACACGTAATTGATGACATATCAGCATGTAACGACTTTTAAGCATTTGTCGGAAGATGTGTCAACTTAAACTAAGACAATATCAAAATTGTTTCTTTTTTTCAATAAATAAATCTATATTAGGCAAAATAATAATTAAACAGCTAAAACCCAGGAAAATTTTAATTAGTTCCACAACTCCTTCTAAAACGCACTTAAAGAACTGGTTCATTCTTTAAAAGGATTTTGAAACTAATGATTTAATTGACAATTGTTTGAAATCTTTACTCTCGAAACTAGTTCCACATAAAAGTTGGGGAACACTTTTTTGGTATCAGTTATAAAAGTAGTTAATTTTTCAGAAATTTTGTTTTGAAATTTTTAAAATTTGGACCAACTTTGAGAACCAGTTGGTGAATTATTATCATTTACTAGTTCAGTTGATAAATCAAGTTTATTTAATTTTTTATATTGATTTTTTTATAATCAATTTTAAAAGGAGTTGTTTCTGAAATATCATGTTTCAATTGAAATATATAGTCTAGATCTAACGTATATAGCACTAGTACCAAAATATAAACTAATAAAAAACTATTTATAAGTATTTTATTACTTCAATAGAATGGGTTCCAAAATTGCTTTTCAAGAATCTGAAATATTCGTTTTAAAATTAGTTTATTTAGAGCTAATTCTAAAATTGTTCCTGGGAATATGTTTAGTTTTCTTAACAAATAAACTAAAAAAAAATATATTCGTATTAAGTAAATCTGCTTAAGTCACTATTATTTTAAAAGTATTTCTTTTTCTATTCAAAAGAGATTCATTTAGAAAAAAATATTTCTGTGGTTAATTATTATATGGTGTTTTTGTTATTGCTGTTATTAATCATACACTTTCCTTTTCTGTAATTTGACGATATGACCCAGTGACATCGTTTGTTGTCAACGTATTATCTGAGGATGAGGATGGCGTTGAAAATATATTTTGTATTTTTGGCATTTCTATTTCGGAATTACAATTTACATTTGTTACAGTTGTATTATTAGTTGTATTTGCTGTTGTTGCAATTGGATAGGCAGTTGTTGCAGTCACATGTGTGGGTGATGATGGTGAAGATTTTGTAGCGTTAAAGGTTTTGGTGAACACAACATTCATGGGATTTTTCTCTTTGTCATTTGTGCCAGCACCAATTATAATATTGGTTTCATTTTGAGCCTCAAAAGCATGATTAATTTTGGCACCATTGCCACTACCACCACCATTGGTGCTTATGTTACCATTTGAGCCAACAGCAATCGTTTCGATCTCCTTGACATAGTAGGGTTTTTCACCCGTAAAACGTTGGTTAAATTTAAACACAAGTGGATGCAGTAATTTCGCATCGTAACAGTCCTTAGGGTCTTGTGTCAAATAACTACCTATGATACCAATAAGTACTGTCAGCGCTGTTCCTATGAGACTGTAATACATATAGCTAATGGAGTACATATACTGCAATGGTGTGCTGTGTGTGAGGTAAAAGAAAATAAAAATAGTAACAAAATCAGCATCAGTATAAAATAAGGAAACAAGAACATGAGTAATAAAAGGCAATTTATTAGAATCAACAATGTCAAATGTATGTGTACGTTGGTTGGTAGCCAAACAGATAGACAGACATACTGACAGACACAAACGCAATACTATTAGAGTGATTTTATTACCGTTCTTCAACAGCTGCTGTTGTTGATCCTGCTTCTAAACCAGCCGTATTATTTGTAGCCCACAATGACATCAACGTATCATTTAACTTGGTGTAATTGGTATTCATGCCACTGTATCCACCAATACCATTGCTATTGGCTGTATGTTGCATTAACCACGACGATGAAGTGGGTAAAAATGAGAATTCTTCTTCGCCTGGTTTATGTATTGATTGGGAAAACGTGAAATTCGAGCATCCCTAGAAATATAGAATAAATAAAATACATAACATTAAAATTGCTAGTTCCTGTTTAATAAATTTATTTAGTATTTGAATTAAGATGATGGAATTGACTAGTAACTTCAATAAGTACTAGCTGAGAAAAATTTCTCTCTATCCTTTAGGTTTGATTTCTTATTGACAAACATTTACATAATGCAGTTAGTAGTTATTCAACAATTTAACCACTCATCATAATTCCCCTATAAATACTTATCATTTAACTTATTTCATACATACCTCTGTGGATGTTGGTAGAAATTGATTACTTGCACTATTATCAACGGTAGCGGAGCCGGTAACAATCCATAATACAATGGCACATGCGGAAATCATACCAGCGGAAGTACCCTTTAAATTGACGGATATTATTTTAAAAATGAAAAAAAAAGCAAACACAAATATTTTCACTTGTTTAGCAACAATCAATCAACACGTTAATATAACTCAAAAATCTCACCTTCCAATTTGCAATTGGCACAAGCATAGCCAAAATAAAACAACCCAACAATGGACCGGATGTTGCTGAGAATGCCATCATTGATGATTCAATTACACCCGAAAAGAAACCAACACAAAATGCCACCCCCATTATAATGATGCCACATATTACAGTAACCGTTTTAATAACATTCAATTGTTGTTTATCGGGTAAATTCTTAAATTTAGGCAACAATGTCAAAAAGTCTTCAGATATTACGGTGGCCAAAGAATTTAAATTAGAGACCATCATACTAAGTGAAGAATAGTAAATTGATTAGAAATTCATTTCCTACTATTGTGTATTTATACTTACCATAAAGCGCCATTGAATAAGGTGGCCATGAAAATTCCCAAAAAGCCGGGTATTATTGCTAATTGATCCTCAACATAGAAGGGTAAAATTTCATCAGCCTTTTGAATATAGCCCTCTTTTAGGGGATCACAGTCGGCATAGGAAGAGTATATAACCAAACCGGTTATCCAGGATAGTGAGAAAAATACAAAGATAATTGGTATGTTGGACATCATGGCACTGGAAAAAATATAAAAAAAATGTTATTGGGACTATATCGTTGGTTTCGATCTTGTGTAGGGATATATCAGACGTGTAGAGATCTTCAATAAATTTTGGTTAATTTTATAATTAGTGGAATAAGAAATTTACTAAAATGCACTCTTATTCAAATGTTTATTGACCCGCAAAAGGGACCCTAATTTATAAAAGTTAGAGTCCTATATTCCGATATACCGAATCTTAAACCTATAATGTAGTTTTTAATTACCACGTCCAATATTTCCGGGAAAATTCGCAGAATGATTTGTATATATACAACAGGCATGGGGGGTAATGATTACACAAAGTAATTCATTACATGGTCAATTACAATTACTTGTAATGTGTAATTGAGCAATAACCAATTACAATTACTTGTAATAGTAATGGAAATTTTTCCAATTACAATTACTTGTGATGTGTAATTGACCAATAACCAATTACAATTACTTGTAATTGTAGTTGAAGTTTTGCCAATTACAATTACTTGTAATTGTAATTTTCCAATTAAAATAACTTGTAATTGTAATTAAGGTATTACTAATTACATGTAATTATAAGGAACAAAATTCACAATTACAAGTAATTGTAATTGGCAAAACTTCAATTACCATTACAAGTAATTATAATTGTCAAAACTTCAATTACAATTACAAATAATTGTAATTGGCAAAATTTCAATTACAATTAAAAGTAATTGTAATTAGTAAAGCTTCAATTACAATTACTTCAAATGTAATTTTAATTGAAAATGTAGTCATTACCCCCCAAGCCTGATATACAAAACGTATTCGTGTGGGATATTATTCCGATATCATTATTTGATATATAATGAGTTATTAAGTGACTTCGGAAGTGGACTGTATATAGAAAATATGACTAATTATGGGCCGATCCGCAAAAAATTTTGCTCAATTATTTGTGTATGTACACAATATATTCGTTCTGATATTGTAATTTGTTAATAATTTATTTTCCGAAAGTTTAACTGACTTTCAGAAGTGGACCTAATATGGATGGGTTCAATTATGAACCCATCGAAATTTTAGTTGGATATATAATTTTATTCTGGAGGAAGTAATTAACAATAAATCCATATTCCGGGAGTATGTAAATTTGTATCTGTCTCCGCTATCTACATATAAGGACTCGGAATATATACTTTATAGGGTTGGAAAAGTATATTGTAGTAATTATTAACGGAATGACAAACTTATATACATATGTATACTTATATACATATGTATATATGCATAAAAACTCATTATTAAATTTCTCAAATGAAATCTAAGTGATATTTAAAAAAATTGCATTCAGTGATCGAAACCGAAATTGATCCTAACACTCTTTCAATGATTATTACTACAGGTGATTAAAGGCCATTAAGAAATAGTGGTGTTATGGTGTATTCCTTTAAGTTTTATCTAATAAAATCTTTAATGATATCGATATGTATCTAGACCCTTAATAACTCTACTTACTCCATATGACAACTATGACCTATTACCTATCCCGTACTTCCAAACGTATATACGAATATATAACTGTACCAAACTATAGTAATAGTTATTTTAACTTACCGTTTAACTTCCTTTAATGATTTCAAACTAACATAACGTTGCATAAAGTTCTGTTGACATCCAAATTGTGATAACGATACGAACAATTGACCCAACCATGCAGAAGTTGTATCGACTCTTACCGTCATGTCACCGGTAAAATTAAAGAAACTCAAACGTCCTGTAAAAAATCAATAGAAAAGACAAACATTATTAATAAATACTAATATTTTATAAATCCTTGTAAGTTTTTCATATATTAATTCAAAGAATAAAAGTTATATAACAAGAAAAAATAATAAAAAAAAACAACAATAAAATAATAAGCAGAAAAAAATAAATCATAAACCGGAAGAATATAATAATCTTGGGTAACAATGTAACGGATGTAACCCATATTTAAAAAATGAAAACTCAGACACATAAAGTAAAATATTAAAAATGATGTTCTTGTTATACTACAGCTCTTCAAACAAATATATGTTAAGTAACAACACTCGTTAAAATGTCCATATTTATTTATGTCAGAGAAGGGAGTAAAAGTTTTCTTGAAAAAGTAGCAAATATACTATAAAATTATGATTAAGCCGCCAATCTACATGGAATGTATAATATATTTGAATGAATTGGGTTTTCATAACTCATACATACTTTGTGTTTGCCCTCGAACGAGAACGATGGTTCTCGTAGGTATCACCGAAAAGTGAGATTCGCTCTAAGTTCTGGTGATCTTATGAAGGGGACAATACATTCAAATAAAGCCTTTGTACTTCCCAGCAGTTCGAAAAAGAGTCAATGCATACGAAAAAGACAGTAATTTCCACTAATAGTTAACCACCTGGATGATCGTAATTCGTATGTTTTGGGTCATTCGTCACGAATGTACCCTTTGTAATCGAGAATGAAGACAGTCGTCACTCTAGTGTCCTCTTTGTAAGCGGGAGCGGAGACAGTCGTCTCTTTACACATTATTGTCCCATAGTATTCTAGAGAGTAGACACTTGAAATTTTTAGATTTTAGTTCCATTCATATCGTATGTTTTTGGTCTTTCGTCACAAATGAACTCTTTGTAAACGAAAATGAAGACAGTCGTCACTTTAGTGTCCCCTTTGTAAGCGAGAGCGGAGGCAATCGTCTCTTTACTGTATCTTTGTAGGGTGTAGAGTGACGATTGACTTCCTTGTAGGGCAAGCCCATGTTAAAATGGTTGGTCACCTGGGTAGTCAGGTGGCTAGGGGCCACCACAAGTGCTAGGTTAAGTGGTCAGTTCGGGACTGTCCCGTCGAACTGCTGGGTTAGTAGAGCCCTTAATGTAAACCATTCAGTACCTTTTTTGTACTTTTTCCATAATTGTACCAATTTGTTCATCTCTGTTTTAGTACTACCCAACAAATGACTGACCAAAGACAGAACAAAGAAGAAAACAAAACAATATTTCAAAATTATTTCATATCCATGACACTTGCTATTTTTGTGGTTGCAACTTGGATGATGATTGTTGTTTTATTTTTGCTTTTTGAATATGTCCGTATATATTGTTATTTATTTACATATATTTTTTCTTTATTATTTGATTGTTGTTGCTCTTATAACCACAAATATTCACACAAATGATGTTTAAATCATTGGCTGGCGGTTATTTGTAGAGGTATTCTTCTTTTTTTCTCCATTTAATTCAAATAAACAACCTTAAAAATTTTCATCTAATGATGTGAACACACACATTTAAACAAATACATACAATATGAATGTAGGTATTAGGAACACATCCATACATGTACATATATTTTTATACGTTTCTTATTTATTTTGGGTCTATTATTCTGTTTGCCTCATTCATTTGTCTAAGGGCGTTTAGGACATGTTAAAAAAAATTATTTTTTAACAAATATATATTTTTTTTTTAGATTAAGGGTCCTTTTTTCAAGTTTGTTATAAGCGGTTTTGAATACACATTTACTAGGAAACAGGGAGATGGAAAATGTTTTGTTAAATTTGAGCTTTTCATTTGAATCATTATAAATTTCCTAGACAAGGGATCAATGTATTTGGTAACAGTTAAATAGTCAAATTAGGACAAAAATATGACTTCTTAATAACACAATTTAAGTTTCTTTGTTTTAGAAATATATGGTTTGTTAAAAGAACAAAAAATATACATACATTTACTTTTATGGTATTATTTAGTTTTAGGGTCACCTAGCAAATTAGTGCGAATTTACTTTTCTTTTAAATTTTATTTTTTGATTTTTAAACAATCTACATAAATTTTCTACAACATGTCTAAAACTGAGATTAATATCACTCACTGGAATACTATTGCACTGTAATTGAATTGAAGCTTTATCAATTACAAATACTTGTAATCGCAGTTTTTCCGATTACAATTACTTGTAATTGTAATTGAAGTTTTACCAATTACATTTACTTGTAATTGTAATTGAAAAATTTGCAATTACTTGTAATTGTAAATTTTTACCCTCATAATTACATGTAATATGTAATTAGTAATACCTAAATTACCATTGCAAGTAATTGTTGTTAACATATTACAAGTAATTGTATGTAATTACAAAACTTCAATTACTCTTACAAATAATTGTAATTGGTTTTTGTTCAATTACACATTGCAAGTAATTGTAATTGAACATGTAATGAATTACTACCTCATAATTACATGTAATATGTAATTAGTAATACCTAAATTACAATTGCAAGTAATTGTTGTTAACACATTACAAGTAATTGTATGTAATTACAAAACTTCAATTACTCTTACAAATAATTGTAATTGGTTTTTGTTCAATTACACATTGCAAGTAATTGTAATTGAACATGTAATGAATTATTTTGTGTAACCATTTCCCCCCAAGCCAGTACAATATGAATGAATGTACTTTGACTCTAATCGAAAGCAATTATTTCCTTCAATCTTGAACTACCTGACCGCGAAATATTGAAAAATAAAAAATGTACGACAAGACAGTGCGCCGACGAATGCCTTATATGACCTACTAGTATTCGTGTGGTCTAGCCACCAAATTTAACATGCCAAAAGCTCCACCTTTGACACTAAATTCCTCAATCGTAGCTCTTAGTCACCTCTCTAATGTGGCACCTGTTGTTTTGGCAATAGCACTTAGTGACATATTGTACTAAGACAACAGCGGAACTGTCACGTAAAAGGTGTTGTAACGATTTATCTTCATGTTTTCTTCATAACAGTTACGTAAGTAGCCCTTATATCTGATATGTTTCCAATCAGTGTGTCTTATAGGCCGCTTCACATGATCACACTTTACGTACGTAAAGTTTAATGAAAATGTAAAATGAAATTCCATATGATTTATATTTTTTGTGTTTACACGATTGCTATAAAACATTAACAAAACTAGATGGAAACAGATGTTTCACTTTTTTGTATGTGTTTACATAAAAATACATCCCTGATCTAATGCGATTTGCTTGTTTTTTGAATCATTTCAAGAAATGAAGAGAGCCATACGACTGTCAAATATTCCATACGTATATTCTCTTAATGTGTGATGGTTTCATTACATATTGCGTTTAGACAATGCCATACAAAATTTTGACAAATCATATTACTTGTGTGCTCGTGTGAAGGGGGCTTATAAGAATCCACAATATTTTATGTGCCAAGAGAGTAAAGATCGTTTTCCGTGGACTACATGAGTTCCGATTTTTCTGTCGTCCACTCGTTGATTGTATTCGATACCACATCCAGGTGAGAGTGAATCCTTTTGCAAAACACATTTACCCAAGAACGACCCACATTCGTTTTCCTTGTCCTTGAGCCCAAAACAATTCGACAAAATCGTTATGTTAAGATACTGATTGAATTCTATAGCTAATACATTTCGTCCTTATTAGGTTTGAGATTGGAGCCTTAAGAAAGGCAATACTTTATACGAGATGTTAATAATCTATGCCTCGAGGCATCATGCTATCTGATGAAGACCATGCTCATCGTAGAAAACAGTTTTTAAACTGCCAGTACCCTGCTGTTCGACAAAGAGTCAATGCATCCGAAAAAGACAGTGATTGCCACTAACGTCTAACCACCTGGTTGGCTCCAATTCGTCTTTCGTCACGGATGAACTCTTTGTAATCGAGGGTGAAGATAATCGTCACTTTAGTGTCTCCTTTGTAAACGAGAGAGGGGACACTTAAAAAGCACTTGTCTGCCTCTTCGTAACCTATGGGGTGACGATTGACTACCTCGTAGGACAAGCACATGTTAAAATAGTTAGTCACCTGGACAGTTGGTGGCTAGGTGTGGTAGGTTAAATACGGAGTTCGGGACTGTCCGACCGAACTTCTGAATAATACTGTTTGTAGGCCAGTTTAGTATGGTGTCATGGCCACACAAACTGATTGGTCCTAATTTTGGTTATATCCCTAATGTGAATACATATATTTATAACATTACCAACCAACATCCACCATTATTTAACTAAATTACACATTGATGTCGATGCAAGTGCAAATGCATTAAAACAGATGTCATGACGAGCAGACAAATACAAGAGTGATGCTGAGGTTTATGATCCCTTTATACTACATACTTATATAAGAAGATTTTATAGGTTTAAAATTTTCTCTGACCTGTTAAATGAACATATTTATAAGTACACTTTTATATACTACAATCATTTTGACCGACATAATGGTAATAGTAATTTTTCTATGGAATAAGTTGGTATTAAAGTGGAGAGACAAATAATGCTACTTACACTCGCATAATACTTGCCATAAGCCATTTTAAATGCATTTAATGGAATTCATGCTAAAATAAACTTTCTGTTTTAGTGAAATAATTTGGTATTGTAAATATATATACATACACATCTGGATATGAGTAATAATAACTAAAAACAAATTTTAATTTAGACATCCATTCATTCATCATTTGTCCACTAAAATTAGCATGATGTTAAAATGTAAAGGATTTTACATTGATAGATGACAACATGAGAATAATGTGGCCGATTTTTTTTTGAATATTCATAATAATCTTGTACTGAAGTAACGATTTCTAAAGGACATATAAAATTTTTCTTAATCTCCCTAAAGTGAAAAACAAGAGGAATACTGACACAACGGAGATCGTAATGAGATTTAATGTTATCGATTATATTATAGATTATGTCGTTGCCAATTTAGGCAGAGCTGTTGGTCAAAGACTTCATAGTCGGATGAGTGTAAATACTAATCTTGCTGGTCGCATTACTACGAAACTGTAAATACATCCAATACTTGTAAATACATGGAAATAATAGCCAAAAATGTTAAAATCGTATGGAAATGTCAACACATTTTTCATAACTCAATTGTAATAGGGAAATTAAATGAGTATTTATGCGTTCACATGGAAATCATTTACTAACATTAATTATTCCGCTCTATTCTATAAAATAATAACATGTTCTATAAAAACTAAATTTTACCTAAAATAAAGAATTATCTAAGATAACAATATATCTTATGAATGAAAACTGAAGGAATTTAAAACCAAATATTTATTATTTTCAAACAGAATAAAGCAGATACTTCTCACACACACACACACAAACAAAAGTACATATATTTATCTAAGCAAATCATTAGCAACCATGCCCTAGCATAACATAATGGAAACACTTTCCATTCGGTTACTAAATCATTTCGAATTTTTTTATACCCTACACCACTTTAGTGGGGCCCATAGAACAGAACCCCCGAAAAGGGGTTCTGAGCCCGAAAAGGGGTTCTGAGCTCAGAATTATGATAAATATACAGATATATCGATAAAATACGGCACAACTAAGTTTTATAGAAGTCTTGATGACCCTGCCAAATTTCATAAAGATCGGTCCCCATTTGACCCTAGCTCCCATACAAAGTCCCCTTCAGAAAATTACTTGAATGTCCCAAATTAACTTATAAACACAAATATCGCGATGAAATTCAGCACAATAAAATATTATGTAAATATAAATATATTTATATATTATATAAATAAATTTTATCGGGCTTGGTCCATATTTGCCCCTAGCCCCCATATAAAGCCTCTTTCAGAAAATAAGTTTTTCATTCATAAATTGCTTAAATGTATCGGAACAAGGGAATATTGAAGATAAATGCTTTATTATGAAAAATAAATCACATTTAATATTCATAACAGGTGTAGGATATCATATGATCGGCCACGGCCGACTATACTTTCTTACTTGTTTTTATTTAACATTTCTGTTTGTGAGTTAGAATACTTACCATCATTACGATTTATATCGTAAACTCGTTTCACGCCACCACTAAATATGGTACCTTTAATAATAATAGCTATGGAGACAATAATAACTGTGACAGTTTGTATAACATCAGCATTTATGGCTGCCTTAAGACCACCCTAAAATGAGAACATGAACATGATACAAACAAGATTTATTATTGAACATAAAATTTTGTATCTATTTTAAGAAAATGTTAAGTTTGTTAACCAACCACCACACCTACCTTGATTGAGAAAAATACACATATTGTTGTCATACAACAAATGGACGCCCAATACGGTATTCCAATAACTGTAGATAATGCCACACTGGGTGTATAGACGGTGACACCGAGCGAACACATTTGACGTATTATATAAGTGAATGATGCTAAGCAGCGAACCATGCGTGATTTGAATCTGTAAAATAAATGAAAAAAATTTAAAATAAATAAATTTAGAAAATTTCTAAAAAATGTTGTACAAAATCAAACATCGAATTTATGGTTGTCTGATTCATTGTTATATCAAATAGAAAAATATTAGAATAAAAAAACAAGAAAATTGGTCCAAAAGTCAATCAATTTTATTTAAAGAACTAACAGATTGTTAAATTTAAATTTTATTTTGGTCTATAAAAAAGTTAATAACTTGTTTATGTAAATCAATTTAATTTGAATTATATTTAAGAATCATTTCTAAAATTGTGAAAATTATTCGAAAGAGAGTTTGATAGTTAATCCCTTTTATGTCAGCCTCTAAATACAGCTGAGGGTTCCGACTCTGAATCCTCAGATGATGGTAACAAAGCCATTATAGCAAATCCCAAAAAGGATGAAGTAGAGCAAATGATGAAAGGGGTTAGTGATAGCATAGCTAAACTACCTATTACTAAGAAAAGCCTTTCTGGAGCACAGAGGAGGAAGTTGAAAAATACGCTTCAGGAAATCATAGTTAGTCAATCACACTACACTCCAAAGGAAAAATTGGATTCTCTGAAGCAAAGAGGATCAGGTCTCCCGAGGAGTTGACAACTATCTGCCCTGTCAGCCTTTAAATATAGATGAGGGTTCCGACTCTGAATCCTCAGATGATGGTAACAACACCATTATAGCAAGTCCCAAAAAGTCCCATAGCTAAACTAACTCAACTGCCGATTACTATGAAAAGGCTTTCTGGAGTACAGAGGAGGAAGCTGAAAAATACGCTTCTGGAAATCATAGTTAGTCAATCCCACTACACTCCAAAGGAAAAATCAGGTCTCCCGAGGAGATAACAACTGAGAATAAACCTAAGAATATAAAGCCAAGCCATACCTCACTCAAAGGATTCAGATTCCTGCGAGTAAGGATGACAACGCCAACGCAGATATTCGAAGACGAACACGTCTGCGATATCATCCTCGAAGATAAGGGTATATCAAACCGAAAGACGAGGGAGGAGAAGCTAGACGGTGGAAAAGTTAAAGAGCCGCCATCTTACACTAAAGTTGCCAGAAGAAGACACCGCGACGATCTTTGCTATGCAGAGTACGATGTCGGTAATCCGATAGGCAAAATTCCAATATACCAGCAGAGTAAGGTAGAAGATTTGGCCAACAATAAGATAGTGGACCAAGCAATCGCTTCAAAGGGCAAAGAACCAATAGAAAACGTGAACTGCTAGTTCAGCATGAGCATGATGTTGATGAGATTCGGATCTTATCAATGTGTTAGCACCCTGAGGAACTTGGTGGAAAGTATTCTTTCCTTCCTGGAACTTTTCAAAGAAGAGCGAGGTTCTACTTCTACTTAATACGGTACCCAATGTATCATTAGCCTGGTAATTGGTAACGTTGAGGACTCAAATCCTAAAAGCGAGGAGGAAATCATTCAAAAGACTGCTATTTCTAGGCCTGATAAAGACACCGTGTGCATCAAAACAAACACTGCATCAAAAGCCACTTCAGGCTACCGGAGGAGTCAAATCCAAAGAGAGAGGAGGTGATCACGAATTCGCTGGAAGACGGTTTAATGGATGACCATGGTTGAAGTTATCCAAATAAACCTCCATCAGAGTGAGACATCTACTAAGGCTCTGATGGCTAAAATAAACATAGGTAAGATAGCTTTAATCCAGGAACATTGGACGATTCGCAACATGGTTTCTGGATTAAATCTCCTAAATTTCCAACTTTTCAATGCTTCTTTCTATGGAGTATGTTTGTTGGTAAAGACAAAGTGCTTATATAGAGATCAGTTATGGTATTATCGTCCGATGTTCAGAACTTCATTCTTCTGGATGTAATTCCTAAAAATTTTACCATCAAGGATACTGGACATTAAAGACATTTTCTTATGGTGTTCTTATATGGGGGGTATGGTCATTTATGACCGATTCTATAGTATTTTGTAAAGAGATATTTTAATGTATAAAAAGAAACTACCATTATACCGTTTAGTTTCTTTAATTTTTTTTTAATTTACCAAATGATTTTAGTTAGTATTACATAATAATACTTTGAATTGAATTTATCAATTAATTTAAATTGCTTAAAAACTTAGATAAAAAACTTTATGCAAAAATATGTTTTAAACTAAACTTAAGAAATTACTTATTTTTTTATACAAGTATACAGGGCAACATATATTTTACCCTTAAAGCATATTTAAGATTATTAAAACTTTATCTCTCTAACAGATAAGAGAGTAAGTATTTCAAATTTCTTAAAATTTTTTTCTTCTGACAAAGTTTGGTAGATATTCCATTTAATGGGGAGAGTAGTAAAAAAACAGTATATACTAAAGTTTTCATTCTTTATTCAACAAACTTGTTTATATTTGTAAACAAATTAACAAATATATTTTTTGCGACAATTCTATTTTTTTTTATTTGTCATAAAACATACAATGTTATGAAAACGCAAAGATTTTGAGAAAAATAAAAATTGTAAAGAAATAGTGATCGACCTCTAATCACTAGTTTAGCTTTGATCTTTTATAAACTAAGTACTTTATTTAATTTAAATCTATAGTTAAAGATTTTTGCTAAATTTACTACTTTAATGCAATTTCATTTTACGAGTGTGTAAATCCCTCTTTGGTTTCACCCAAGAGAGAACTTTTTCTAAAGGGCTGTCTTCACCGATTGTTATATTTCTACTTGTATTTTATTTGGTAAATACTTCAACCTTCTAGTCACATAGTAATGTCATAAAACTGTTGTGGAAAATCTCCGCAAGTCTTATTCAACGAAAATGTTTATAAAGAAAACTACGAAAGTAAAACAAAAGGTTAAGACCGACTATATAATATACTACACTGTTATTTTTTCATTTCGTAAGTACTCTCTTAGTGGAGCTTTGACAATTTAAAGAGTTGTAATTTCAAATTTGATCTCGATAACAGCATTTTAAAAACATTTGTATAAGTTAATGTGATTTTCAGAAGCTTTAATGTTGGAGTTATGATTAGTGCCGATCGCAATCGAATGTCTAAATATTTTTTAATATAATTTTAATATTTAAGAGATTTTCATTATTTAACGAGAAGGAGTTCTGGAAAATTGTTTTTCCATTGGAAATTATATCGAAAAATATTGATCTTAATCGACTCAGAAAATTCTTAGCCGATTGTAAGGATTGATATTACTAAGCGTTACAAACATCAGCACTAAACATATTATACCTTCTCTTTTTTAATATGTATTGTAGGGTATTAAAACTTTTTTTCTTTTACATACGTTATGTCTCATAAACTTAAACCAGTGTTGTATTTTATTGTCAACTTTTCCCTACAAAATATTTTGTTGCTCTTCATTTGTATGTGTATTTGTAATAGTTAAGGTGTATTTTGGTGCTTTTTTTATGTGCTAAAATATTTGTAAGGAATACATGTTTTATACGAAAACATATTCTAAGTAAATCTACAGTAAACCATATTAAAAGTGACAAAAACACAAAAAGCAAACACTAAGTTGTAGTTCCAGCGATCCCGTAATCAAGTCTGATGAAGTAACTTACAGAATTACATTTACATGATCATTTTCACAAGTTTCTACTTAATCCCTTATATACATATATTGTATAGTTCCCTCTCTTACAACTTCCACTGTTAATTTTATATCATCCATATACAACAAACTATTTATGTAGTTACTAAAGTAACAGAAAAAAAAACTTTTTTCTAACTTTTTTTTTATTCTTTGTGTAATTCTTTTGTAACAAATTTAATGTTTTTCAAAGTCTTAGGTCTTCTTCGTATTTTCTTTTCTATTCTAGTCAATTCTATTCATTTCCATTCATTCTATAGTAGTATGTATTCTGTTTCTTAAGCATTCGAAGTCGTAAGTGTGTATAAAAGTATTTGAGTTTGCTTACAATTACAAAGTTGGGACTTTTTGTTATATTCTATCTTTTTGCTATGTATATACCATTATACCATTAATTGCGTAGAGAGTGAATACAAGTCAATAGGAAATTAATAGATTTTGATGTTTGAAGTGATGATGTTTTCCAAATTCCAAAATCAAAGTAGATGGTTAACATGTCTCGAAGTTGTGTAACAATATAAAGCATACAGAAGAGTCTTGAAAATTTATCTTTTTTGAAATACGTCGTACTATGCCCGATCCTACAACAGAGGCTAAGTATGAGGTTAAAGCTATATATACACGGTTGTTAGATCCTACAATCTTGGCAGCAAAATGTGCAGAAAATGTCTAACAATAGTGTCAACTTACAAATTTTGTCTTGCAGCATGCTTTTTCTGACAACGTTGCAAAAGAAAAATTATAAGTTCACACGATTGATAGAAATTTTCTGCACATTTTACTGACAACGTTGTAAGATCTGACAACCGTGTATCATAGCTTTAAGTTCTATTATATTCCGTTCTTCGAAGAATAAGGGAAGCTTTTCAACCTGGTGTTTTCTGAAAGATCGTGATTGGTTTTCTTTTGATCGTGGATTCTGTTATATTCTCCTATACCACTGGACAATTTAAATAATAGATATATATCGCACACCCAGTACAAAAGTGACACAACTCAAAATTTTTTTTTAAGAAAAGGAAACAAATTTTTTACAAATTCTGAAAGATAAAGAAAGACATAACGTTTTTTTCTTGAACAGTTAACAACAACAAAATACACTATTATTTTTGTAGAGTTAAACTAGTATCTTGTGTATAGGTTAAGGCTTAAACTTAGGGCTTAAAGAATATAAAAACGCAAAAATAAAATTTTGAGTTGTGTCACTTTTGTACTAGGTGTGCGATATGTACATCGATTAACAGGATAATCTAGTACTGAATGAATATTTTGATTATACAATAGAAGGTTTAGTTGATACAACTCATGGACGTAATTTGTACCCTCAAATAGGGGAAATATGATCAAATCCTATGGTAGAACGACGATTGTATTTCGGACTTATAGATTAC